CCACTTTTCTCGCATGCACTGATGGTGGCGGCGAAACTTACCTCATTTGCTTCCACTTGTTCTGAAGTCATGGCCTCAAACAGACTCAAGGCTTGCTGCCACTTCCCAACTTTCTCGCAGGCGCTGATGGTTGCGCTAAAAGTTATGACGTTCGTCCGCACTTTCACCCCAGTCATGCTTGCAAACAAAGCCAAGGCCAGTTGCCACTGCCCACCCTTCTCGAACGCACTGATTGTTGCATTGAAACTGACCACGTCAGCGCGAATGTTTGCTGTAGCTATGGCACTAAATAGGGACAATGCATGCCGCCATTGCCCAGCTTTCTCGCACGCACTGATGGCCCCATTGAAAATGACACCATCTGGCTCGAGAAGAGTCGCCGACATGGTTCGGAAAAGAGCCAACGCATGCTGCCAAGCTTGTCCTTTGCTGCAGGCACTGATGGCTGCGCTAAAGCTAAACACATCCGCCTGAAGCTGTGCCGCTGGCATTCTCTGGAACATGGCCAGCGCCCGCTGCCACTGCGCACCTTTCGTGCAAGCACTCATGGAGGAATTATACCTGACCACGTCGGCGTACACTTCATCCGGCATTGCAAGCATGGGAATAGGTTGGCGCCCAAAACCAGGCCGTGCGGGGTTCCCAGAAACAGGGCCAGCATTCACAAGCGACCGATCCATGGCGAATCTTTGCCCCCCTCCCCACCCCCCCACGGCTGCAGAGCACCTAGCCATGGACAAGACTCCTGTCAGCTTTTGACCCCCCCATTTGATTCTGGATGCATTTTGTGAGCCCTGAAATGTGAGGAAATGTCAAATTCCAACCCGAACCTTGATTCTGGCTGTCTAACCCCGAATTAAAGGCTAACCAGTTGGATTCCATCAACAAAATTAGGCAAACAGGCAAAAACAACACGAATTAACGGCTGGAACATAAAATCGCCAGGGGAAAAAGCATGGGGCATGGAATCTTAAGTACTGCACCTGCCACTCAATAACATCATCAAGCTGTTGCTCCAAACAAGTATGTTACAAGTCTATGTGCATATGGTTCACTCAGACGCCCAGCGCCTCTTTTTTGCTGGGTGAGTTTAAATAGGAACCGGAACTCTTACCAAAAAGTTGAAAAAGGGGCGGAATCCACCGGGCAACACAGAGTTCATCTTTCCTGATCCAGACCTTATGCTCCGTACAATTCGAAGCATCTCTAAGTTGTCCAAGGCGGGGTGAGTATGTCTAGAGGTGGGAAATGTTGTTTGATTGCAGGCTGATAAAGCCTTGATCCCAAGCTCCGCTGAAAAAAAAGAAGGTACAGTATGTCTGCATGCGGATATATGTTATACATATCTCATAGTACTGTTGAATGCTCCTTTCCATCCCTAGTTAGACGAAGCTCTGCGCAGAAAGCAGAAAAGCTTCAAGCAACCCATTTTTGTTGGCAGGAAGAAGTACTTGCTCAGCGATGCTTCTGCTGTCCCACCAGGCTACGCTGTGCGGGTCTGACGTCGCTGTCCAAACATCCTGGGAGCTCCAAAATAACGCCCGTCTTTTAATGCAATTTTGTTGGCCACGGACAGAGAAGGATAGTATACAACTGGGTAAAGGTGGACCCAACTGGCAACTGGCTTGGAATTTGCTTATGTCCCACCAATCATCACTGGAATCCCTAAGGCGGGTAGGTACAAAAGCGAGGGTAGCTGCGAGCCCGAAACGGGTTCCTTAGGGTTCCTAGCGTTCCTTAACGTTCCTTAGGAAGCCTTAGGGAACCTAAGAAGCTCCATAAAATCATCGCTGGATTCACACCACCCATCGTCAACATGTCAAACCCGCTCCTCGGATTCTTGAAAGGCGCCCCAACCTGCGCGCAGTGGCGAGGGTTGGCACAAGTGACAAGGGGCATCTCCAATCTTTGATTGTTTGCATTTTTGTTCGAAGCGGGTTGCAGCTATAACATTACATACCTCAAAATGCCAAAAGGTACTAACTAACTGGTCGTCACGCCTTGATTTCAATGCGCCTGCCAATGATTTCAGCTTTTCTCAATGAAAACTGTGGTTTCAGAATTCCCCCAAACTAATGTTTTTTCAGAGTGAACACCCTTCATTTGACATCATCTCCATTTGGGCTCCATTTGGGTTGTGCACTGCAAGCATGAACGCGAGACAAAAGAGACCCACGAAGACCACAGAACGTGAGCATTACACAGAGCATGCAAGTCAATTGGAGAGCGGTCAGGAATCGCAGAAGCAGAAATCACAAAATTTAAAACTGGATCTGACACCGAAACAGCTGCAAAGGCATCAATGTGCTGATCAAGGAAAAAGGGTATGCACGCCAAGCAGACAATGGAGCCGGTGAGCGGCTCGGCGGCAGTACTTTAGCAATGCGCGAAAGCAACACCAAAGACAAGCAACGAGACACCGCGCGAGGATTGTACATTGCTGAACACTCCCTGAGAGCCAGCAACCGGAAACATCTCTGACAAGACAACAAAAAAGCCGACATGAGGCTGAGATGCGCGAATTTATTCTCATGCGGCGCAGTGAACGCGTATGCTCAACACGATGAAAGGAACCGATATGAGGCTGAGATGCATGAATGTATTCTCATGCGGCACAGTGAACGCGTGTGCTTATTACCCCCCCCAACCCCCCCCCCCCCCACCCCGCCCCCCCCCCACCCGCCACCCCGGGTGGAACGACAAGAAAAACGCTGAAACGCCGCGAAACGGGCGGCACTAGCAACTAACTAGCCCTCCAAGGTCAGATGCGTGGATGAATGGAACCATGCTCGAGAACCAGAGGGTACCTGCTAGGCTGCCGTTAGTCTCCAAGATTTAGACCTCAACTCATGGGAAAACTTATGCAGCAGGAGCTGCTTCTCGAATGGACCAAGTCGGCACGGGCTTAACCCCTCACCTCCAGTTGCTTTTTCGTCCCCTGGACATTTCAGAGCAAATGGAAGATCAGATCTAGTTCTTAGCCAGACCCCCAAAAAGCTCCAACTTCAAGCTAGAAATGGGGCCGCGGCAGGCCTGGGGTGCGAGAATTGGTGTAAATTGTTGGGTCAAGGTCATCCATTTCAATAGATACCCTCCCGCCCTTTTCACAGGGAGCCGTTCGACGTTCGGGAAATCGGTGGGTGGGACCATTTTCATTTCCTTTTAAAGGGACCGGGTCCCCGTCAGGCTCCATGGCAACTGGTGGGTGCGAGAGTCATTTGTTTCTTTTCCGGGTCAGGGCCATCCATTCGAATAGATGATAGATACTAGATGATACTAGCCATGATTTGGGAATGGTCCTTGATGGGTAAAAGGATCAAGCTCATCCATAAGTGCCTCAACCTAAGTGATGTCAACTAAATACTGTAGATGGATAGGATTCGGTCAAGGTGATGGTCAAACCTAGCATGACTGAAGAGCAACGAATGTCTGTCGGTTCACTTGCCCGCTCTCCAGCTGACAAACGCGCCAAGCGGTGCCACTTGTTACATTGGAATCCGCAGCGCACAGAGCGCCAAACATGAATCAGAAAAGGAGAGCGTGAGTTTGTGCTGGTTGTGTTGTCAAGTTGAGTTGAACATGGAAATCCTGAAGGCTGGCAAATGGCACAAAGTCGTGCTTACACATGTTCATCCATTCTGGCAATGTATGCATGATGCACATGTCTAGTCCACTTCCATCCCGCCCCAAACACTCAAACACTCGAGATCCTCTTCGCTGCCAACGTGGTGCGCATGGGGAATTTCACCAGCATAACTTCACAATTCATCCAACAATTCTCAGAATAGATACCCCCCACCAGCTAACATGGAAGTGCACAGACCCCTGTAGAAAGACTACTTTCCTCTTGGAAAGGGCCTTTTTGCACTTCCATGTTAGTTGGTGGGAGGGTATATCCTCCAGCAATCTCCGTAGCATCAGAAAAGGCTGCACCCCCGCCATCAAAACAGGCCTTGAGATTATGGCCGTAGCCCCCCAAACCGGGAAGCATTCTCCACCAAGTGGGCAAGGTGTGATTTCCAAAGAAGCGAGCAAGCAATTCAATCAACCTGCAATCATATGGGTGTGGGTCAAAATTAAACCACCAGGGGACCGCAGGTTGTAGTCCAAGTTTCAATTTACCAGGGTTCCATTCTGGGTACATAGTTTGACCCACAGCCATATCAAAAATACTCCTGTCTTGGACCTCTTTTTGATGGGCGAGATCAGTGGTGCTCCTCATCTGCATCCCGTCGTTTTCACCTCGAGCCACCTCTGTTCGTGGCAAACGGTCGCTTCCGGACATCGCGCTTGTGGCACGCGCGGTTTGGTGAGTGATGCCATCCTCAAGCCCTGGTTTGCTGGCCGCGAGCCAGACCAACGAAAACTGCCTTAATCCTTGGTTGCTGCAACGACCCCCGGCAAAAAGTGGAAAACATTTTGGGGGTTTAGTGGAAAACCCAACTTGACTTCAACCAACAAGTTAAAGTCTAAAGATCCAACCCCATAGCAGTCAAGAATCCATCAAGGTTTTTAAGGGGGTGCTTGGCACTCTTGCGACACAAGAGTTGGATGGTGCAAAGATGTCGGTCTCTGTCTTCGACCCTTTTCATCCCCCTTGAAATTTCGGGGGGGTTGGACCATCCATTCAAGGGGGATCCCCGTTTTCTAGACATGATTCCCTTGATTTCAAGCATCCTTCTTGTCCACGAACAGTTCCCGCTTGGTTTTTGCTGGACCTCTGGAAGGAAGGATCACACACAATGTCTTGCGAGAGATGCCTTGCGGGAAATAGAAATGGATTGACCCGAGAAAAACCCGCCCATACTCCTTCATTCTTACCCCTTAAAACTCCAAGCCCTGGGGAAGTTAATCTTTTACAGACATATAGCCCATGTTACCCAAAAAGTTGAAAAGTTGTGTTTTTAAGAGGTAAGCATTCCCTCATTCCCTAGGTTCATTCCCTCGGTTCATTCCCTCATTTTTTATCGCACCAGCAAGATGTTGGTGGCTTCTTGCTTTCACCCAAGTCTCCTCCGAACTCGCTCAGTCTGGCCCGGGCGCTCGGACTTCGCACTCAAACCCCTCAGTTGTAGACCATGTACTTCGGAGTGGACGAGAACTTGGAGTAGCCCTTGATGACCTCCACCAGCGACGAACGTCAAAAGCCGAAACACGGAAGCCTTGTCTCACTGCCTGAGTGGATGGCCCCAAAAAACGTCTAAACTTTAAATTTACCGCCAAAACGGTCTTCCCAAAAAGTTTAAAGTTCATGATCTCAGGAAGTGAGTTGTTGGCTGGTTCACCATGCAGGGAATCCAGCGAAAGACGAGCCCAACCAAAACGGCGGAAAAAAGCCGAACGCCGGTTTTGAGTTGAGCCTCGAAAAACGGACCGGACCGCCTTTGGGCTGACCCTTCAATTCAGCGAAGAACTCACTTCCCAAGTTGACTGACCCAAAAAAAATGAACTTTTTATTTACCACTAAAATGGTCTTTCCAAAAAGTTTAAAGTCCACCAACTCAGGAAGTGAGAGAACCCGGCAAACAAAAAGGGAACACGGGTGACCCCTGAACTGGAACCCAGGCCAAACGGGGCTGCCAAGCAAACTGATTGGCTTGAGGACACCGAAAGGAAACCAAGAAACCAATCACTTGTCTTTGATTGCACCGTTTTGGGGGAGCCAAACGAAAGTTTCATTCAGGGTGCATGCCTTGTTTTTTTTTTTACCAGCAGGAATGATTCCGCAGAACTACCTACCCAGTTCAGCAGGTAAACATCAGCTTTCTGCGAACTTTACAGGTGAAGTCAAGCAACTACTGACGATGTTCCGGGTAAGACTCTCGAGCCTTCTGTTGGATGCCTTGGTTGCCATTCTCAGGTAGTTTGGTACCACTCAAGCCATCTTGGGATCTCGATGGGTTCGTGCTAGTCCCCCTGCAATTGAATCAAGCAACCTCAAAAGGGGTCCCACTCCGACAGAACACTCTGACCTGATAAGCCTACCAGCCAGAACAACATAAACTTGTTGGCCCAGAATGATAAAAAACCAAAACCTGCCAGCAAACGACCCCAATTCAGCAAGGGATTGATTGTGGTTGGTCCTGCCATGTGATAAATTCCAAGCAAAAAGCTTCGCTGGGTTTCAAACGGACTTCCAAATGGACCCTTTTGGGCAGTGCCATCTTGAAGGGGAGTAAATCTAAGGGTTGATTCCCCCATTCTTTCCAACCATCGTTCTTCTCGAAAACCGGATCCGTTTCCCTGGGTTTCCGGAGGTTTTCCAGAAAGATCCGGATCCCTGGAAAGAATGGAAATGGAAGGTAGCACTAGAGTAAAGGCTTGGCGCACAACTCCGTACGTGCCGCGCGGAAGATGCCAGCGGCTCCGTCAACTCGAAATCGGGGCCTTGTTGATAGCATCGATGAGGTCCTTCTCCTTGGCTGCCACGCATTGAGCCACTAAACCGATTGGTCTACCCAACTTGGTTGCTGCAACGACACCCCTGCAAAAAGTGAATCACTTTTTGGGGGTTTAGTAGAAACACCTTTACTTCCCAAAAGTTAAAGTCTAAAGATCCAACCCAATAGCAGTCAAGCCAAATCCATGGTAAATAACCAAAGAAACAAACATCCGCACCTACTTCTGGATCAATGCTTTCCCTTGCTCATCTCCATGTACACGGATCTTGATTGTGGCCCCATTGGCCGCAGCAAGTGTCTTCGCAGCCCCTGTGTATCAGCACAGCATTTCTCCAACAAACAATCAACAACAAACCACGTGCAAAGGACCATGCTTGTCTCATATCCGGATTGAGGGGATCTCCAGGGGGGTGATTCAGAAGGCCATGCCACCACTATAATGTATGTATGCACGTACACATGTACATAGAGAGGCAGGTCCAAAGAACAGCCAATAAATGGGGACCTGACCATCGAGCTGTCGGCACGACTGGCAAGTTCAAAGTGTCCTTTGGGCGTGGAGACCAAAAAAACATAGCTCACTTCCCCAAAACCCGAGTCGCTTTGAGCAAGTGAGGTAATCTGCCGCGTCTCAGAGATGCTCTTCCTGCGCGCGCGGATGGCGTACATCCCCGCTTCTGTGCACACGCTGCGGCACTCGGCACCTGCACCGAAGGAGTGATGTGGCGTTTGACCGAAACGTCGGGGTGGCATGGCGTGGCTGGCGCCCCACACATTGAGAAAACAAGGGGACAATTCTTGCTCGGACGGACCAAAAAAGTTCAATCTTTTGTTTAAGCAAAAGAGTCCAGGGAGTGCGTGGTGGCTTAGTCAGCAAATGCACATTTGCCGAACATGTGTCAACTATTCATAGGGTTCCCAAGGAAACCTCCAGGACACGATTGTCACATGGATATAATGGTTCTAAGATGGTGTCCACTGACCACAAACCGCTATCCTCTGGGGTGAAATTGGATATGCAGCCACTACAGACTCCTAAACAGTAAAATGTACCCCGCTGTTTTTTTTGGGTAGTGTCTTTTTGTTTGTTTGCTTGCTTGTTTTTTTGGGGGGGGGGTAGCGCAAACCGGCTTAGATTGGTCAATGGTAAAGGGGCTTCAGGGGCTCAAAACAACCCTCGGAGTGTCTCATGTCGCAAGTGAGACTTTGGGTGTGTCTTGTCGCCGGGATCCCAGAAAATTGGGTAGGCATTCCTTTGGGTTTGCCCTTTAAACACCACAATGGGTATCCTCAAAACAAGACACTCCCCTTTGGTCGCTTTTCCGTCCAAAAAGCCCAGGGCTCAAGGGTCGACTAATGGCTTTCTGGAATAGAAAGCTATGAAATTCAGAGGCCCTTGTACCCATGGGTGTCTTCACAGAAGGCAAGCCCGCGTAGGTAAGAATCAAAGGCAAACCGGTCACTGGGAACCGCTTCCTCAAGTTTAGGAATGACGCAACGGAAACAACAGCTTACGGCACCAGTTTTCGGAACCAAACTGGCATAGAAGAAAACTTACACTTTGATGCTTTCCAAAGTGGTTGTTGTTCTCCACTCATGGTTGATGAGTGCACCAGGTTCTACCTCAAGGGGCCGACGTTACCTCCCAAAGGAAACCCGTCTACATATACATATATATATATATAAATTTAGACTTATGTATCACGGGAACTGCTCACGCCGTCCCGTGGTACAACAACAAGTCTGGCTATATCTATATCTATATATATATACACATATGTGTGTCTATATGCCCATACATACATACATACATACATACATACATACATATGCATGCATGCATATATATATATATATAGAGGCCCCCAAAAAAGAAAAGGGACCCTCGAATATTTAATGGCCCCATCTCCCCGAAACGCCCAGCGCACGACGTGCGCTCTGGCTTCATACTCCAAAAGCTGTGACCCAGCCATGGTTTATGAGTTCTGCATTTGAAAAAAACTACCCTAACCCCCCCGAGTTGCTGGAGAGGTTCACCCCCCACCCCCAACACACACCCAAACCCTAACCCCCCCCAGTTACTACTCCTGGCACCTCTCATCAAATTAAATCAAACCAACAAAAGGCAGTTTTCCCCAAGCCCTCGCTCCTGGCACCTCTCATCCAATGAGAAAAAACAACCCCCCTGAGGCCTTCTAACCCCCCCCCACCCACCCCCTCGCCAGTGACTACTCCAGGAACCTTTCATCAAATCAGACGCAACCCCCTGAAACCGCCCCCAAACCGCCCCCAAACCGCCCCCCACCGCCCCCCCCCCCCCCCGCTTTCCCCCAGCAGCCCGCATCCACCGCATTCCCCGCCCTCGATTCGACGGCGGCCGAGCGAGTCGACGGACGGAGCCTGTGGTATTCGGGCACAGCCGGGCCAGCAGCTCGAAGCGCACGTCCCGGTCGATGGCCATGGTCCTCAACTTGGGTGCAAAAAGTTTAACTGTTTGCTGGTTGAAAAGAAATATGAGGGGAATCCAAAAAGTTAAAGTCTAAAGATCCAACCCAATAGCAGAGTCAAGGCCCCATACTCCACACCACGCTCGGGTGGACTCGGACACGTCTCTCATTCAAAGGATGCCACAACAATCTCGTGTCAAAACGATACCCATGGGTATGTGGATTTTAGCGAAAAACACGTTTGCCTGGTGGTGTTGAAGGAAAAGACTCAAATGGACTGGGACTCGAATCTCATAATATGAGTCCCCTATCATTCTCCAAGGAAGTGCAACAAGAAAACAGTCTTGAATGAAACGCCTTTACTCAAGTGGTCTATGATAATTCTGAAGGTGCCATACTATGGGTCTGTCTCTTGTTTTATACAAGGATACCCTCACACGTTGAGGGTGTTGAAGGAAACGCCAGAAGGACAAACTCATTGTTTTAACTATATGTTTATTTATTTATCTAAATTGTCTTTATCAATATTGAATATGATTAGTAGTCTTATTGTTCTGATTGTTTTTAAAACTATCGTGTCTGTTTACTACAATTATTATTGGGTTCCCTTAAACACACACACACACACATATTCGGATCAAATACCAGAAGGCATCATTTATGTTGGATGCCCCTGTCGAGTCATATTGCAAGGGAGCAAGGAAGTCGATTCTCTAATTTGCCACGACTTTTGGAGGCTGAGCTTGCAACATGTTTGGGCATCCGCTGTACCAGGAGAAAATGACCTATGGACCAAACGGGTGCTGTTTAAAATCACAGAAAAAGGCTCGAATAGAACAGCCCGGGAAAACACATATCTTCTTGCTTGGCCAAACCCGCACTTTTGAGTGTCTCAGTGGACTAGCCGGAATATGTTTGCCGCGAACATGGATACACAAGAGTCTGGGTATGTGTCGAAGGGAACCCAACACATTGCGGGGGGCTTTCCTTTTGGTTCCCCTTTTCACCAATCTGAGAAAGGTGCCCTACAAATCACAAAAGTACAACCGCACACCCAAAAAACAACACACACACACACACACACACAAGCAGGCGCTCAACACACGTGCAAAGGCCAGAAACTTCACTCATGAGTGAGACCTAGTGCGATCAGCTCATGGCATCCCCAGTGGTTCCACTTCCCCAAAAGACAGTGAATCAAGCAAGACAGGGAGTCCCTCAAGCAACCCCTGCAGCTTCAATTCGAAACGACCAATCTCAGCGCCCCGAATTTGGATCAGCTCACACTGCGCTTGTGAAACTGCCAGAGGCCGACTGGGCGACTGTGAAGTCTCGCAATCCGCCCAGTCAAAGCGCGCGGATCGCAACCGGGTGCAGCCTTTGAAGGCATCATCCCCGACACTGCAAGATGGGTTGAGGCTTGACACGCTGACCAATGAGCTGCAATCTTCGAAGGCACAAGATCCGATCCTCACGACTGCATCCGGGATGATGACGCTTGCCAAAGAGCTGCAGGCAGCAAACACAGAAGGTCTTATCTGAGTGACGGAGTTTGGGATGGTCACGCTTGCCAGCGAGCTGCAACCTAGAAAGGCGCTTTCTCCAATCTCAGCGACGGAATTGGGAATGGTCACGCCCGCCAATGCGCTGCAACCTGCAAAGGCATGAGCTCTGATCCTCTTCACAGAGTCCGGAATGGTCATGCTCGTCAATGAGTTGCACCTCTCAAAGGCCGATTCCCCCATCTCGTTGACAGAATTGGGGATGGTCACGCTTGCCAATGAACTGCAATGTTGGAAGGTACAATGCTTGATCACAGCTACAGAGCTAGGGATGGTGACGCTGGCCAGTGAGCTGCAACCTTGGAAGGCACAATTTCCAAGCACAGTTCGGAAGGCTTCTTTCTCAATCTCCGTGACTGAATTTGAGATGGTCATGCCTGCAAGTGAGGTGCATCCCTGGAAGGCTTGATGCCCGATGTCAGTGACGTACTTGGGGATTGTCACATTTGCCAATGATCTGCAACCTTTGAAGGCACAAGATCCGATCCTCGTCACCGAGTCCGGGATTCTCACGCTTGCCAATAGGCCGCACCGTTGGAAGGTTTGTTGCCCAATCTCAGTGACGGAAGCGGGGAAAGTCATGCTTTCCAAGCCGCAGCTATCGAAGGCCGCTCGTCCAATCTGTGTGACAGAATTGGGGATGGTCACATTGGCCAATGACCTGCAACCCTGGAATGCAAACTCTTGGATCACAGTCACTGAGTTCGGGATGGTTACGTGTGTGAGGGAGCTGCAGCCTCTAAAGGCAGATGCGCCTATCTCAGTCACGCCCCCTGGAATTTCCACCACAAGCAGATCTTCCAACTCGCAGCCAGACGTGGAGAAGCTTGAGCACGTCACCGGGTTGATGCTGAGGAAGGCCAGAACCTCTGAACCTGGAATTGCCTCTGACACCATCTCCGCGTTGTTTAACAAGGGCGTATCCTTGGTTGACATTGGAAGGGGAGCATAAATTTTGATTTTAGCAGTTCAGTGGGGATTTCCCACTAAACCGCAACAAGCAAAAATGTAAAATGTTTCCCAACGACAACCATGTATCTCCAACGACCACCTCCACCGAGCTCATGTTGCGCTTTGATTCATTTGCACAGGGCAGCCACCCGTGCAGCTGCCTCTTGAACTCGCGGACAGTCATGTCTGTCAGCATTTGAAATGATCCATCGCTTCCAGACAGCTGCCGCACCGAAATCTCTCTTGCCATGGATCTAGTCTTGGCTGCTCACTTCCGTGGATTTGTCAAGAAACGCCCAGATTTTATGTTTACCACATTTTACCACCACAATGTCCTTCCCAAACAGTTTGAAGTCCATAGAAACTACGTTAGTTGGTAACAACATCTGTTTGCCATGAACTGGCGAAATTAGATTACCAACTACGTAGCTCTTGCCTGAGGTTCAAGCTTCGAGCAGCGGATTCTCGCCTGCGACCAGTTGTTTTACTGCGGCAGCAAAAAAACAGCCCTTTGAGACCTGCAACTTATCACCAATCAGAGTGGCAAGTTACCCTCAGTCCAGTCAGCGGACCAAAAGAGGAGCTCAAGTACTCAAGCCAAAACAAACAAACAAACAAAAAGGCGAAGCGGCACTTGGCAATCTGCGAATGAGAGTAACATCGCGTTTGGACAATCAGGATGTGAATAATTCGACAAAACCGGAGCAAATCCGAACAATCCGAACACCTTAAATAAGGGATCCCGGGCAACGGACAGCAACAAAGTGAGCTCGTTTAACCCCCGCATCGGTTCGAGTACCCCATCAAATGGGCATGCCGGCAGATATGTTTAAAAAGGCTTCCGCAGAGATTCCTGCAAACGGATTCGCGGGGGGGTCCTGTGAATCTGTGAGGGAGTAACGCCAGAAACTGGTTTCAACCAAGCAAAAGGCCATCCATAAACCCCCACACCCCCGGCAAGTGAACTTCCTGGGCTTCTTGAGGGGCTTCCCTCCTTGAAAACGTCCGCGGCAAGTCACGTCAAGGAACTGCCGGCCCCTCAACTTGCATCAGCCTAAATGAGTTGTCAAAAATCGAGGCCCCAAAAATGGATGGACGAAATCCATTTCGCACCTCCGTTCACAAATCCATGATATTCGATCCCCCAACGTAAATACCGCAACATATCCTTGTGGCTTCATTCCCATGGTTTCTTAGGTGGTACGAAATGGATTTCGCACCCATACACTGTATGTAGCCAAAACTTGTTGCTGAATTGTTCCTTAGGGAGCTGGAAGTAACAAGTGATTACCTAGCATGGGGAGAGAAGAGGCACAGCCATATGAAGTCAATACCAAACAATGCCGCAACAAACCTGGTTGAAATCCCATGGATTTTTTGTTAGGTGGCGCGAGCCCGCAGATGACTCGCATAAGCATCCACATGAAGAAAAACACCTTTTATGGTTTCATTCCTCCCATGGTTTTCCCTTTGGTTCCAACTTTGGCTTTAAGTGTTTTTCCTTAAGGGTTGTCCTTCAACAACCCCAACAAAGCGCACAGCCAAAAGGCTGTGGCTCAAGAATAGGGGCCCGAAATAAAACCCTGGTACCTGAAAACGTAGACTAAAGCCTGCGTAACCCTACTTGGTTCACGTTGGAAGGGGAGCCAACTGTTTTTTTTAGCAGTTAAGTAAAGATTTCCCTCTAAACCACAACTACGCAAACATGGTTCAACTGTTTCCCAACCACTACCATGCCTAAGGTCTTGATATTTTTGAGCCGCACCCAAAAACATGTTTTCTCCGCTTTTCGCTTCTCGTGGCCCAGGCGCTTGGCGTGGATCTTGAAGATGTGCGTCCTGCCCTCCAGGTCCGGCAGCCCGAACTCGATCTTGCGATCCAGGCCTGGGCAGGCTTCCGGGCGGGTTTTCCGGCGGCTTTTCCGGCCGTGGGGTTGCCCCTCTGGACGCCATACTGTGGATGGACAAAATCCTCTTAGGCACCACCGTTCAGAAACCCTGGAATGATTATTCTCCTGTAAATACCAGCAAATTATCGTTTGTCATGGTTTCAAAGTGGTGCAGGATTTCGTCCATCCACAGTATGGGGATGTGTCTTTTTAAAAATTCGGACCCCCAAACTGGTGTTCCATGGGGATAGGTCGTTTAGGATTCGGACCATAAGAGTGTTGTTGTTGTTGTTGCTTTTTCTGGGGCTGTCCATTTGAGGCCACTAAAAAGGGGCAACAACTCCAAAACAAGACGAGCCAACATCTACATAAGGATGATGATGTTTGGAGCATGTACCCTGGATGGCGCCCGCATAGCCCATATATAAGCACGGATTCTCAGTTGCCCAGTGGCCATGGGAAAAAAGAATCGGTACCCTTTTTTGGGTTGGTTGAGTTTAAAGGGAACCCTTACCAAACAAAAAAAAAAAAGGAAGCAACCCACTGGGCAACCGAGGATTTTCGGGTATGTCCATTTGGCAAGTAGTAGGACCTTAGAATTTGGGGAGAATTCTTCTTGGAAGCTCAAGTCGGTGGACCGATTCAGCTGGAGCAACCCCATGCCATGGAATCTCCTTGGGCGATCCTTGGGAGATCCGATTCATTCTGTGGGTGGTGGAACTTATACTGGATACAGACCCCTTTCAGGAGAAAAAAACACGTCATGAGTCATGTGCGTGGGTGGTGGCAGACTATCCTGGATACTGAGCCCTTTCAGAAAAAACAAGAAGGTCATGAGCAAACATGGGCCAAGTGCCATCGCGATCGAACTTGATCCGCACTCAAATTTGGACTACTCAGCTTCCCAGCAAGTCTGGAGCCCTGGTGGTTTGGTGGTTTGGTGTGGTGTGGTTTCCCTTTTCCCCTCTGCAAGAATGGGCTCAAACCCAAATCCCAACCACCGATTCGGCTCCGAGCCAGCATTTAAGGTGCACCTGAACTGCTACGCCCGATTGAAACCAACAACCTCCATGTTTTTCAGTTCCCTGAAACAAAATGCTTCAAGTCGGGATAGATTCCCTTTAAAACCATCAGGGGAACATATAACCTTTTCCTAAGCAAAAGGAAGACAAGGAAACACACACACACACACACATTCTTCTCAAGCAAATGGCAAGTTGGGCTGGCCGTGGCTGCTCCCAAGTGAGCCTTGGTCAATGTTTATCGGGCTTTGGTGAGTAGCCACCTCTCACGTTGGGTGGTGAGTTGAGCTGTCGTTCTTTCTTGGTCCATGCCCTTCGCACATAAGTCTGAATATGCCCGGGGAAGCCCTTTGTTTTCCCAAAAAGGACGCCCTAAAAACAAGTGAAGCCAAATGATCCAAAACGAGGAGACCCGAACTTCAGCCACGAGAAAAGTTCGGCCAAAAACATGGCCCCTGGGCGTTTTTTTGTAGGGTTTTCCCCCTTTTCAATTTGGAACCAGTTGGAAACCCCAAAAAACGGTTCAGGCGTTTTTGTTCAGGGAACCTGCCCCTTGCCACGCCTCCCGTTGACCTCGAAACGGGGTCCCAAGAAAGGCCGAGGCGCGGCCGGGTCTCAGCAGCGCAGGGTCCAAGGTGTCGGGCCGGTTCGTAGCCATCAGCACCTTCCGATCTTCCGAAGCGCCCCGTGGATCCGATCCGAAGCGATCCGCGGGGGCGGCGGCTCTCCGACGCCCGGTGAGATATCTCCAATGATCTTGGAAAACCTGCAAAGGAACACCTGGGTTTCTGGTCGAACACCACGGGCCCCATAGTGTGTTGCGCCCATGTTTTGTTGATCGGATCCCAAACATGAAGCTTAGAAGCGCGGGGAGTGAAACTTTGTTTTTTCACCCAGTCAACACTAAACCATTAAACAACAAAGCAGTACGGCAATTGACTTTGAAGGAGAGTGGTCCAGCTTGCACAGGGTCCAATTTGTGCTGGTTAGTGGCGAACGGGCAAAAGGAGGACTTTGGACGCACATCTCTTGAAAAGGGATCCGCCAATTAGTCGACCTTCCAGTTGGGAAGCAACGTACGGCTCTAAAAAATGCAATCCTCAAAAAGACACAGCCACATATAGCAGCCGCACGGGCGCGAGTTACCAACTGGCAACCCAAAGGTGTTTAAAACTACAGGAAACCCTTGTTTTCCACCCCAGAGCAAATCCATTTGAATGGTCGACATCCAATCCAAATTACCCACCAAACCTGGTTTGAAGGGAAACCAAAGGCACCCGAAGTACCGGGCCAAAACAAATATCCAAACTTTTTACTTACCACTAAAATGGTCCAAACCCAAAAAGTGACTAAAGTCCATGAACTCAGGGTGTGACCCTCTCTCTTGATTGCTGTTGACCCCCCTTGCAAAAAGTTTAACTTGTTTTTGGGGTTTAGTGGAAAACCCAATTTGACTTCATCCAACAAGTTAAAGTCTAAAGATCCGTTGCCCAATAGCAGTCAAGAAAACCAACAAAGAAGAGGCTTTTTCAAAAAAACACAGGCAAACACCAGGGGCACCAAAAGGGAAATGGTTGGACTTTTTCCAGACCCCCGATTTAGCTTCCGCGCCACCCCCTTCGTGCCTTCACGTTCCCCCGAGAGTCGAAGCCATCGAGCTGATTCACGATCTCCAGCATCGTGCGCTGAACCTGGCGACGGCGTCGCTCGGCAAATCGAAGCAGGCTTGCAGGCGTTTGTTTTCTTTGAACCCCCCCCCAAAAAAAAAGAAAAAAGAAAAAGAAAAACATATATATATATATGCATACACACACACATATATATATATATACACATACTGAAATCGTGAGGTGTGTCTAGTGGAGAGGTCGGGTCCATTGAAAGCCGAAGCCAGGAGCCTCTGACACATGCGGAGGCTTCCACGAAAAATTGCAGACCAGGGACTGCCGAGTTGAAGCCGCAGGTTTCCCGCCCCAGAAATTTGCTTGAAACCGCTCCGGAAGCCGCAAACCCAAGCCGTTCGGGCTGGGCGGGTTCCTCCGCGATTGGTTGCGCTAAGTCCGGGTTTCCCTGGAACGTGGAACTAAAAACACGCTTTTTGGTAGTCATGTCCCAAATTGACATGGAACCTAAAAGGATATCTTTTTTCCTACATCACCAAGAACCTCCTGCATGTTAACCTACATACAAAATAGATTTAGCATTTTTCCGACTACCCTCCTGCAAATTCACCAAAAATAACTACTACCCTCCTTCCTTCTTACCCTCCTTCCTTAACCCAACATGGATCCATTTCCCACAAGACTCATTTCCCACCAAAAGACTCGAGCCTCAAGCGGGGCGGAAAGTGTTCTGGGGGTTCCATAGACCAGCCCTGCCCGGAGGCGCCCAAGGCTTTTCCAACAAAACCGTTCACCGGTTCACCGGTGGTGTGGTGGTTGGGATTGGTGGGAATCCCAGCCTCTACAAGAAGGGGTTCACATTCAAATCCCAAAAACAGTTGGTGGGAAGCGGTTTTCAGCTTCCCGCTGAGTGGTGGTTTGGATTGGTGGTTTGGTGGTTAGGGGGGGGGGGAGTAACCGCGATTTACCCTCTACAAGAACCTGGGGTTTAAATCCCAAGCCACCAATTGAGGGTTACCTGAGTTTTGGTTCACCGCCACGTTAACCTTTTAAAAGGCACACAACGGCCTTGGCGTTGGAAAGAACTGAGACGTACGGCCTCAAAAAAGTGGGCTAGAGTCCAGTGGCTAACCACTTACAAACTTGGCTGAAGACCCAAGTACTCTGTAGTTTAACATGGAACCCAACAAAGCCTTGCCATGTGTAGAGGAATCTCCTTTTGGGGTCGACCTAGGCTTCCGCAAATTGCCCTCGGCCTCGCTGTCGCTATTGCCCTCGTCTCCGCCGCGGGAGCCGCCAATGGCATCCACCTAACTGGTGGTTTGTTGGTTTCTGGATTCCGGGGTTTTGGGCGGCGGATCCCGTGATTCACAGAGGATTTCGGGGTTTTGCTTGGGGGCCAGGCGAGGCGGGTCAGGTCGGAAGGGGAGACCTGAGGTAAGCCCTATGCATTGGCATTCGGCAGGCCCTGTTTTCACTTCTGCCCTATTTTGCAGCAAAATGATAGAATGAAACATGGGAACAGCCTAACGGCTTGTTGGGTAGCAAACCGGGCGACTTGTTAGGCTGAGCAGCGAAAGGATAATGTAAACTCTCACACTTTTTGCAGAAGTTGCCCTTTGTGCGCCCTTCCTCACATCACGTTTTCTGGTTAGTAATTAATTAGGCGCAAAGCACTGAGGCAGCCCAAAAACGGGGGCATCAAACAACAAGGGCGGTTTGTACGCAGATTCAGCTGGTGAATGGAAGGTTGGCAGGAGAAATTCGGCAGCCACATTAAGGCTCAGCAGCACATCCTGCTTCATCAAAAGTGTGGTAACACTTTCAGGGTTGCAATGTCGCTGTTTGTTCTTGTGCTGCAAAAACAACGTTTCATGGAAATATACCCGTTGGGATGTTTCGAAAAGGCCTTTTCAGCTCCAAAAAGTTGAAATATGCTTTGACGAATCGTGCCTACGATGAATATTTGATCTGTTTCGGGATGTTTCAGGGGATGTGCCAGGTGTCCGTTCGAATATGTACGTGATATTTCAAAGCCCTGGTTGCTGTCCAGGTTGGGGGCGGGGGTTGCCACGACTGATCTGCGATGTTAATAAAGAGCTCACCGATTCGGGGGTACAACGAGCTCACCATGATGAAGGTCCTGTACTTGGGGCTCCAAATCTTCCATAAGGCCGCATTTAACTTGGTTGCTGTTGAATCCTCCGCAAAATGCTTAACTTTTTGTGGGTTTAGTACGGAAAACCCCACTTGACTTCACAAAGAGTTAAAGTCTAAAGATCCAACCCAATAGCAGTCAAGTTGAGAGCATTCTTGCTAGGGAAGGGGGGAGGCTTTGGGGAATGATGCTGGGAGGCGGGAAGCGTGCGGCCTGCCTCATCGATGAAGAGAATGCATGCCTTCTTGGTCCTGCAAAGGCCCAAGGCCCAGGGGGATCAGGAGTCCATCAAATTCCCAGTTGCACCCTTTGTTGGTTTGTTGAGTTTAAAGGGGAACCCTTACCCAAAAAAGGAAAGGAGGGCACCACTGGGCAACAGAGATGAGGGCGCTAAATAAGGCTGGAAACTGAGCCTTCTGCGGTGGAAATCGGTGGATCTACGAAGGCCCGGGACTTCTGAACGCTAAAACGGCGGCAAAGTCCAAGAACCCTTGTGTGAAAATGCCGAAAATAGAAAGAAGACCGGAGGTACTTCTTGGTGTTCAACCCACATGGTATAGCCTAGGGGTGATTGGAGTTGGCCGCCCTGTAGCCGTGGTTATAAATAATTTGGGTTGAACGTCCCCAAGCGCTTTTGCACATCCCGGTTCCAATTCTTTGAGGGCATCGTCATTTTCCCAGGTTCTCCTTTCCTGAGTTTTTTTCGAGTTGTGTTGACCCTGGATTTGTGTGTGTCTCCAACAGTGATGCTTCCCCACCCAAGTAAGCTAGCTCTCCAACCCTTGGTATGGGCTTGCAGGAAACTTGCCTGTTGTGCAGCCCCTCCAAATGAGCAGAACCAACGAACCTACAAACCTCAAAATGCGATCCAACAGTGAAGCTCCCTACCCAGAGGCTCCTGGGGCTTTCAATGGAAGACCCGACCCCTCCATTAGACACCCCGCACACCGGTGTTTGGGGTTCTCAAAACCTGGCTGTTTGAGGGCCCCAAAAACTCATCGAATTGGAGCCTCTGGGCAATGAGCAGAACCAAACAACACAAACCAGGGCTATGGGAAAGGGAATCCACTTCTGCCATACGACAATAAGGGCCTCCCAAAGACTAACCCACCACATACCGGTAGAAAATTCCCCAAGGTATCACAGAAGTGGGGGGTTTACACCCCGAGTGATCCCACAACCAAACGACACAAACACCTCCAAACGCGATCGATCCGCGCCTGGCCAGCTGAAAGAGCTCCCGCACCATGCGGGCGCCCTCCCCCACGTAGCGCTGCACCAGCTCCGAGCCGATGACGCAAATGAAGCAGGCGTCGGTGCCTCAGAACCGGTCTCTGGGAGGAAACGGTTGGGATTGAATCGTGATTTTTTTTGTGGATCCACCAACCTGTAGGATATTAGAAGACTACTAAAAGAGTACAAAAAAAAGGAAGAACTGCGTCCAAACCGTTTTCTAGAGAGTCACGTCAGGTACTTGGATGTACGGCCAAGTTAGCAAGTGGTTCACTTGGGTTGTAAACCCCTAATTTACAAGGAATTAACCCCACTTAGCAGGGCTCAACCGTGGGTTATAATCTAGGTTGCCATCAACTTACTAGCTTGGCGGAACACTCAGTTTAACAGTTTAACGTGGAACCCAACAAACCAACCATTTCTAGAGGAATCTCCTTTTGGGGGAGACCTCTTTTGTGTTCCATGCTAATTTTGTAGGGGAGTAGGTGACTAAGCGGACAAACCAGAGGAGCTCAGCGAGTGGGAACATGCGGATAGGCGGCTTGCGGCTAAAAAAGCAAGAACTGAATATGGAAAGGCGTTAAAAGGTGAGCCTAGGTCGATTTGCTTTGCGTGAGACGAAGTCTGGTTCCTCAGATTTCTTGAGAGGGCTGATCCATTTCAGTCGCCTGTGGGCACCTGGCCACTGCCCGAGGGGGGGGGGGGGAGAAGCGCAAATCGGCAAACCAATCCAAGCCACCAGTTCCCCCAGGTTTGAACCCCCGTTGATCCGATTTGGAGGATGACAATCCTTAGGTAAACAATGGTCGTGAAATGAACCCCTCATGACTCATGACCAGTTGAGACATAATCAACACCGATCGGTATTGAAACTCAGATGCCCAGTGGCCATGGGAAAAAAGGGCAATTTGCTGGTTGAGTTTAACGGGGAACCCAAGGCAAAATGGGCACCACTGGGCAACAGAGAAAATGGTCTACCCAGAATCATGTAACAAGGCGGCGAAGGCACTCATTGGTTGGGATTCTCCCTTAACCTGCATCTAGCCGGGTTTTGAGGGCGTGGCTCAGTTGAGGGTTGCTCGAAAAACAACATCGACAGCCAAGCAAAACCACGCTAAGGGGGGCTCACGATCCTGGCCTGGGTACTCGGATTTCGAAATGCACTCCAGGAAAAAGAAGAATATGGAAGCCACCCAGTTTGGGGTTCCCGCATGAGGGAGGTAAATCTCCCATCACATCTGGGCAACAAAAAGATAGGTGCCCTCCATGCCTTACTTGGTGGACACCTACTGTGGATGGTTGCGAAATCCATTTCGCACCACCGTTCAGAAGCCCTGGAATGGTCTGATTCCTAACATAAATACCAACAAACAGTGGTTTCAACCATGGCGTAGGATTTCGTCCATGGAAGCCGCGCAGCCATCGGCTTTAGAGCAACCTCCTTTAGGAGACCCTCTTTTGGGCCGCATGTGAATCTGGCGATTGCCAAGTTTCTCCTTCTGAACATTACCCCGCGCAAGGGAGGTTCACTCCCTTTGTCACCGCAAAATGGGTGAAGGTCGGTCCCATCCCCAGGATCATGAAAGTGAATCCTCAAAATCACCTCTACATGGTGGTGTCAACGGGCTTCCCATCCAACATACTATCACATGAGAAGCTCATTAATGTATTCCCACCCTAAAATGATCGAATGATCACCTCATTTAAGAAACGCATTCCCACCCAATATCATTCAATGCCAACCTCATTATCCGACCCATAACAATCAAACGAGATCCCTGAACCTTGGGTGCTGTAGATCCCTCAGCAAAAAGTTTAACTTTTTGCAGGTTAGACAAGTTCAGACGAGGCGTATCCCAAAAGGTGAAAGTCTCAAGATCCAACCTTCAAAAAGTCCAACATTTTGCAGGTCCAAAGGACATATATGAGGATATCCAAACAGTTAAAGTCCAAAAATCCAACCAAATGGTAGAGGAACATGCACCGACCTCGGGCTCCTCCAGCCCCCCTCCAGTGTTGTGGGATCACTCGGGGTTTATCCCCACTTCTGAGATACTTTGGGGAATCTCCCCCTTTATATGACAGGTTAGTCGTTGGGAATCCCTTTCTGTATCACAGAAGCGGATTCCATTTCCCACAGCCCTACTCAACTTGGCTGGAAGAAGGGGACCCCAGCAAAAACAAAACATGTTTTGCCTGGTCAGTGGAAAACAAAGGGGACCCCAAAAAGGCAAGAAAAAACAAAACAGGGGACCTAATTCTGGGGAAGTCGAACCCCATGGGAAGCGAGCGACCGACTCGAAAACCGAGGCCCGGGCGATTGGCCACCGCGCGGGCGGTCAAGGTCTTGCCCGTGCCGGGGGGTCCATACAGCAGCACGCCCTGGCGAGCCGCTGTAGGAAGGCTTGAGGTGAAGTTGGTTGGAACATCTTGCCCCCAGACCCGTATCTGAACGGGACCCCTTATTAGCTGAGCAACACCAACAGAAAAAAACAAAAACTCAAAACACAGGAAATTGGACGGCTCCTCTCGTGTGGCTGGCTCGTCGCTTTCGAGGAGTTGGACCCCACAAAAAAAGACACATTCGATTCTGGGCTGGTTGAAAGGGAAACCAAAAGGAGAAGCCACCATTTTGGGGTGATTCAAAAAAAAAGTGCCCTGAAATGGTGGGTGTTCCCTTTGGTTTCTCTTTGACACCACCAAAAAAGGTCTCCTCCCCAAACAAAAACAACAGAAAAAAAACAGGAGTGAGTATATTTACGGTCACCCCCCTCCCCCTCCCCCCCCCCCCCAAGACCCCTCAACAAAAAGCTCTTGTCCGTTTACAGGAAACCTGTCGCTCGCGGTTCCTCGGTTCCTCGGTTCCTCGGTCCCTCGGTTCCTCGCGCCTTGGGAGGATCGATGCCCAGCGCCACAAAGCGCTCCGGCTGCAGCAAAGGCATCTCCACCACCTGCCAACACCGCAAGCCTCTGAGCGTTTCCTTATGTTTGGTCAGGATTTGCTAAGGGCAACCTGAGGGTTTGCTGAGGGTTTGTTTTGGTTTTCTCAGGGTTTTCCCCTGAAGAGAGTGTCCTTGGGCTTGCTTCCTGAGCAAACCCCTTTGGATTCCCTTTAAAACCACAAACAAAGGTACCAACATGTACCAACTCCAAAAACGGACACCCCCCATATGGACGCCCGGAATTTCATATTGCAAGTGAACCATACAAAAACCACATGGTACATAACATGCCAGTTTTACTGGAGGGTTCCCTTGCTCCTTTGGCAATATTTGGGGCATGGAGGTTCTATAGAACTGGCTTGCAAGCTGGTACCGTTGGTATACTTCCGCCCCATACCTGCAAGACTGCCTCAGCATGCCGTTGACCCTGGCGAAGCTTGGGTCTTTGAGTTGCTGGCTTGTTGAGATATTGTTCGAAGGCTGGTAGTATCAAAATGGTCTACCCAGTGCCATGGAAAGAATTGAAAAGGCGGAACCCACCAACTTAAACCCAAAAGAACCCTCTTTGGTATCAAGCCATTAAACCCCTGGTCTGGCGGTGTCCCTAAAAAAACATGAGAAACAACACAAACAACAACAACAACAACATGTTTAGGTGTCAAAGGAAGCCCAAACGAAAACCACATTTTTTGGGTGCCCCCAAAACAAAAACATCCCCCCAAGCCTCGCGGAGGCGTTCAAGCTGCTCCTTAGCGCCCCCGACGTCGTTGTAAGTGACGTCCGGCTTCTCCTAGCGGTCGGTCCACGCGCTAGAACTTCCCATTCGAGTGGATGGGGGCCAAAAAAGCAAGTCCTGGGACATGTTAGTTAGGCAACCAAGCCCAAACAGTTTTTGTATTTACCACACACATGGGCCCAAAAGTCCTGGAATTTTTTGGCCACCAAAGTGGTCCAGACCATTTTAGTGACTAAAGTCCGAAACGGAACTCAGGAAGTGAGTCTAACGTTGCTCCCACCCTTGACATCCCATCGAGTGGATTGGCCAAACAAGTAGGTCTACCTCTCCTGGATGGTTTTAAATGGAAACCATCAGGAAACCACCCATTGTGGCTCGCTAAACAAGTCAGGAACTCTCTTTTTCCCAAAATGCCTTGGTTCCTGCGAGACCGGGCAGCCACGGAATTCCAATTGAGCATGTGGCAAAATGGGAAAACCCCGCAATAGTGATGGTTCTCCTTTTGGATTCCCCTCAAAAAACCACCCTGAAAAAGGCTCCCTCTATCCAACAATCTTGGAAGAGCACAGGGGCGAAGCCCCAAGGCAGGTCTTCCCAAACCCTCCGATCAGCTTCCATGATTTGAGGGAAGTCCAAACTGGCTGCCTCACAGTTACCCTCTAGTAGTTTTCGCTCAGTCCACGGCGAAACTTGTGACGTGGCTCTAAATCTGTGTATGCTCTGTCCAAGGAAAGTGTGAAAGCCTGATATGTTGCCTGTTGCGCAGGAAATTTGAAATCCAACCCACAGAGTTGAAGGTGAGTTTGGTGATAGCAAGCATCCAAGTCTTGTTGGCCTTCACTGCTCAGCTCACAAGTGTGCCGTATGCCTAATTCCCATTGGGCTGCAGCGCAAATCAGCCTGATGGCGCTTCTTGGCCCTACAAATTCCATGTTTGTCAGTTCAAAGGCGCGATTGATTATTGGAGCGACTGGCCAGGAACGGCAATATCATGCACTGGCCGCACCTCACAACCAATGCCTCACAAACCCTACTAAAAATGAACAGACCAAACAACGCACGAAAGCACTTGCTCCAAGAACAGTGAATGATGTTAACACATGAGTACAAATGTTCTCCATCCCCTCGGCATTTCGAGACATAGCACCCTCACTCCTCAACCGTCATCATGGTGACGCTGGGGTCGATCTTTGGCGGGAGAGGGATCTGGATCCGGTACCTCATAGCTGGCGTGTGTCCTTTGCTTGAGGGTACCCCCTTTTTGGTGGTTTTGAAGGAAAACGAAAAGGCCAACCATCAATTGTTGGGGTCCCCTAAAAAGAGACCCACCCAAATGTGGGCTGGAACTCATCAGTGCGGTGCACTTCAATACCTTTGAGCAAGCCACAAAAACCATCCCAACCCAAGGCCCTAAGGTGCGACCCTGTCTGTCCACCATACCGCTGCTTGTTTTACATGCTTAAGCCACCATTCTACAAACCCATATTCGTTTGGCCATCGGATCCCTTGTTAAAACCATGTTGTAAGCCACGGTGTTCCAAAACAATCCGTTTTTGTTGCTAGGGGTCCGGGGCTTGGTTCAAGCCATTTTTCCATGTATCAAGCCATGGGTTTCAAACGAATCCATTTTGGGCTTGCCCCCGGGGCTTGGCTCACTTGCTCAAAGGACCTGGAAGTAAAAGGTTAACCTTTTGGGACCTGTACTAAAAATAGACCAAACTAGGAAAACCAAAAGGTTAGAAGGTCGATTCGCTTTGGGCAACTGAGTTGGTGCTTGAAGAACTTGAAGCCATGAACCTGGCGCTTTGCGGCCGCCCCGCCCCAAGCGGCCGCGCAAAAAAACAACCAGGGCGCTTGCCGCCGTGGGAGGTGTCCACGCCCACGCGCATGGACTCCTCGATGTCCGTGGCGGAGACCTTCTCCCCCAGGCCCACCACGAACTTGGCGAACTCACGGATCTTGATCACGTACCTCAGCTTTGGGGGAAGTTGGGGTTGGGGGGGAGGGCTTGAGGTGGGAAAAGTTGGGAGTGTTGCAAAGCTGGGAAATTCCCCCTCAGTTGTTCAGTGACCCTGGAAAACAAAGACGGAACTCTTTTTGGGCAAGACCATTTTAGCGGGGCAGCCACCAAACAAAAAGTGGAAAACCATTGGTGCCGCTGAACAACTGAGCCCAATCCACCTGAGTTGCTTGGTGAGCTGGGGGCTTGGAGGCGAGCTGAGGGCTTGGAGTGCGTGCTGCAACTACCCTCAAATGCCACTGAGGAACTGGCTGCACCAGGCAACCAGTGACCCCAAGCTCTTGAGTTGATTGGCCCAAGCAAAGTGCCTGTGGTTTATCAAAACGTGCCAAACCCCAAAAAGGTGAACAAGTCCAGGAACTCGGGGAGTGGGTCCCTTGCCGACAGATTTGGGGGAGAGAGGGGTGTTCCCTTGAATCCCTACACCTGCCCAATTAGTCGACCCTTTTGCTACCCGACCGGGTTCCCTGCCTACCGACCGTGCGAAACTCGCAAGCCCAAAAGGTCTGGACACAGGCTAACCCAAAAACGGGAAGCTAACATGGGGAAACCAAAACTCGGTTGCTTTCTGCTCCCCTGCTAAAAGTTCAACTGTTAGTGGTTTAATACGAAAAACCCAGTAGTTGGCAAAAAGTGATTCAGTCCTAACATCCCTTGGCAAACTGCACCAAAGAACTTGTTGCTTTACCCTTTTGATCACCCTTTTGATGACTAAGATCCCCCTCCTGTCTAACATGGAACCTGAGGCTTTGGGGTCTGACACCAAAGAAAAGGTCATCGCCGGATTCGCTTAACGAGAGGCTTGGTGTCATCGGTGCCGGGGTCGATGATCTTAGTGACACGGGCCACCTGCAGCGCTTGCTCCTGGCAACGGCCAAGGGTCATCTCCTGATCGTTGCTCATATGGGTCTGTCTCTTTTTTGGGGGTCACCCAGGAAACCAATGGAGAAACCGATTTTTTGTTTTGGGCTCAATGTTGACCGCGGATCTACATAAATCCCATCCTATTGATAGGGGGGTGTCCCCCTAAAGGGATGAATCCCAAGGACACCCTACTAATACACTGGGGTTGGTTCATCTGGAACTTGTCAGGAAACTTGTGGCTAGTCTCCAGAACCATGTGAGGATCACGTGCCGAAGGCAGCTGAGCAGTAGCAGGCGCAGCAAGTTCACCAAGCGGTTGGAACCTTTTAGACGTTAACGCTGGACCAACCAACCCATGAAGTTGTATACAAGTCATGTCCGGTGCTTCAACTTCAAACAGCCGCGCAAAAAAAAAAAAACATACGCCGGGACATGCACACAAACACACCAAACATAGGGGTGCTTCCTCTGTATTGGAGCTACTCGACATGTTAAATCTGTGTTCAAAAAGCTCCGTAGGGAGACACATGCAACAAAATGTGGCCTTCCCTTGGTTTCCCCGATGCTTCCCTTTCATCCGAAAAAAAAGAAAGGGTACAGTAGGTTCAAAATATAATATGTGGTCAAAGTACCATCATCTCGAATCTAGCAATATGGAAGTGAGCTCATGAACTATCTGTTAACTTGCCCCAAACAAGTGCATACCCAGAGGGGGGTCAACCAAAAACCGGGCGGCTTGCCTTTGGTGTTTTCCTTTAAACCAACCCTAAGAATCAAACATGCCCCCCAACCCTCCTTTGGAATCTTCCGAACACTTTCGTGGACTCGCTGGGAAAGTCGCACAACCCGTACCTACTTCTCTTGGATACCCCGAGCTTGGCTCCGTTCCAGCAAGCTTCTCTTGGAGACCCCGAGCTTGGCTCCGTTCCAGCCAGCCGAGTGCCCTCGAGTCTTTCCTTCAACCCTCTGCAAATTTGGGAAGAATTCGAGAACCTGAAATAACTCAGATGCTCAGTGGCCAGGGGAAAAAATGGGCATCATTTTTTTTGGGGGGGGGGTAGTTGATTTTACAGCGAATCCATCCAACAAAAAAAACACTGGGCAACTGGGATAAGAATCAGGGATCCCCAAGTTAAGGATTGCGAGTAGAGTAAAGGATCGGTATACCATGGCTTTCGCTCGTGTTGCCCTCCGAATCGGTGAGCTTGCCAAAGATCATGCAGCCCTGAGGGAAAACTCGCACCGTAACTCGATCCTTGAACCTCGAGTCCCTTGAGCCTCCAATTGAGCCAGAGATGCCCAGTGGCTATGGGAAAAAAGGATCGGCACCCCTTTTTTGTTGGTTGAGTTTACAGGAATCGGAAGCCTTCCCAAAAAGAAGGAAAAAAGGGGCGGAATCCACTGGGCAACAGAGTTTAAAGGAATTGGAACCCTTACCCAAAACAAGTTGACAAAAGGAAGCAACCAATTCACTGGTTGCAACAGAGAAATGACAAGCCAATATAACCGCAGGAATTTTGGTCCTTGGTACCCCATTTAGCAGGGTAGCCCAGGGCCGTGGGGAATGACCACTTCTATGATACAACAGAAAGGGCTTCCCAAAGACTAAATTCCCCATACAAAAAAAAGAAGAAGAAGGAATTCCTTTGTATCACAGAAGTGGGGGGGGGTAAAATTATTGTGATCCCACAACCCTGGCAAGTAGCCCATTTTGGGGTTGTCCGCGCTCACCCGCGCTCGCTGGCTCGCTGGCTCCTGCTTCATCATCTGCTTGTCCCCCTCGAGGTCCCACTGGCTGGGGGGCGCCAGGCCGGTGTCCGACTCCTCCGGCTCGAAATTTTCCGCCGCCGAGCGGAGCGGGATCCGCCGAAGCCGAGAGAAGGCGGGTGCTGTCGTGCCCCCCCCCTGCTGAAAGTGAGTCTCACTTTGAGGGGTTTGATACGGACAATGCCCATTAGTTGGCGAAAAGTTGGCAACATGCACCCAAAGAAAAGGCTGGCCGTTGGCCGAGTCTCCGTTTCAAGCCGAGGGGAGCCTAAAAGAAGGATCCAGGATCCGATGTTTCAGCTTGGACCACCGAGCAAGGCTCGGAATCTTACCGTTGGAAACAAACTGGGTGTGTCTTAAGTCTTAAAGGAGACCCCCAAAGTAGCGGTTGTCCCTTGGGTTTCCCTTTGGACCAACCCAAGGTACTCCGAACAGGCAAACACCACTGGAGAACATCCAACATTGCCCAAGGAAACCTGAAAAGTGGACGGAAGGAACCTGCAAAAATCTGAATCTTTTCCAAAGCCAAGCTTTGGCAAGGTGTGGCAGGATCAAAGGCTGCATTCATGCGCCATTTCTTTGGTCCTCTGCAGGAAGTACAACTCAGGTGCCAACCCCACAACCTGAATCATTCTGGAACCGCTGGCCTTAAACACGCCCAGTCAGCTGGTCATGTTCAACCTCATATTCTGCTTCAGGTGCCACACGCAAATTGCTAGTCGCGAGAGTTTCCCTTGGAAACCAGCAGGGAAGCAACCCTTAGTGTACACGGCAATCTGCTACTAGTTCTGCATCTTAACCTGGGTTCCGCATCTTCGCCATGAGAAAAACGAAAGTGTGTTCGATACCGAAGGCCCCAAAGCTCCCTGCATTCATCGACCGGGGGGGAAGCCGACACTGGTTTGCAAAAAGCAAAGCCCGACAGCTCCTTCACGCCGATGAGCTTGTTGATCTTGCTGATGTATTCCTTTGCTTCCTTCCTTGGAAGAATCCCAACTACCCTGCCTAAACCTCCATTTCTTTAGGGAGGGTAACCTCGCACCTATGGAACCTTAGGATATAAAGGAAGATGATGTTTCTTTTGCAGCCTTCGGCCAGCTTTCATGTAAAAAAGGGGGAAATCAGCCATCGCTTTTTTGGGGACACCCTCGGCTACATGACGCAAAGCAATATGGAAGGCTCCGAGGGGGGATGGGTCCTGACATATGCTCTCTTGTCGATTCGAAGGGCCTGAAAAGGGATGTGATCTAAGAAGGCCCCCGAACAAGGCCCCTAACAGGGGTGCCTCCCCGCCTTTCATAGGCCAAAAAGGTAATGTTTAAAACCCGCCAATAAGGGAAACACAGGGATCCCTGATACTAATGAAATTCTAGGCCAAACCTGGCGTTGAACCGAAAGGTCCAAAAGTCGATTCGTTTTGGGTGATGGCCATGCAGATTTTGACAGGCTGATGGCGCTGAACGCACCGACCCGGCGAAGGGCGGGTGACTTCAATCAGCCTCCCTCTAACGGGAGGTTTGGATTGGTTTGGGATTTGAACCCCTGGTTCTTGCAGAAGGTACATGGTAAACCCCTCCTTAACCATCAAACCACCAATCCAAAGCACCAATTCGAGGGAAGATTCAAGTCTAGGTCCTCCAGTAGAGAGGTTTTAGAATAAGTTGGTACCAACTGTTTTTCCTGTAGTCTATTTTAGTAGGGGAACCCTCCCCCAAAAACGAAACGGTTTTCAGGGCACCCAGCTGGGACCTACCGGGAACCGGTTCCTTCAAGGGAAGCCCCCCAGGAAAAGAAGGGGATGAAGGGGCACAGGAAAGGACCGAGAGGTAATTTGAGGGTCGAACCATTTTCACAGGTGGGCAAAAAAAAAACGCGCCCTTTTCCTGGAGGAAAGCTGATTGAAGTGGTAAAATTTTCTGAAAAAAACTAGCTCCTTGGAACCGATGACACCCGAGCCGGATATGTTTTTTCGCCCGAGCCGTTCGGCCGAAGGCCCAAGGCCGGTTTCCTGGGAACCCGGCTCGGCCACTTTGATGGGCTCCACGTAGGGGCCAACACCTGGCAGACATCAAATCGCAGCACTTTGAAACATGCCTGGTCCTTCTTTCTAAACCTTCGGAAACCAAGGGAAGGAACAAATTCATGTCGCACCAAGAAATGGGTGTGGCTCAAAATTAAAGAGCTGGGGCAAACCGCAGGTTTTAGCCTTTGGTTTCATGTACCAAGGAGCCATTTTGGCACATTTTTCTGAGCCACAGCCAAATGAAACCATGGCCAAAACCATTCTTCACAACCCTTGCAGTGTGGGCCTCAGCAAGGAACTGACTTTTTCTGCCGTTTTGCAGCCCCCGGACCTAAAACTGAACAGAACTGAAGCATTGTTGGTTGGTATTCGCAGGGGAGTCATCATTCTAGGTATTTCTAGATGGTGCGAAATTGATTTCATCCAGTAGAGAAAGCACATGCGGGTAGATTCTGTGCAGTTTTATAGGCCCGCTAGACTCACATGATGAAAAGCAAATTTGGATACCTCCAGCTCCTTGCACCATCTAAGAAAACCCTGGAATGATGATTCCCCGTAAATACCAATAATAATAATGGTTTCCCACAGCTTCAAAGTGGTGTAGGATTCCGTCCATCCACAGTATGTCTCTCAAAGGCAGCTTCCCACATGTCCCCCTTCCCGCGCCGTAGGTTCGCATGATGATGACGTCATCCTCGTCCAGGGCTTGGGTTGCTGGCTCGTCTTCGTCCTCGTGCGTACAGAGCGTGGCGCATAAGCCACATATGGCTGTGCCTTTGTTGGGAGACAACCCCCCCGAAAAGAAAAAAAAAAAAAAAAAAGTACAATAAAAAATGTGGATGGACAACACTCTTGAAAGATTTTCGAGTTTAGTCCATCCCTGACAAACCCCTGATTCACAGGGCGGCTGGAAGGGCCTGCTCAATACCCCCCCTCACCAGCATATAGTAGTACGGGGGGGGGGTCATGGAATTACCTAAAGTGGAACCAAACGACAAACCAGCAACTGTTCTTGAGCCATATTCGTCGCTCAGGAACGGCCTTTTCTTTGCAACCTTCTGCAATTTGCCCGAAACCACCTTGGGGGTTCCTGGGCGCAAGGAATCTGATCTCCGGCGTCTTGGTGTCATTTCCCCCGTGCTTGGTTCCAAGGGTTGGTTCGCGGATGACCATATAGCCTACTAGGTTACAGGCATGGTTCTATCTGGGGTAAGTCCCCCCTTCTCACCGTCCCACTTGGTACAACCACGGCTTTCGGTGTAAAAACGCGGTTGCAAGCTGCGTTTCTCACGGTTCTAACCCACATGACACCCGCGTGGGTGGCTAACCCCGCTTGAACCAATCTCCTCCACAGCGGTGCCCTGCTTGTTCGCCATTTGCGAGTCCTCGCGGCTTGCCCCTGACTGACCCTGGCCCTAGCTCCCCCAAATCCCGTAGAACAGTCGAACTTTTTCAGAGCAACCTCTCAGTCACTTCAGTCACGGGGTGCCCCCGTTTCCCTTTCGTGGAACCCCCAAACGTGGCGATCGTTTCAAATGAAACCGCCTGTACGTTGCAACTTTGGAACGGGAGTCATGCCTCTGAAGCTTGAGTAAGGATTTGCCCGAACAGGGCATGGCCACAAAAAACGGCGGGACTTGGCATATGTGAAAGCACATGTATTCCCAGCACGCACACACACACACACACACAACATCCCATTTTCCCCTGTGGCTGTCACACTATTCCCAAACCACTGTCCCCAGGAGATGTAGCATCTACCTTGTTTGCTAAACCGTTTAACTCTTTGTGGGTCCAACGGAAAATCCAATTCTTCCCAAACAGTTCAAGTCCAAAGATCAAACCAAATAGCCATAAAGTTACAGTATCCGCACATAGAACCAGTAGAGGCTGCGCAACGGGTACACATGAATTTGCCTTGGAGTATGGAAGGACAGGTTCGAAGGGCTCGTTTGCGGATGTTAGCTGGGTGCGAACAAGAAATTATGCCATGTAACATCAAATACCAATCCCCTGTTGGTTTCCCTTTGGTAAAAAAAAATAGCAGCTATATAAGTAACCATCAGGATGCCGCAAAGGATGATAATCAAAGCGCATGCGAAATCAGCTGATTTTCTTAGGCCCAATCAGTTGCTTGAATGTCCCACCTGGCAGTTCGCGTCCTCAAGAAGAGCCCGGAGAAAAAGGACAAAATATGTTCTTTTTTAATTTAATTATGTTTCTTAATAATAATAATAATAATAATAATAATAATAATAATAATAATAATAATAACACACACACACACACACACACACCAAAAAACGCATCCGGTCCAGAGAATCTTGCGGCATGGTGAGGGCCGGGAATCGAATTCGGTTCCTATTTTTCAGCTTCGGCTCGGCCCTTCGCTTGAGCCAGTCTCGCGGATTTGTTTTGCTTTGTTGTTTTGAGTGGGCTGGTCGACTCTGGAAACAACTTGAATCACCAGGCCCCTCCAAATTCCCTTAACAATAAGTCATAATCGCCCCAAAGTCATGGGGTAAACTCTCTTCTTTTTCTAAAATGGTATAGTTTGAGGGTCCCTCTGGTTCTCAGCTTCCCTCTGGGCCCGGTGGTTTGGGGCCCGTTGGAGGTGTCGCATTTACCCTCTACAGGCCACCAATGGGCTTGCCACGGCTGGCCGAAATCATCGAGCTGCCCTTCCCTGGACAAAAGGTCGTTGACCGCTTGATTCCAAAGCGTCCAGGCTTCGGCAATTCGGTCACACCGAAGGCCGGCCATGAAAATTCCAAGATACCCCCCCCCAACTCTCCCCAGCCACCCATCCCCCCCCAAAAAAAAAGAAGAAAGAACAACAAGAAAAACCTGATGAACAAAAAACAAGCATGAAATTCATGCTGGCATGAATTGGGGGGAAGCGCTTCCCATTTCTCCGGGAAAGCTGGGTCACGCATCAATTGGCATCAATGCCCCCGCCCGGTTTGAACTCTTCACAACCCTTGATGTGGCAGCGGAAAAAAAAGGCACCACCGTTTCTTCGTTTTGTTTGTGTGTTTTTTCTTGTTTCGCAGCCCCCGTCTAAAACTAAACAGAACCAACAAAACAAGAAAATGCCAAGAACCCCAAACTCAGGAAACTTGATCCAAGAACAGTGAAGAAACTGGAAAGACAGCCTTGCAACCTTCGACAATCTGGAGGACCCCATGGCTTTGGCGGTTCACTTTTAGGGGATCTGAGGATGGCCCAGGTTGGCATCCAGAGAATGAAAATGCGAGCAATAATTACTGTGGATGGACACCACTTGGGATAGACTGGGCCCCTTGAAGTGTTTGCCCCAAAGTTCGCATTCTCAATGCTTACTGTTCAATGCATGTTCAATTTCACATCTTTGAGAGTGGCGTTCGGGGCATGCCCCAACGGTAGCTGTTCAAGCCTTTTGCCTCCGACCTTCTTTGGGATGCCACCGAGCAAAGTTCGCAGAGCTAATCAAATGATAGTGAGCTTCTGCTTCTGCCTCGCAGCCGGCATGATTTCCAAAAACCAAGCATGGACTGAAGCTGCAGCAGTGCCTCGTAGAACAAGCAGGCTGGCCCCTGCCTTGCAAATTTGTCAGGTATGATGCTTGCAAAGGCTTTAGCTTGCCAGCTATCTTCTGAAGGTGCATCAAAAACAAGGGGAATGACCATGTGCCCGCGGGATACGCCCGAACCCCAGATCCTTCTTAGAGCGCCCTATCAGGGTTCCAATAACTGCAAATATCAAGGCCGGAGAATTCGAGCATCCAGGTACAGCAAAACAGTTGGTGGTTTTTGCTGTGCGGGAGCCCTCGTCGGTTTGAAAGCAATTCACCACGTTGGGGAGGGGTCCCGCATTTTTCTCAAGACACGCCCACTCCACGAGGCAAGTGAGTCGACTCGCGCGCGAGCTCGAGGTGGGGCATGCGTGCTCGCTGGAAAATATCAGACGTGTGTTGAACACACCATTTATGACCAAACAGGATTCTCTATATACAAGGGATCCTTACATTATACACCTGAACATTGCCATGTACATGGTGGTGTCCCTTTGTTTTGCTGGAAAAAGCCATGTTTCAAATGTGTATCTTTTAAGGAGCCCTGTTTTCGTTCCTGGGTTTTTCCTAGGATCCGCTGTGTCGCAACAAGTGCAGAGGCTTGATGTCACGATCCGATGGGCTCTCTTTGTTTTTTTCTCGGGCGAGCTCTAGCCATCCGCCAGGTCTTCAGCCAGAGCCCCCAGGCAGCCATGCCCTTCTCGGAATCCTTGGAGTGATCGGATTTGGCTTTCTGTGGAACGCGAAATCCAGGTCCTCCAGTAGAGAGGTTTTAGAATAAGTTGGTACCAACTTTTTATCTGTAGTCTATTTTAGTAGGGGAACCCTCCCAACCAAAAAAGGGGTGAGAAAGGGCACTACTGGGGGAACTAGTACCCCTGTCTGCGACAGTTCAGCGGCTGACTCCCGTGACTACTGGATCACTTTAAAAGAGGACCTTCGCTGTGGAAAAAGCGGAATCAACTGATTCTGCCCCCTACTGTGGATGGACGAAATCCTACACCGCTTTGAAACCATGGGAAACCATTGTTGGTTGGTACAGGAGAATCATCTTTCCAGGGTTTCTTAGGCTGTGCCTGGGTTTAGCGGGGAATCAAACCAAAAAATCCTATCCCTGAAAGAAGGCCACTTGGCCGGCAGATTGCAAGATATATGTTGGATACCCCAACCTCCAGTGGTCGTGGGCAAACAACGGGGTACTCTTCTCTTTAATTGGTTTTGACGGGCACCCTCCAAAGAAAAGGAGTCTTTGGGCACCGCCGGATGTCTGGGGAGCCAAAGTTTCACTTCTTCACGCATGTAGAGTAACTCCTTTCTAGCTGTTACAATATATGCCAATAGTACCCATCCCCACGGCTGACATGAAACCCACAAAGGCAGAATTTGCTTTGAAGTCCCCGGGAGAAACATATTTCCAGCACAGATTGTTACACCAGGACAGGTTCTTGAGCAAATTGACGCTTCGAACCTCTTGGGGAAGCACCTCCAATTGAAAGCTCCCGGGCTGGTGAATTCCAAGATGGTGGGCCAACCTTAAGGGCCAGGGAGTGGGGTTCCCAATTTCACGTGTTGTGTTTTTTTTTGGTTTTTTTCCGCACAAGGCATTGAATCTGGCACTTTCTGGGGGGGGGGAGCGGGGGGGGCCGGGGGGGGGGGGGAAGGGTTGGTTCTTGTGTTGGTGTCCACACAATCATTGCCACATTCACAATGGGGCCTTGAATGCGGCAATGTCCAAGAGGCCCAATGGTTTCATCGTGAAACCGCAAGGAACACCATCAATTCGGGCAGGTCCCCCCCCAAAACAGAACGAACGCGCCCCTTCGGGTGACCCTCCGTAAGCTTTTTTTTCAGTCAGGTCTCCCTCAGGCAGCTTGAAGAGATACTTCAACCTGAAGGCCTCCAAGCTTCCGGGAAGTCATCGGAAGTTCGACTCCCGAAACGAAAACAACGGGTTGGCACTCGAAAAAGGGTTGGGGGGGGGGGGCCGAATTTCCCTCGTGAATCCCTTGTTGGGGGGGCCCGGGGCCGAGGGGCCGGGGGCCGGGGGGCGGGGGTGCCACGGACACTTAGAGTATGTTGCAAGCAAGAACCCTACAAAAACGGCTTGGATTGCCGCGTTGCTGCTTTTTTCCAGGCAATTTTCACCCTAGAAACAGTCACAGTTGCTAGAGAAAAGGCGCACGCAACTGGCGATCCAGGAGGTGCCGGGTGCCCTTCGATGAGTTGGGTTACGCTGATGTACCCTGCAAACATGCAATGCCCATACCCAAGGGAGAAGTCAACAACATCCCCCTCTAGACCAAGGCAGTCTGCTTGCAAGAATCATCAAGCACCAAGGGAAACGGCCGGTTTCTGCCAAGAACCATGGTTGAACAGAACGGTTGACCTGTAGGCTCTAGACCATGGCCAAACATGGACCACACCCGGCACACCAAACTGCTAGATCTGGTCGTTTCACTGCTGCCATCAACCTCCCCCATTGAAAAGGCGCCCCTCTCCATGCATCGATTCCTTCGTACCCATGGGGCAGTGCTCCCCATCTCCCCCTCTTTGTCCCAACTCAAAATTTGACACTCGATAGATTCTGACCCACCTCATGCAACCATGTCAACCTGACAACCCTCGTCTTTTGCAGCCCCCGAACCTAGAAGTGAACAGAACCAAACAAGCAAAACACACACAGCTGCCAAACGCAGTGAGGTACAGAACCAACAAATAAATAAAGCACTAAAAATGACAACAGAGCCGATAACGAACAAAAAACACAGCTGCCAGGACCAGGGAAGTCAAAAGAATCCTCAATCCTCCATGTCGACCCCACATAAATCAACCTCGCGCCGGGGATACTTCCCTTCCAAACGATTACTTCGAGGGCAACCCTCTCAACCGCCGTTTCCGTCAAGACCATCAGGCGCCGGCCCAGAATAACATGAGCAAAATAGACCAGCCCTCTTACAATCTGTAGGGGCCCCTTGAGAATGGGGTCGCGAATCCTTTCGGCTTTAAAAGCCATGCCGCGTCGTTGCCGTTCAGGTAATACTTGTGCAATCGCTTCTCCTTCACAAAGCCGATGCTCCCTGCAAAAAACGAAGCCAGCGGCGGCGGTTTGGTCCTGTTAAGGGACTGAATCAACTTGTGCAGGGAAACCCAGGGACCACGAAGCTGGCTAGACGCAAGTGAGACTCTCACGAAGAAACGGTGGATGGACGAAATCCTGCACCACTTTGAAACCATGGGAAACTATTGTTGGTTGGTATTTACAGGATAATCATCATTCCAGGGTTTCTTAGCTGGTGCATGTGTTCGCCATCCACAGTAACAACACCCTTTTGCCTCCTCTGAACAAGCCATTGGCCAGCTTCATGGCCCTGTTTTTCTCGAGCGCTCGAACGGCCCATGCATGGCATGCCTCGATTTCAGAAGCCCTAGCTTCACTGTCCGTGATACCAGAGGCCATGACCATGAGGACTTTGCCCCACGAAATACCACCGATGCAAAGCCAAGCGCAACTGTAGAAGATCTCTGGCTCTCACTGGTCTGAATTTACCAGTAGATCGTGGTTGCAGGGGCGTTCCCTTAAAACTCCAAGGATTGGGGAAGTTAACCTTTTACAGACATATAGCCCATGTTACCCAAAAAGTTGAAAAGTTGTGTTTTTAAGAGGTAAGGGGGGTTCCCTTACTCACTTCCTGAGTGGATTTGCAAAAAAAGAGTCCAAACCTTGTCTTTACCACTCCTCGCAAAAAGAAAAAAGGTCCAGGAACTCAGGGATAGAGCTTAACACCCTACACTCTAGGGGTTGGTTCCAACCATTCTTTTCAACGCATCGTTCTTTTCGAACACCAGCCATTTTCCAACCATTTCTGGAGGATTTGCTAGAAATAAGGATCCCTGGCAATGGGGGAGGTACCCCTAGACACCCCTATACACGGCAAACTCAAACCCGATCGACATGCCTCCGCTTGCGCCGTGAGCTGCCGAGCGGCGGTAGAGGCCTAGGGCGCCCTTGTTCGTGACCTCTGTTTCCAGGACGCATTCATCCGCATTCAGCTGCCTCGCCGGATCGGAATTTGTCCACGAGCGCTGGATCGCCGTGACGCCCTCACGAAGGCCCCAAAGGGGGAACCGTCTCAAAAAAATGGGAACCCGCCAAAAAGAGGAAGGTTTTCCTTTGACTAGGTCCTCCAGTAGAGAGGTTAGCATAAGGGTACCCTTTTTTCTGTAGTCTATTTTAGTAGGTGAACCCTCCCTTAAAAAAGGGTAAAAGGGCACCACTGGGGGACCTAGTTGATGTCCTACGAACCAAAGACTTACAACAGCACACACCAAAATAAATGGGTATGATGGGTACAGAACCATGTCCACCAGGTGCTGCTCCCCTTGATTCCCCAGGCTGAGTCACAATCAAAACCAGGTATCAAATACCCAAAACACCTAAAGAATCACCCATTCCAGCTGGGTCTGTCCCCTTCCCACCCTTCACTTCCCCAAACCTGTCCCCTCCCCCCCCCTTCACTTCCCCAAACCTGTCCCCTCCCCCTTCACTTCCCCAAACTATTTCATCAACAGGGCATATACCTGCACCCATTCTGGCTGGGTCTGTCCCCTCTTCACTTCCCCAGATCGGTGTTCATTGCGACTCAGCTGAACGCCCGCGAGCTCGGCGTTCGGCGGCGTTCGAGTCGAGCCGAGTCGCTTCATGCGGCTGAGGCAGAGCTGAACCAGCTGCGACCCGATGCGCTTGCCGCGGAGCTCCTTCTCTACTGCCAGCATGGCGATGTAGCCTTGGGGGGTTGGGGTGGCAACTTTTTTTGCCCCCCCCCTCAAACATAAATAAATCAATATGTATATATATATATATATACACATACATATATATATATATAAATGGTTTGGTTTTCCTGTAAAACCAAGAACTTCTTGCCACCAAAAAGTGGCAATCAGTGACTAGCGACCGTTAGAGGCCATTTTGGGGGGGCTTCCCCTATTGTTAAGACATGGGTGCGGGTCAAAACTTGGTACTCAACATGGGCGGACTAAAACCGGCGATCCGCATGGTTTAATTTTGACCCATACCCACACACACACAGACTCAAAGCTCACTCGCCAGGAGAGCCGTAAAAGTGAGATCAGTGACTAGTGACCAGTAAAGGCCATTGAGGACCTTCCAAGAGCCATACTGTGGATGGACGAATTCCTGCACCACTGTGAAACCATAATTTGTTGGTATTTACAGGGAATCAAACCATCCCAGGGTGGTGCAAGATTTTGTCCATCCACGTGGACCCAATTTCCGACACCTGCTTTAGGCCCAACCCTTGAACCCTGAAAGCCGGTTCGTGGTTCGCAAGGGGTAAAGCGGTTCCTGGTTCGGGGGGGTATAGCTTACTTCCTTGAGACCCTTCCGGGAAATCCAAAGGTTGCATGGGCCCAAAACCCGAGGCACCCGGTTTAAGGCCAGTGACTTTCACGGGAACGGGACAAGTCATTGCCCCACGGGCCGGAGAAAAGGCTTGAAATGGGGCAGCAGCTGGGGTTGCCAGCTGCTATCCAAAACGAAGCCCACCAAAATTCCGCTAGAAATGAACATGGAGCCCAACAAACCACAGTTTTTTAGAGGACATTGTGGGCTTCATGTTAATTTGTAGGGGAGCAGATTGGCAACCTTTACAATGAAACTTCCTGGGTCCACCTGGACTTTCGCTTCAAGGTGCCGCGGTGCGTCTTGCGACACCTGTGCTCGTCCAGCTTGCAAATGATGGCGCCCACGCACGTCTCGCCTCCCAGCGAAGGCTTTGAGGTCCAAAGAAAGAAGACTGTATTGCTTGGCCAAACTTAGACCCCCCCCCCCCCCGCAACAAGCTATATAATTGTTTGCTCCCGCATCTGCATGTTCGGATACTTGGCCCTAACTGTTTGCTGGTTTAAACAAAAACGATGTGAAAGGGTAAGAGGGCACATGTCACATATCTGTAAAGTTTGCAATGATTGGTGTTTTCCTTGTTGCTGCCTGGAAGCTTGCTACAACTATGCGCCCATGTCTTGCCTTCCGGTCTTCTTGGACGTTCAACCATCTCCCAGGATTCAAGTCACGTCTGTTTTCTTCGGCTGTGTGTTTTATGTTTGACATACACACACACAGACGCAAACACGATGCATAATGCTACCAAGCGTGCCAGCGCCCATTTGCCAGTCGCCATGTATCCCCGGCATCGATGTTTTTTGCGGGTACCTTGCATGGCAAGGTAGCAGAGGTCCGGCCAGTTGTTGATGAAGTATCGATATGTGAAGACCTCAGCTGAAGGATTTCCGTTGGAAAAAGCTGTGGGCACCTTTCTAACTATGTCGGTTGGTCTTAAAGCCAAACTGTGCTCCTTAGACTCCCCCCGGTAAACTTCCCCCCCAAGAGGACCCAAAAGGTTCTGTTCAAACAGGGCTTATTGGTGTGCTTATTCTTGATTGTACCCTGTTTGGATGGTGCTTTCAAGGGAAACCAAGCGAAACCCCCCATTTTGAGTCGGTGCCCGCAAAAAATGACAAAGCCATATGGAACCCCTGGGTCCCCAAAACTGGCTGCCCTCTGATCTCCCACTAAAAAAAAACGTTTAGTGGGCTAAATGGAAACTACCACTAAACACTAAAAGGCTAAAAAGCTAGTTGGCTGGGAGCCACCAAGAAAACACTTCCCCCCTAAAAGCGTTTCAAACGTGTTGGGCAGCTGGGTCCCAGACCGAATAGGGCTCCGAGAGGTCCTTGTCGATCAGGCTGATGATGCCTGGAGTGAGTCACTCCAGTTTTTAAGAAAAAGGACACAAGTCTTTCAAAAATAACAATAAGAAATTACGCCAGCAATTGTACCATAGAACACTTTCTGACTATCTCTGCCAACCCCAAGTGAAGGGCTCATTGACCATGGCACGAATACAAAGGAGCATGTAAGTGAGGGTAAATGAAGGCACGTGTTGCAAAGTTGAATCCCATCCCTGTGACCTTTCGGCTTTGTGCTCCAGGGAGTCCCCAGCAAAAACTTGTTAAAGCAACTCATTTCCCACAGCTACTCTAAGCTTTTTGTCCACTAGCATGGTCCAAATCCAGCAAGCTATAGTGTCCATGAATTCAAGTGAGACTCCGGCGATTTTGGGAAGGACATGCCCACTGTCGACTCTCGGACACGGCCGCGCCGGCGTAAAAGCGTGTGGGCTTCGACCATGCTCGAAGGCCAAGAAACAATTGATGTGTGTTCGGAGTGCAGGGCACGAGTGTGCTGCATGTGGCTGTGGCGAATTCAAAAAACCGGAATTCCAAAATGGGTTGCCCGATCGGTAAGTGGAAACATGGACCAAAACCTGCGGTTTGCCCCTCTTGTTTAATTTTGAGCCACACCCATGTTCCAGGTGTGCAACCGTTGATCTCGAAGCGGCTTCGCATTGATTACATGTGTACAAATGACATCTGCCTTGTCTTCAGGAAAACAACCAGCAGCGTGTGTACAGTCGGTCAGGATGAAGCCTAGTGCTTGAAGCGTGAATTCCGCTTCTTTTCTGGGGGGCGCTGTCAATCAACTGGGGTGGTTCAGTGAACACAAACAGCACTGCAGAGGTGAGTGTCCTTACGCCTTATGTCATAGAACTTTTCCCAGGAACCCGCCAAACACACCCAATGATCCCTCCTTTTGGTCGAAGCCAAAGCAGAACCTATCTGATCTTCGCAACCCTTGGTATGGTAGACAAAAACTCTGTTCAGAACCAACAACCAACAAAACAAAAGCCAAACCATTGGCCAAGAGCAGTGAAGTGATACGATGGATGGACGAAATCCATTTCGCACCACCTAAGAAACCCTGGAATGTTATGATTCCCCTGCAAGTACCAACACACGTTGTGGTTTCACGTGGTCCCTGGAAAGAATGGAATTGGAAGGTACCCCTAGAACAGTAGGTTTCCGTGTGCGCCGAAAGGCGAGCTTTCGAGCTTTCCCCCAAGCGAGGGCACCTGGAGGGAACCTGGTAGATCAATTTCCTCAAGCTTCCGTGTGCCTTTTGGCCCCTGGACCAAAACAGTAGCGATAGATTCCCTTTAAAACCAACAAGGCAAAACAACTCATACTCATTTGGCTGTGGGTCGAAAATCGGGTAACCCCCAAATGGGTTGCCCTGGTAAGTGGAAACATGGACCACCTGTGGTCCCCTGGTGGTTTAAGTTTGACCCACACCCCCTGGTTCAACAGTAGCGATACATTCCCTCTGAAACCAACAAGGCAAAACAAAGCATACTCATTTGGGTATGGGTCAAAATTACACCCACAGGGGACCACAGGTTTTAGTCATTGTTTCCATTTGCCACGGTTCCATTTTGGGTACCTATTTTCGACCCACAGTCATTTCACAGCAAACGAATAAAAGCTTCGGGCTGAGAAAAATCAGTTGCACCTGCCTGGCATGTCGCCCTCATCCTTGTACTGCTCGAAGCGGACATCCTCCTCCTTTCATGTTGGCACAGGTTCGCTGGGCAAACGGATGCAACCCCCTGCAAAAAGTAAACTGTTTCATGGTTGAAAGGGAAATTCATGGAACACACGTCTGGCAATGTGGAGTCCTAGCAGTGCACCGTGAAATTGTCACTGCCAAAAAGTCACCGCAATCCGATGGTTGCGCAATTGAAGGGGTCCATGACTCTTTGTTTTGAACGAACATGGGTCTGTAGCTCAAAAAACCGGTACCAAAATGGGTTGCCCAGGTAAGTGGAAACATGGACCAAGACCTGCGTAACCCCTGCTGCTTAATTTTGAGCCACACCCAATGGAATCAACAACTGTGCCACTTCAAAGGAGATTTCGCGCAGCTTCGCAAAGTAGTCCAAGGCAGGACCCACCTAATGGGTTCCAACCGAGTCTCACTTGCCCAAACGACCCAGAAATAAAAGGTGATCACCGTTTGGCACCTCTACTAAAAATGGACCAGAATGGGAAAACCAAAACGTCAAAAGGTCGGCTTTGAACAACTGAGTTGCCCCGGGACCCGGAAAAAATGACTTTTCTCTTGGGGCCATGACTAACAGACCGAAACGGGAACTAGGGTCAAAAAGGTCGGTTAAGGACAACTGCGCCACAGGAAGTTAGGAAAAAAACCAGCCAACACCTGGACTCAGCGAATTAACTTCCTGTCGAGCTTCCTGCCGGTTTCTTTGAAATTCTGCAATCAGGCTTTTTGTGGATTTCTCCTTTCATTCCCCTTTTGGTACCCCCTGAATCTCCAACAGGGGCTTCCACAGATTCGCCGAGTCTCACTTGCTCACTGGATTTGACCACAAAAGCCCTATAAGATTCCCTGTGCTGCCAGAAAGGTCGTCCCAAGTGACTACCTGCATTGCCCTTCTCCCTGAGCAAATCCTCGGACTTGCCTTTTTTGGGAAACAAAATTAACGAATTGTGTGCGCTTCTATTTTCGGGTACGGCGAAAACGACAGACCCCCCTATTTACAGAGGCCAAGTTTCGGTTTAAAACAAATTTGTTTCCGCGAGGTCTGCGCCCGGAACCCGGGGGCATCCCGGTTTCCAGGCGCCCCGTCCTTGGCGTCTGCCATGGGAGCCCTTTTGAGCCACACGAGGCTCACGGCAAACAGTCGGGTGAGTGCCGGTGCTCAACCGGTGATTAGGAAAAAATTGGAGATTCAACTTGGGATTCTCGAAATCCGGGGTGATTCAACTTGGGATTCACTTCTTGGTGATTCCCAAGTCCAAAACTGGGGGAGTTCTCAAATTGGTGATGAACAACCCTTTGGTGTCCCTTTTGGTGTCCCTTCCAATATCACACATACCGGAAACCGGGATCTCTTTGCTTTTTCAGGCGAAAAAGTCGCCATACGATGCCTGGGAGGACATGGATTTGGGCGTAAGACACGTGCAACGCCGTGTTTTTCGGTGGGTCTGTTTCCATCTGAACCCACCGCACCAAGCCGCAGGGTCGAAGTGGGAATCAAGTAGGGCACCTGGGAGCCTAAATCAGATGCCCAATGGATTTCCATGGGCAAAGAAGGGGCATCTTATGGCATCTTCTTTTGGTTGGTTGACTAGGTCCTTCAGTAGAGAGGTTGGAATCAGGGTACCCTTTTTTCTGTAGTCTATTTGTAGTAGGGGAACCCTCCCCCAAAAAAGGGTAAAAGGGCACTGCTGGGGGACCTAGTTTTGGTTGGTTGAGTTTTAAGGGGAGCCCTTACCCAAAAAAGGAAATGAAGGGCGGAATCCACTGGGCAAGAGAGTGACATGTTCTGATCCGACGACACGATCTAAAACATATGGCAAGTGAGATGTGGACAAAGCCATCGAGCACGGTCTGCAAAATATTCAGAATACCTCGACATGTCCAATTTCGACTTAAGCCATAGGGAACCCATATCTACAATCTTCCGAATGGCAAATCAATTTTGTGATGCTTCGAGCCATGACCGGAAACTGAGTTGGATGGCTGCCATTGGATTGGGCTCCATTCCTACAGTTGCACAGCTGTCAACCCCGGACAAATGAAGCTGGCAACCTCATAGGCATGTTCGCCAAGGTGACCCGGACGATCAGCCAGGGCTTTTGGGTTGCTAGGGCATGAATCGTGGGGTAAGTCCTTGGGGGGGGGTCGGATATCCTTAAATACCACCCCCCCCCCCCGAATTTAAGGAATTGTGCCGGGGGGGGGGGTCGGAAATCCTTATGTCCAGTCTTCTCCGGTATGTTCAACCAAGGGGCTAAGTCCATGTCCAGTCCTCCCCGATGTTTTCAACCCAGCGGGGTAAGCCCAACCGCGACTGCCTGCCTGGCAGGCCAAGCGCGCGCACACGTCAAATGACAGCCTCGGTTTAGAAGGAAGGGAGCGATGATGCAAGCAAAAATGCGCCATCTCTATATCTCATTACCCATTTAACCAGCATAATATACACATCTGCACACATGTAAGCAACTACAATATCTAGGTGTGTGTGCATCCCCAAACGTGGAGCTCTTGACGGCCCGGTGCAACAACTTTCATGTTGGTTCCTTCGAATTCTTTCTCATGAGCCCTCCAAGGTTCAACAATGATGGGGTTGCGTCGCGGGGAAGTGGTCTGATTCCCCACACCCGGTCTTCCCCACTAAACCCAGTCCCGAGTTTAATAACCTGCCCAGAGGGTCCAAGTACCTTATATTTGCGGATTTGAGGAATCTGTAAATGATAAATCCCCTTCAACCAAACCTAAGACCTCAAATATGGTTGGTACTTGGACCCTCTGGGCTGGGGTTGATTCATCTGGGGTCACTCTAAGAAAACCACAGGCACAACGCTCTGGTTCGGCTTCGGATCATGGAACACCTCGCCCATTTCGGCGGCCTTTTTGTCTGGCTTGCGGGCCCTCACATGCGAGAAAACCCCAACTTAGCTCTGCAAAAAAAGAAAAAACAAGCCTCCTGACCCCGAAAAAGCGCCAAAAGCGCTTTGTCCACCAAGTCTCCTGAGTGGATTGGCCCGAAAAAGCGCCAAAAGCTCTTAGTGCATTAAAACGGTCCGAAAAGGTCCCCAGTCCAGGAACTCATCCAGCCCCCTTTCGGAGGGCCCACTTTCCGTACCAAAACACGCGGGTCAAAACCCAAATCGTAGCCCTGAAGATCCCGATCCCATGGTGCAGTTGTTCCGTGACCCTGGAAAGAAAGGGAACCGATTCTTTTTTGGGGCTTGGACCGGATTTTTAGTGGGCAGTCACCAAAAAAAAAGGAAAAAGGGTGCCACTGAACAAGTTTTAACCCACAGCCACATCATGAGCTTTTTTCCCGCCCTTGCGTTCAGGGGAGTGGTAAAATGTGCTCCTTTCGTTCAAGTCGGAGAACAAGTCCACGCATCGTTGCCTTTTTTGCTGCCGCATGCAGTCCAAGCAACAGCCGAAAACGCCCTACTCTTAAAGAGCTTTGAGCACTGGCATGAGTCGGGGTGCATTGGCCGGTGGTGGTTCGGTGCATTGCCCCCCACAGCCGAAATTGCTGGATAGGCGCCAGCCCCCTTCCAACACAGCATTCTTGGTGTCTTGTTTTGGGGAAACAGGGCGGTGACAATCCTCTGAGAACTGCCCAGGAGCTCGAAATCGGTCATGAGCTTCCAAGTGACATCCTCCGAGTCATCAATGGAATGGTGGCACAAAACTATTCACTTTATCCCAGTTTCCCAGCGACTCTGGCAGGAACCTGTTCTGGGGTCGACAATGTTTGCGGGGAATACGTGAAGCGTGAAATCCGAGGAGCTCAAGCCATGGTCTGGATTCCCCTTGCGAAGCTTTACGATTGTCTTCCCAGACGCTCCTGGGGCTTCCAATGGAAGACCCAGACCCTCCATTGGACACCCCAGATCCATCGGGAGTGTTTGGGGTTGGGCAAAACCCGGAAAGGCACCGGACCATTCCTGCCAACCAAGTAGGGATCCATGGAACATGTGGACTTAAGATATTTTCAGAGACCTAGGCCTATCCATCCCCTGTTCCAACGTGGGAAGCCATGAGCGAAAACATATCCTACCCATGGTCCGCCCACCCTGCACAAATATGAAACACGTCCCAAGTTGTCCGATGAGCTACTGGTGCGTCTAAAGACAGGGGACCCAACAACACAAATAACATATGCCAAACTGTATCGCAGTTTGGCTTGTCTACACTCTCCTCCTCCCGCAACAAATGTTGTGTAACCGTGTCAATCCCCGGTATCAAAAGAAGAAGGGAACAAGAGTGAAGTCGGCTGAACCACTAGTTGTGCTACTCACATCCTGAGTGGATTGCCGAGCAAAAGGTCCTGGAACTTGTAATTTCCCCACCCTTTTGTTTATCAACGCCCAACAGTGAAGTCAACGAAAATTGGGTGTCTTTTCTCACTTGCCCAAAGGACCTGGAAATGAAAGGTGATCACCTTTCGGCACCTTTCCCAAACATGGGTACCAACATGGGAAACCCATTTTGGTCAGATCCGGTCGATTCGCTTCGGGCAAAGTGAGCTTTTGTTTAGGAGCCCCAGTTTGGATGGCTACCTGGAGTCTCCATGACCCGAAATAAAAATGGGTCCATGACCCCTTTTTGTTGGGTAATGAACAATTTTTTAAGGGTCCTTAGGGAGACTCCAGGTATTCAAAAAAGGCGGCCGCATATTCCAAGAGGCAAACCGTATCCCTTTCAAAGGGCCCCCGAAATAAAAGGAGCCGACGCGGAGCTCGAACATTTTGGGGGCGAGGCGACCCGTCTTGCGGGTTCCTCAAATGGATTCGGTCCAACGGTCCGACTTTTTTTGGGGGATAGGTGGGTATATATAAGGAAAACATATTTTTTAGGGAACCTGCCTTTGGTGTCCCTTTCAACCAAGCCCCTTGGTTCAAGGGTGTCAAAACAAGAGAGGCCCATCTTGCGCCCATTCTTCTACATGTCGGAGCTCGAAAACACCCCGTTTGGCAGAAGGGAAGCCCGACACCACCACCCGGCAGGACTTGTTCTTCGATGGGATTTTTCGGGCAAACAGGGCCAAACCCACAGTGCGCCGACTGGCCGATTCGATTGGACTCTGCGAGCCTCGGGTGAAATGTCATCCACGTGAGCAAAAACTGCTGTGGATGGTTGCGAAATCCCTTTCGCACCACCAGAGAAACCCTGGAATGGTATGCTTCCCCAATACCCAGGCATGGTGTCATTCCCATCTTCATTTCGCGGGGACATGGACTTCGCAAGCATCCAAAGTAGTCGCCTCACGGATCCAAACCGGATGTCTGGTCTCTCGATTTGTGCGATGCAGTTTCTGTGGGGCAACGTGCAGAACATGTGGCCCCCATGGGCTCTAGTTCATTGATTTGTTCCCTCCCTGCCCATGTTGTGGGCTTCTCAAAACACATGGACCATCATCTCCTTGGAACTTGTGGCATACGATTCCACCCTGGCTTCTGCATGCTCCTCATGTCCTCATTTTCTCATGCATCAATATTGCCTTCGCAGGGGCCTTGTTTCGGAGAAACAAAAAGGGGGGGGCTCGGGGGAGTGGTGGAATCGTGCGAGTTGGTAAGCCAGCCACGTGAGCCACGGTCAACTTACCCCTAAGGTTCAACAGCCCCCATCAGCCCCCCCCCGGAAAAGACTTGAGTCATAATCCAAACCCGGTATTAAAATGGTCTACTCAGCACCAAAGACAAAAAAGGCGGCCGCAACTATTTATGGTTGGGATTGTCCCTTACGAACCTTCATCTGCCCGGGTTGCTCATTTGTTGACCCGATTTGGATGATGAAACTCCTTAGGTAAATGATGGTGCATGGTTAACCCCCCCTTGTTTTAATGGTGGTTCAAACCTCAGGAGTACTGGCTTCCCCAAAAGGGCATGGGAAAATGAGTGAGTCCCTTCCTGGCGCCTTTTCATCCACAAAAGAAAGCCAAGTGCTTACACCCACAAATGAACCATCGACAAATATCCAGGACATTTCGAGCCCGAACCTCGCCAGAGCCAACCTGCCAACGCGAAACCCGAGTGGAAGGCCAGAGGGTCGAGTTGCCCAAGGACATTTCGAGCCCGAACCTCGCCAGAGCCAACCTGCCAACGCGAAACCCGAGTGGAAGACCAGAGGGTCGAGTTGCCCAAGGACATTTCGAGCCCGAACCTCGCCAGAGCCAACCTGCCAATGCGAAACCCGAGTGGAAGACCAGAGGGTCGAGTTGCCCAAGGACATTTCGAGCCCGAACCTCGCCAGAGCCAACCTGCCAACGCGAAACTCGAGTGGAAGGCCAGAAGGCCGAGTTGCCCACAGGCAGAGGCAAACACCGGCCAACTCTGCGCGAGCTAAGGCGGTGCGGTTGTGCGGGCAGAGGGATAGCACCCCCTGGCCAAGCCGCAAAATAATAAGACAGTGAGGGCCTGGAATCCACTTTCGTGATACAACAGGAAAGGCTTCCCAAAGACCAACCCCCCCATAAAAGGGAGGAGTTTCCCTTGTATCACAGAAGTGGCTGGATAAACCCTGACTAATCTCACCACCCTGATTAGAAAGGATTGTTTTTTCTGCAAGCCAGCAGAACACCCATCCTGTCCAATGCCCAATGAGTGGTTTCCACAAGGAAACACTCAAAACATCCAGTGCTTGGCCAATTTTGGAGGGGAACAACAGACCAAGCACGAAGACAGAGGGTACTGGAGGAAACCCGAATGGGGAGGAAACTTACAACAAACAAAAGAATGGTTTTTCGGATGTTCGTCCAATGTGTGACTCCCCCCCCTGTGCAAAAAGGAAACACTACCCCCCCCTCCCCGACATCCATCTTTATAGCCTGTCTTGATATGGGCATCCAGTCGCCTGGTACTATGGACAGAGAACAGTTCATAGGGACCCAGAAATCCATTCATGGGCAACCAAAAGGTCAAAAAGTTGGGCTTGGACCACTCTTTACAACACTTGGTATGGTAGCAAAACTATTGGTGTTTGCCCCCGGCTAAAAATGCCACACCTCGCCGCTCGCTCGCTAAAGTGTCACGCAGCTCGGCGCTGGGCGGGTCCGTTGTGCTTCGACTCGTCCACGTCCCGTTGTGGCTATCAATTGAGTGGTTCGTGATTTCTTGCTAAGAGTTAAACTTGCAGTGGTGGATGTCATAAAACCTCCATACCCTGCATGGCTGACATTCTCAGTGCATGACTGGCAAATATAACTTTACTTCGGCCAATCAATCACGCCTAAGAAATCTGCTTGGCTACGCTGGACTATGGCCACGCGAGCGCCAAAAGGTTAATCCTCGGTCAAACCAAAATGGAAGCAAGGAAGCAATTGCAGACTTAGCTGTTACCATAATCACGCTTCTTGTTTGGTGGAGATTCCCTTCAACCAGGGCCCTCCAATTCTTCAAGGGACCAGCGGCACCTGTGTTGCAAACCCTTTGAAGGCCTAAAACAGATTCACTTCTTGGCAAACACTGCGTCCCAAAGTGCGCCTTAACATGGGTGCAGATTTGTACTGGCGGGAGCCTGAGGCCGCAACTGTCTCACGCTTCGGCCCGTCGCAGCTGTCAAGCTTCAGCTTGTCTCCCGACAGTCAACCACTACATACAACCTAGGGTAGAAACCCGGTTTCCCTTGCCAGGGTAGTGGAAGCTTTCCAGACCCCGGGCAACAGCATATGCTTCTTTTGCAGCTGCGATAGACTGACAGACAGCAAACGACAGCTGTGACAGGCACAAAGCGCTCGCGCCAGTGGCTGGACCAGGACAGCTGTGACAGTGTCCAAAACAGGGTGGACCAGGCAGCTGTGAGTGGCTGGTTGTAGCCCCTAAATACGTGAGACACAGCTGAAACAACGGGAACCATCTGGCATTTCGTTGTGTCATCCCCTTCCACCCCCCAAAAACACCACGCCCAAATACACACCTCCAGTTCGGGTCTGCATTGTCTTCTCCATTCGGAGTCGCCCAAATCCGGGCGAGAATGTAGTTGTTGAACAAGTTTGTAAGAAGTTGAAACCTTCCCTGTTGAAGTTGGTGCCTTCCGGGAAAGATCATCTTTGTTTCCATCTACCTTTTATTTGGGAGAGAGAAAAAACCCCTCTCGGAAATGGCGCGGAGAGGCGTGTTTCGCACTTGCACTTTTGCACTTGTCCCATCCTTCACCTGTCCCACCCCCCACATGTCGACCCTCAATCCTTGGTAGCAAAGTGCTGAATAAGTATCTGCCCCATATTTGGCTGTTGGCTTCCTAAGCCACGTCAGAGGACACGCCCAGCACAGTCTACGGGTATTGCGCTCTAGGCTGACATCCCGGCAGCCCGGCAAAAAGATGCACAAAACACAGTTTGTTCATTTGGTTCACTCCATAGGTCAAAATGCTAGAGGAGACAAAGAACACGTGCCCCTCAATGTCTCAATGTCTGTGTCTGCCTGCTTGCGCGCGTGCGTGGGTGCAGGCGGATGACATGTGGATGCGTGTGGATGCGTGTGGGTGCGTGTGGATGCACGCGCGCGCGCGCCCCCGCCCGCCCGCCCGCCCGCCCATCCCGCCCGCACGCACGCACGCACGCGCGCGCGTGCGCATGCACGTGTGTGTGTGTGTGTGTGTAGGTGTGGGCGTGGGTGTGGGTGCGGGGGTGTGGGTGTGTCTGTGTCTGTGTCTGTGTCTGCGTCTGCGTCTGCGCCGGCGTCTGTGTCTGTGTCTGTGTCTGTGTCTGTGCCTGTGTCTGTGTCTCTGTCTCTGTCTCTGTCCGCGTCTGTGTCTGTGTCTGGGTCTCGGTCTGGGTCTGGGTCTGCGTCTGCGTCTGCGTCTGCGTCTGCGTCTGCATCTGCGTCGCGTCTGAGTCTGCGTCTGCGTCTGCGTCTGCGTCTGCGTCTGTGTTTGTGTCTGTGTCTGTGTCTGTGTCTGTGTCTGTGTCTGTGTCTGTGCGCGTGTGTGTGTGTGTGTGGGTGTGTGTGTGTGTGTGCGCGTGGTTGTGTACGTGCGTGTGTGTGTGTGTGAACCACCTGAATCAAGGTTCCGCCATTGCAACTTGGTTTATCACGCTGGCTGCCCTCAGGGCCGGCGCGTCGCCCAGGGGCATCCCACTAGCTTTCATGGTGGGCTCTGCACCTGCGCGGGGGTAAAGATCGGACCTCTCTGCCACAATGGCTTTCTCGTGTGTGTGTGTGTGCGCGTGTGTGTGTTTGCGCGGGTGCGTGTGTGTGGGTGTGTGTGTATGTGTGTTGCGGGTGGGTGTGTGTCCGAGTGTGCCTGGGTCTGTCTGTGTCTGTCTGTGTCCGTGTGTGTCTGTGTGAGTCTGCGTGTGTCTGTGTGTGTGAGTCTCTGTGTGTGTTGTGTGTGTGTCTGTGTGTGTGTGTTTCTGCACGTGAAGGTGTGTGAAGCCCACAATCAATCCGCGCATGCGTGAAGAATACTCATATATATATATATATATATACATATATTACGTTGACTGTACATATAGAAATGCATGTGTATACAATATCCTACATTGTTTGCTACACTTCACGTGTGGCAGTTGTGCATCAAGTGCAGAGGGCTCTTGCAACTTGCAACCCACTTCGGGGTGCCTTCGCAAATCGAAAAAAAATCGCCACATGCCCCCTGCGAGCATTTTTGGTCGCAAATGCTGTGGAAAAGCAGGGCAGGACATGTTGCTGGATTGGCCAACCCCTTGTTGGAACCGATGCATCAAACTGCTCACCTGGGATCCAAGAACAGGGCTCAAGCAGGAGATTCCTCCTTCGGAGCATGAGGGGCAACTGGTTGTTTGCCCGTTTTAACAAAAGAAAAAGCGGGTCTTAAGAAAAGGTAAGTCCAAGAACTCGGGGAGTTCGGGTTCAAAGCCATTTCGGAAGGCCAACCCGTAGCGCGATGGCCCTGGGCTTGAAGATCGGATATGGCCCGGTGCCCCAAACTGGGGGGCGGGTTCAAGGCTGGAGGAACAGCTCGTGCCGTACACACACGCTCCTACTCGGTTGCTTTCTGCGAAGCCCTGCTAAAAGTGAATAACTGTTAGTGGTTTAGTACGGAAAAACCATTAGTTGGCAAAAAGGTTAAAGTCCTAACAGCCAAGCAAAATGCACCAAGGCATAGAGGTGTCTGTGTTTTTTTTGGCGTGCCCGCTCTCGCCAGATCCTGGCAGTCGGTGCTTTTTTGGTGTGCCCATGCTTGAGGGGTGTTGAGGGCAAGCCAAAAGCAAACCCCAATTTTGGAAGGGTCCCGTCCATATAGTGTTCTGGATAATAAAACTGTTCTTTTCCCGAAAGAAAATCCGGGCAAAACCAGAACAACAAAGCTTTAGCCCCTGGATCTTTTCAAGGAAGATTAATATAACCAAGCTCTTCCCAGCCCAAAGGCTCTTAGTCTTTGAGCTAGCAAACTTTATAATTCAATTTGTCCGCAAACCATCAATTCTAGGATTATTTTCCTGTAAATAGCAAGCCCAAACAGTCGCACGGTCAAAGTGGAAGTGGATCTTGTTTAATGTTCCTTCATTTGTGTGTTGTTTTTTCTGTTGTTTGGGGGGGGGGGGGGGGCAAATCTGGCAATACTGAACTTAGAATTGGCAATAATAAATTGAGTCACTACCAAGAAGTTTACGGTTAAATCTGTTCAATACTAGATTTATCATTGGCAATACTCAACTGAATCGTGGCAATACTAAACATGGAGTTGGCGATGCTTAACTAGGGAATAACATACAAGGAGTCTGTCTGGCAATACCAAATGTAGACTTGGACAATCTCAATCATGCAATAATGAAGAGGAGTCTTCGAGAAAAGTATTGGTAACAATAAATTTAGAACTGACTAAATCTAGACATCGCAATAAAGTTAAGTATTAGCGACCCCAGGTCCAACCCAGACCCCCCCAAAAAGAACTTTCCGCTAAAGAAGGTCGCAGTGTTATGGTGGATTCCATGTTGGTTGGTAGGGTGTCGGTGTTGCCATGACTAAAACACGGACCAAACTTTGAGGAATCAAACATATTTGTTCAAGGCATAAATTTGATTTGCTTCGTCCCAGAGAGGCGGGCTCAGGAAGCCCCAGTTTGCCGAATCCGTAAGCTCCAAAATGCCCAAATTTGCCATCGTTGCGTTCAACGATTGCCTCCCGCCGAGCGTGCGGAAGTGGGTTGGGAAGTCCGTGAGGAGGCAAAGGAGCAGCGACTGAGTGGCACCGCCAGCGGTGCTCCCAGTGGCAGATGCGCAGGCCCTGCGAGGCTGACGGGGGACCGATTCGCAACGACAAGCTGGATGCACGAATTCCATTTCGCGCCACCTAAGCCCTGGATTGGTCTGCTTCCCTGTAAATAGCAACAAACAGTGATTTCTCTTTGTTTTTAGGTGGTGCGGAATTTCGTCCATCCACAGCGTTCGAATTTGCCCCCATCAAGTTCCCCGAACCCTTTGACCTGTTGGACCTGCAAATCACGAATCCCAAAACAAATTCGGAAAGAGGTTCCCTAAAGCCTAGGGTTCCAAAAAGAATGGCCCGAGGGCACCCAATTTGGATGAGTTATTCCTGAACGGTAAACAATGGTGGTGAAATACTAACCCAACCGGTGTTTTGATGGTGGTTTGAACTTTTAGGGAAAGCTGTACCTCTGGCACTCGGCAAGTTTGGAAACTTGACCAAAGCAAAGTCTGGTTCAAACAGTTCCCACTAACATGGCACCTGACAGAGGGTGCCTGAAAGAGGAAATCAATCTTCCAGGAAGGCTGAAACGCACAGGAAGATGTCGGTCGCACAGGAGGTTGCCCGATATGCAAGGATGGTTGCCCGATTAGACACTGCTCAAATGTGCAGTTTTGCGGCTCATAAGCGCAATTTGCATTTGGGGGTATCACTAGCAGGGGTGCCCCAAAAGGATCCTGTCCAGCTCTCAAAACAAACAATTGGCTATGTTCCAAAAGTCGGGTGATTTTGGTTGCAAAGAACTCGCAACGGGCTACTTCCATCTGGTTGAGACCCCTGGAAAAAAATACAAAAATATGTCCAGCAGAGATCAATTTCCTTTCAAACCCAACAAGTGTTTGTAAAAAAATAATATATATATATATATTCCTTTCAAACCCAACATAAAAAAAAAAAAAAAAAAAAAACATCGGCCCATGGAAGGCCACTGCATCGCAGAATGGGGGCTCTGAACCAGAAGCGGACCGACCCGAAGCGGAGCTGGGTCCCAGGCCTGGCACTTGCGCCAGGCACTGGTTGATGTTGCTCAGGACCTCATGGAGTTGCGAGAACTCGTCCCCCGTGAACTTCCTGAGGTCAACGATGTCCTGGCGGAAAAAAAAAAAAAACTCATTGCTTTGGATTTGGACGTGGTCTTGAAGCCCTGGTTTTTTGGCCAATGGGAAACAACAGGTCACAACTAGGTCCTCCAGATTTGAGAGGACCTGGAATAAGGGTGCCCGAATTATTTTTGTTCTGCTGTCTAATTTAGTAGGGGAACCCTCCCCCAACAAAGAAACGGAAAAAGGGCACTACTGGGGGACCTAGTTGAAGGGTAGTAGCAAACAGTTTTGGGGGAACCCATCAAACAGGGGAAAAATGGAAAGTTCGACTGAACTGGGCATCAAACGGTCCAGCACAAGGCGCCAAACGGCACAATTTCCCGGTCGTCGCCTAGAAACTACTTGAGTGAAGAAACCAGGGCAAATTGAACAAATGGAGGTTCCTGAAAAGTTTCATGATCAAATCGAAAGCCCAGCCTTTGTCACAACAAACCACGCTCTTGGAATCGACCAGCGACTGCTTGGTTCATTGGTGGAACTCGGAGGTAAAAACGGAGGGCGATGAGTTACACTAAAATGGACAATGACAAATGAGCCAAAGAGAGAGACTGCGAGAGAAAATAATACCACAAAACGAAAGAGAGCTGGAGCGCTGAGCTCTCCATTCTCCCATTTTCCGCTCCTTCACGGTGGTTTGATTGGACCCACGCAAGGTCAAGATGCCCCGCATGAAGTCTCCAAAGGTCAGCTTCTCGCCGTCCTCGAAGAGTAGCTTGCCTGAGAGCAAGCCGAGAGCTCCGAGCCCACCGGTGGATTTCTCATGGAGAAAACCTTTGCTGTAACGATCCCTCCGCCAAAAGTGAATAACCTTTCGTGGGTGAGTGGAAAACCCAACTTGATTTCAACCAAAAAGGTAAAGTCTAAAGATCCGTTGCCCATTAGCAGGCAAAAAACCTAACACCGATTATGGACCCCTGGCAGAGGGGGGGGTGGGCCCCTTTCTGTGGCTTGTCCTGATATCCAGAAATGTCCCCCCATAGCCCCGGTCCATGAATTACGAAAAAAAATCACCAACCCAGCAATGAACCCTTGCTGGTCAAAATACGGGGGTGCTCACCAACCCAGAAATGGTGATCCCAAACTTCAACCAGGGCTTGTGAGCTGCCTATAATTGGTGCATCTGGGTGAAATTGTTCATGCACCCGACACAAAGCGGCTCTCTCCCACACGAGCCACACAGAACATTCGATCCTTTGCATGCCAAACCCACCATGAGTACCAACACATCTCGGTTGCTTTCTGCTCCCCTGCTAAAAGTTAAACTTTTAGTGGTGTAATGGAAAACCCATTAGTTGGCAAAAAGTTAAAGTCCTAACATCCACGCAAAATGCACCAAAGACATGGCCAAACCCACCGTTGGACGTCCTGTGGAGCGAGGGACCAAAGAGGATTCCATGGAAGCTGCAGAACTACCAGCTCCGAAAGGCTCCGAGGCCTCAAATTTACGATTTTGGATAGGTTCGGAACGTCTCCTAGGTTTCTCCAGTAGAGAGGTTAGAATAAGGGTACCAACCTTCTTTTTTTTCCGGAGGTCTATTTTAGGGGAACCCTCCCCCAAAAAAAGGGTTAAAACGGGCACTGGGGGACCTAGTCTGCCTTCCAAGCAGCTAGAAAATGCCAAAGCGCGAGCAAAAACGACCAGGTCCAACTCGGGTTTTCCCTACCGGACCTGTGGGCTTTCGCTGGATCGGACCCCAAAGTCAGTTTTGTGCAACTTCAGGTGCCTCCCTCACAATATCCCGGATCACAGGGTTGCAAGGATACATCCAAAAAACAGGACTCTAAACAAGCTGGTTCTGGTGATGTTTGACCGACGCGTATCCTTTCAGTGCACTGCTTTTTCCAGATCCGGAGGACATCCGGGGGCCTTCCCCAACTTTGCTGAGCCGGCACTGAACCATGTTTCCTCCGTTGCTCTGCGAAGCCCTGCTAAAAGTGAGTTTAACTTTTAGTGGTGTACTTCGGAAACCCAAATTCGTTGGCAAAAAGTGATTCAGTCCTAACAGCCCTTGGCAAACTGCACCAAAGTTCCTGCATTCCCAAAGAGCCCTCTTTGCAGTGCCGGGAAGCTTGAAGGTAAACTTAGATTGCCGCTCAAGTCAATGGTTCTCAGTCTGGGACGATGTTTTGGGATACATCCTGGGCTTATTCATCCTCGTATCCTGCAGATTGAGTCACAGGGGTCACTGGCTGTGCCTCTTGAACAGTTGCAGTTTACTGGTGGCTCTAGGGGTTGATTCCAATTCCATTCTTTTCAACCATCGTTCTTTTCAAAGAACCCATCGCTGCTTACCCCTAGCTTCCAAATTTGGCCCGTTTGGAGGTCCCCAAAAAGGACAGCTTCCCAACTTCCCCCCTTTTGCCTCAGTTGCCCAAAGGACCTGGAGTTAAAAGGTGATCACCTTTTGAGGCCCTGACTAAAAAAGGGCCAAAATTGGAAAACCAAAAGGTCAGATCCGGTCGATTCGCTTTGAACAACTGAGCCTTTTGCAGGTCCCAAAGGGGAAGAACCTCCAGGGACCATAAGCCAAGGAGCCATAGTCTAAGGCGGCCTCCACGTCCACCCCCAAGCTCGTCAAGGCTGTCATGGCCTCCAAAAAACAAAGAACGAAGCGAGGAAAAGCAGCAGATGTGTCCTTCACCCTTGGCATTTGCACTCTGATTTTTTGTTTGCTGGCCCCGAACCTAGAAGTGAACACAACCAAACCAAGAAAACAAACAGAAAAGCACGAAACTGGATCCAAGAACCGTGCAGTTTCGTTTGGGGCACCCCCTCAACAGTGTAAGTTGACTTGTTTCACCTGCTGAATCACAGGACCAAAAGCTTCTCCTCACGGAAGGGCCATTGGAACGAAGGGCCCCGGAGTTCTCTGCAAGACGCATAAAGATATATGCTCTACATGGAAATATACTGTATATGTATATATGTTTATATACATATATACCTGATGATATGAAAACATGCATACGCATATGCATATGCATATTGCTAGTCACTAACATAAGCGATAGTTAGGATTGTTGTACAGCCGGGTGCCTGGGGGGTGGGGACACACACACAAATCATATGTATATGGTTGCAGCATCTGTGTCTCCATAACATACACACACACACACGTAAGTATATGCATGTATATACGACGCGTCTCAAAATAAGAAAACCCAAACATATGGGTGCGCCTGTTTCTAAGGCACCCTCAACATATCTGCTTCTCCTGGTTTACCCTTTTAAAGCCATCCTAGGTCCTCCAGTAGAGAGCTTAGAAAAAGAGTACCAAGTTTTTTCTGTAGTCTATTTTAGTAGGGGAACCCTCCCCAAAAAAAGGGTTAAAAAGGCACTACTGGGGGGACCTAGCAGAAATCAAAAAACAAAACGGTTTCAAGACTCCAAAAACAAAGGCCGCGGCACCCATACGGCTTCGCCTTGCGGAGGTGCTTTCCCTTTGCCATCCAAACACGAGTACCGAGTCAAGAGACACACACGCAAGGAAATGTGTGATGTTCCCCGTCGAGAAATGCGCAAGCCACAACTACTTGAAAGGGGAAGTACAGTTTAGAAAACGGTTTGGATGTGTTTTTGTTGGTGGACTTCAGATGTTGCTCGCCCGGTTGGTTCTTGTTCTAGTAATCTTTTGATTTCCTACAGGGGTACAGCCTTCAAACATCTACCTCCAAACCGCTTTCTAGATACAGGGAACCCTGAGGCAAGATCAATCGAATCTTCGATTTGCCTGGTTCACTTGGTTGCTGCTGATCCCTCTGCAAAAAGCTTAACTTTTGTGGGTTTAGTGGAAAACCCCTTGATTTCAACCAACAAGTTGGTTAAAGTCTAAAGATCCGTTGCCCAATAGCAGTCAAGTTCAGGGTTCCCCAGGCAGGTTTCCTTTCTGGTGGAGATCGCGGCTCGAGCTCGACTCGCTCGACTCGCTCGACTCGCTCGACTCTGCCTGGGGCTTCTGGAGGACCGCCATATACTCCTGAGGTCTCCAACGAGAACGGCGAGGGGTGACCCGGCAGCTTCTTTCATTTTTCGACCCGATTTGGAGTGTTGTTTATGTACTTGAATATATATATATATATATATATATGTATATATATATATGTATATATGTACCTGGAGTCTCCATGACCCTTACAAAATGGTTGGTCATTACCCAAAATAAAGGGGTGGACCCTTCCGGGTCAGAAGGAGACTCCAGGTATAATATATATATATATATATATATAGGGCCACCCGCCTTGGAGTGGTTCTTTCTTAACAGGAAAACCAAAGCCATCCCTACCCAGAAACACCAAGCAGATTCACGGGCTTCAATGGAAGTGGAGGCCTGTTCAAGGCTAGAGTCTTCCACTCCTATCGTCGGCTATGGTCATTTAAAAAAACAAGGCTAGGGCATGCTAGGGCAGTTGACACCCTTTGAAGCTTTCTGCCAGGGTCCTTCTGGGAGTTACTCCAAAAAGCTGACCTGATTGAAGTTGACACCTGCCCACACAAGGTAAACAGGGCTCGGAGGTCCTGTTGACCCCTCTGCCAAAAGTGAATCACGCAACCTGATGTCAACCAAGAAGTTGCCCTCCCACCAGCCCTGTAGAAAGACAACTTTCCTCTTGGAACGGCCCTTTTGCACAAACCCAGGTTAGGTGGGAGGGTAAAGCCTAAAGATCCGTTACCCAAAAGGCAGGCAATGGCGCACGTGGAATTTCCGGATGGGCCCCCTTATGGGCTGATTCCTGGGAGGCCTCCGGGCAGACACCCATGTGGCACCCGATTTCCGATTCGAGGGTTGGTGGACACAAATTTTCACAAAAATGTTAAAATTCATAGCCATTGCTGGTGTGACTGTCCCTTACCAAGCTTCTTACCCGGGTCTCTTGATTGTCGCCCGAACCCACCTTCCCAACGGCAGGCTTCGTCTTCGGCTTGGACTGTTCCCAATAAGCCTGTACAGTTGGGGGGCGGGAAGACACTTAGGAGTATATGTTGCAGGCAAGGATCCCCAATACCCAAAACAGAGGAGGTTGCAGCACACACCCTGAGTGTCCTTCTTGTGGGGGAGGGGAGAGCGGGGGCGGAGGGCTAAAAGCTGCGATAGGAATTCATTGAGTTCCCCGTCCCGCGCCGATCCCCCAAAAAAGGGCAGGACTGCTTAGTGGGCAAGACTTTAGGGCTCTCAAATTGGATACGGAGGTTTCAGGATGGCAACGGGTTCCCTTTGGCTTCCCTTAGATCCCGCCCCAAAAAGGGTACCTAACAAAAAGACACACGCCAAACGGACATCGAACTTTGGAAGGCACTGGCCTACGAAAATTGCAGCTAGCAGACTGGCTCCTTTAAGATTCACAAGGGAAAGCGGTTAAATGGGCTTAGCTTGGGCTGTGATAGCCCCAGCCAAGCGGCCGGGCGGGGGGGGGTCCGGCGGATAAGTCTGTTTGAGACCGAGGCATCCATGGTCATACTGGGGACAAAATCCACGCCGATCAAATAGATGACGCCGCTGAATACTGGGATTCAACACCCACCCATGGTTATAGTACCTATTATCTTGGTGTCGCTTGAACATCCAAGGCAAGAGATCTCTTGCCTGCCCTGTCCGAGGCTCTTCCTCCGAAATGAGGTTGTCCCCGTCCGTGTCTGCTTCTCCTGTCCCAATTGGAAAGGACTCTGCCAGAACCCAAGGATCAACGCATGCTGATTGCCTTCGAACCATTTCGAAATGGCAACTCACTTTCGGTTGGCCCCGAAAAGTGACATTAAAACCACCCAACTGCCCACGGCACACGAAAGAACCCGTGCCAAACCATATAGTTCGCCTTTGGAGGAAGTGATTCACCTGCCTGATGGAATCTTGGAGGACCTTCAAGGAGCTCGTTCTTTACCCCAAAGCTCGCCATGCTGATTGCATGGACCTTGTAAAATGTTTGCCCCGACGACAAATGCCTCTCTGGCTTAACGTCCATAACCCCTCTGCACAAAAGGCCATGCATGAAGCGGTTTGATACCAGGGAAAAACGGGATGTGAACAAGGAACCCTAGGTCCTCCAGTAGAACGGTTAGAATAAGAGTACCAACTTTTTTCTGTAGTCGATTTTAGTAGGGGAACCCTCCCCAAAAAAGAAACGGTAACAGGGCACCTAGCTGGGGGTACGGTTCCTTCAAGGAAAAAACCAAGGGGCACGAGGTTTGGGAGGTCCATAAGAGAACATGAACTGCTGCAGTCTGAAGAAGGCACCTTCGCGGAAGTTTGCAGAGTTGGGCCCCCGGCCCATCTCTTAACCATGGCTACCCTCAGATGCCCAGTGGATGTCCATGGGAAGAAAAGGATCGGCATCCCTTTTCTCGTGGCGTCTGAAGGAATCGGAAGCCTTCCGCAAGACAGGTTGAAAAAAGGGGGGAATCCACTGGGCAACAAAGCACCTGGCGGTTGGCTTAGGGAAGCCAAAGCTGATTGCCACAGGTTTCTCGCCGGCCTTGGTCGCGCGGCCCGGTCCTTTGTTGATCATATCCCACAAGACTTTCTTGGCGAAGTCTACCTCCAGCTGCTCGCGCTCGATGGTCGACACCGTCTTGATGGCCTACGTGCGACAGTATCCAAGCACACGCACAAGCAACATCCGGTTTTGTGTCGAAATTCTGGGAGCCCAACATGGATCTCGGTTTGCCTGCTCATTTCCCTGTATTTTGTAGCCAACCCCGATTTTCGGGTGCTTCAGGGGAACAATTCATAAGCTGGTCTAGGGCATCCTTGCACAGGTCAACAGCTAATCAAGAAGTGGACCCTCGCAGGGACCTTCAGTGACAAACCCCCAGCTCTTTGTGTCGCAAAGGGCCTTGCCCACTTCTAGGTCCTCCAGTAGAGAGGTTAGAACAAGGGTACCAACTTTTTCCTGTAGTCGATTTTGGTAGGGGAACCCTCCCCAAAAAAAGGGTAAGAGGCACTACTGGGGACCTAGACTTGCATTTGCTACGTTACTCTTGCCCAGCTGGAACTAACTCTACCCCAATCTCTGCCTCCTAAAAAACCTTGTCAACCAGTTGGAGTAACTGGTCGCCTCTCGAGCCTTCAACATTCGCACTTCAAACTCCCGCCTGCAGACCAGTCTGATGGTTGAACCATCCCCTGATTGACATTGGAGCCGGTCCCCGGCAGAAAAATCAGAAAGCTAATGCTGACCCCGGATTTTGTTCACCCCGGTTGATTCATAGGATGGTGTCCTTCGTCCCCTCTTAGTGGGCGTTCATCTCACTTTTGCAGGGGGTGCTCCCCCTACTAATCGTCATCAGCGGTCGACATGACCCAGTACAGGATTTTGTGTTTGGCGCAAGTAGTCTTCCTGTTACCTCATGCCTTCACAGGCACTGCGCAGTTGCCCTTGCTGGCTTTTGACTTCAAACCCCCAAAACTTGGCTGGAGAAGGGGCGTAGGGGTAAGCGCAGGATCCGGCGCCCTGCCCGGGAATGAACGTACGGTTGGCCCGTGATTAATTTGCTTTTCGATGTTGCGAAATACAAATAATTCACTAATGCGATAACTGGGTCCTCCAGCAGAGAGGCTAGAATACGGGTATCTTTTCTTTCTGTAGTCTATTTTAGCAGGGGGACGGACCCTCCCCCCAAAAAAGGGTAAAAGGGCACAACTGGGGACCTAGATGACCTAGATGCTATAAAAGTTGGCTGCTTCATCAAATTCCAGCTCATCGAACCTATGTAAGCTCGGAAGAAAAAATATGGTATCCCAGTTGCAAACCAAGTAGTAAGCCTGGTGGAGGTCCGTATCCAGAGAAATCGACAGAAACCAAAGGCCTAAGCTGCAGTCCAAAGGTCTTTCGCTTTTTCGGTCGCGCCTCCACCAGCACGCCCAGCAGCATGTTCATAACTGTTAGGGACCCAAAGAGGATAAACACAAGGAGCAGCACACCCATCATCCAGCTCTCCTGCGCGCTGAAGACTCGGCTCAAACTGCAAGGCGGAAAAGTGATCCGTGAAACCAAGAAACGGTTGGGCAATCCGGCCACCAAAAAAACAAACAAAGACCTGAGCATGATGTTTGCGGCAAGCAAGCACACATGAAAACACGTCCTTGAAGTTGTTGAGCATGCTTGGGAAGGGCTACCTTTCCCTAGAGGCTTCAATAGGCCCTTGCGCTCTCTTTCAGGCTCACTATGCCTCTCACTTGCCCTTTCCTATCCTCTTGGTTTGGCCTTAAGGAGTGTAGAAACCCACTATGGTCCTTTCAAAGGTGGTGAATGACTGAATGAAGCAGCCCGACCAGGTCAATCCCGTCCTGGGTCACCGCAAGGATCAAAGATTCCTGGTCTGTGAGGATGCACTTCAAGATGAGGGTGGAAACCGCAGATCCTGAGAGCCAGAGCTTTGCACATCTCGGGGGAAGCCAAAGAAGTGCCCAGAAGAATCGACCCAAACAGCCTGAGTCTTGAAATTACATACATATATATATATATGTAAGTGTGCTATTACCAATAGAGCCGGCGAAACTTCTGGCGGAAGCTTCAACCATACAAGAACCGTAGTTTCAAGCACGCTTCTTCTCCCCTGCACTCGTTCTCTCTCTCTCTCTCTCTCTCTCGCTCTGTCTCTCTCTCTCTCTCTCTCTTTCTCTGTTTCTTTGTTCTTCTCTCTGTTTTCGTCTAGCTTTCTCTGTCTTTGTTTCTTCTAATGAATTATTATCCTTCTCTTTCCTCATCTTCTTCATTCCTTCTTCATTACTCCCTCTAAATGTTATTCTCGTCCTTTCCTCTTTCTTCTTTCTTCGTTTCTTTCTAGCTTCTCTTTCTTGTTCTTCTTTCTCTTTCTCTTTCTCTCTGCTGCGCCTTGTGGCTTGCGGCCGCGTCCCCAGGTAGCCCAAAGGCCCAAAGCCCCTTTTGCCCTTCACACCATCGTCAAAACCGCGGCGTTTCGGTGCCAATGGGCCCGGGTCCGAGTCGGTCTCAACACCGTTTTGGGAGGCGCTGCAAGGGTAGGAGAGCTCGCATGCGCTCATTTCTTCTTCATCTTATCTTCTCGAAGACCTATTGAGTTTGTGTCCATAACATGGAATGTCCTTCAAAACCTGCCTTTGATTCATTCACACACACACACACATATATATATATATATACATACTATACGCTAAATATGCATTTTATGTCATGCCAACTTCCGCCTTACGCTGATCACATCTACCCCGCCACCTGCCTTTGACCGCTTCGCGACCCACTCCTCCCGCCCCGGTCGCTCGTTCGGCCAGGAGGCCCATGGATCCGAAGAAGTCCCTCGCCAGCACCGTGTCGCGGCTGAACTGGACGAAGGCCACGGAGAAGACGTAGGTGAAGAGCAGCAGCAGGATCAGCGTGAAGAACCTCAGGCAGGGAGATGGTGGGTGTTGCGCGCTTTTTGTTTGTTGTTGCTTCTTTTTTGGGTGGGGCTTGTTTTGTGAAGAACCTCAGCTTTTTTTTCAGCTCCAACTCGATATGTATTTAGGGCCCTCTAACAGGCTTAATTTTGAGACTGGGTCCCAAACACCGGTTTCCGGGGCGTCTAATGGAGAGGTCGGGTCTTTCATTGAACTGGAAAACAGAATCGCCCTCCTTGGTTGGTTAACTTTAAAGGAATCGATCCGATCCCTTCCCCAAAGTTGCAAAAAAGCAAGTTCAACCAAAGGAATCGATCCGATCCCTTCCCCAAACAAAGTTGAAAGAAGGGAAGTTCAACCCACCGGTTGCTGGGTGAATTCCCAGGACAACTCTTGGCTTTGCAGCCCCTACCTAGGCTTCGGACTTTCGGGCCTTTGGAATCCAAGGGGCACGGACCGGAAGGCCACCATCATTCCTGCACCGAGTGAGCGATGCCACGCGAGAAAAATATATATGTTAAAACAAATAAATAAAATAATAATATATATATATATATATATATATTATATATATATATATATAACAACAACAAAAACATGGTGTTTCCAAGGTCACTCCTCAACAAAAGGCCCTCACCTTTGGGCAACTGGAAGTTGACCTTTTGGAACCGAAAGACTACAAATAGAGCAAAAGAACCAAGAGGTTAGAAAGGTTCACCCTTTTGGAACCAAAAGACCAGACATAGACCAAGAAGGAAGATCCGGTCAATTCGAATCTAAAGTGAGGTGTTTGGTTAGGAGTACAACATGCAAGCTGAAGGTTGAAGATTCAAGCGGACTGCGACTTGCCAAGACGTCTGATCTGCGCTGGCCCAAAACCAAAGCGATGAAACCTGGCAACAAGAAAGTGGAAGGCTAAGCCGAAGAGGTGAGGAGGTGAGACAAGGCATCCTGACATCCTGATTGGAGAAACCTTTTCGGTTTTCAAAACAAAACGGGGCTCCCTAAAAAAAGGGGAATTGCCCATCCATGTCAACCAGACCTCCAATCCGTAGCGATAATTTCGGCTCCCTCCAAAAGGCGGCCGAATCACAAAGCGCCCTACGTCGGTTCTCTTACGAACAGCTAGACAACTCAGGTGCCCCAAAGGGGACCAGAAATACCAGGTGATCACCCAAAATGGGCCCACCTAGATAGCCAAGTCGCGATCGCTTTTTGCAGTCACTGTTGCGATCGGTTTTTGGGTTTTTGAGTGCATGGAAGCAAAAACAAAACTGGCGATCCAGGCATGACTAAAAATGGGAACCCAAAATGGTCAAAAGACACCCAAAAGGTCAGCAACAGGAAGGGATGAAGTCCGCAGGAAGGGATGGAATCCCAGGGGCCACTCCTTCGCTTTTGCTAGAACTTGGAGCCTGCAACCAGTCTGACGGAAATTTCCCGACCTTCCGGATGTGCCCCCTGCAAATGGGGCCGAACTAAAAACGGTGATGACCCGTTTTAGGGGCCACTGGAAGTAGCACCAAACTGTTTGTTGCCACCATGGTCCCAACCCCAAAAGTGACTAAAGTTCAAGGGAGTGAGAGAGACAACATTTTGGACACCAACCTTCCCCTAGCCCCTCACCCCCCAACCTTCCTCGCTTCCTGAGTGGATTCACCACAAAAAGTCCTGACACTTGCTATTCACCGCTAGAGTGGTCCAACCCCAACAAGGTGACTCAGGGAGTGAGAACTTCCCTCTTCCCATGGAAAACACCGAGTCCCTTGATGAGGATAATGCAACACACTTACCACCAAACTGGTCCAAACCCCGAGGAAATCAACAGGAAACCTACTTGCCTCGCTTCGAGTGGACGGCCAAACGTTCCGACCTTCTTCGGTCCTTTGATGAGGATCATGAAAAAACATTAACTCGCAAAATGTGGGACACCAACCCCACCCTAACCCGCACCCGCACCCCCCACCTTCCGCTATATAACCCCATAGAAAACACAGCGAGTCCTTTGATGAGGATTCACCACTAAACTGGTCAGAACTGGTCCAACTCCAAGGAAATCAACCGGACACCGGAAACTTACCTCACGGAAACCCTGTGGATGGCCCGGAATAAAAAGCAGCACCAAATTGTCCAACCTTCCCTTAAATAAGCCGTGGGCGTCGGTCCTTCCCCTTGGGCAAATCACACATCGAGCCGGCCATGTTCCCGGGGAATCCGACCCGCTGAGAAATTGATCCCCCCACCTTCCATGAAATGATGGAAAACACGGAAGGTGGAAGCTCATGATCCCCATGCCCACCCCAGCCCCACCTTCGCTTTGTTTTCCCACCCAGACCCTCCCAATCAATTTAGGGCCCTCCAAACAGCCAGGTTTTGAGACCCCAAAAGAATCCAGGCCTGTCTAATGGAGGGCCTCGGGTCTTCCATGGAAAGCCCCATGAGCCTTTGGGCTCCTGTTTAGTAGTCTACTTTAGTAACCCTCCCCCAAAATTGGGCAAAATGGCACTACTGGGAGGACCCAGGGAAGGTGGAAGCTCATCATCCCCATCCCACCCCCCCTCCCACCATCTTCCGTTTCATCCCACGGAAAACCCGCCGAGTCCTTTGATGAGGATCATGAGCTCCGGCATGAGCCGCACCAGCCGCGCCATGCGCGCGGTGCGCAGCACCCGCATCACCCGCGCCACGCGCAGCACCGAAGCGCCGTTGGAGATGCCGCCCCCGGCACCCGTGAGCGCTTGGATCAGTGGCATTATCCAGGTCTCCATGATCCTAAGGAAAAAAACACCCGCTGTAAGAGGTCACCAACAAATAAACATGTTTGTATAAATACGTCTGTGTGTGTATTATGTGGCGTGGCTTGAAGGTCTTTTGGTGTGGTTTCAGGGCTTTTGTTTTTGTGTCTGCTTTCAGGTTGTTCTTGCGGTGGAAACTCAAGGATACACGGCCATTTGGGTCCCCTCCCCCCAACAAAACCACACCCCAAAGCTGCAGGGGGGTAAGGATGCGTGTGTGTGTGTACCCTATGGCTCCCACCGGGTCTCCAGGGATCCTATGGATGTCTAAATTTAATTCCAATGGGAAATTCCAAAGCTCGCGTTTACGAGTTTGAAGGGAGGAAAGGAATCCGCCCACCTAGAATGGCAAAGGAGCCCCGGTTTCTACCAAGCAACACGTTTTGGTTGCTGAGGGCACCCTTTTTGGTGGTTTCTCCAGGTTTTCGGGGTGTTGATGAGGGGGTGGTTCAAGGGGTGGTTCGCCCTTTACAAGAACCAGGGGTTCAAATCCCCAGTTACCACCGATCAAACCACCAGGTGGGCGGGGGCATCGACTTCCGAGCGTCATGAGGGCCACCAAGCAGAAGTCCGCCATAAACCACACGTCTTTGATCGCGTACCTTGGACGCTCGCGCGTTTAATCAGCAACGAGCAAGCCAAAAAAGACAGAAGACAACAAATCAACCACCAGCCAACCAGCCAACCTGTTTTGCGTAGATTTCAGCCTCCTGCCACACAGCAACTTGGCTACCCCCAGCTCCGTCACGGCGCCCTTCCAACCAGAAGGACCCAGAAATAAAAGGTGATCACCTCTTCACGGCCCATGTCCCAAAACGGGACCCAACAAGGTCAGAAGATCAACAGGTCGATTCGCTTGTCTTGCCAGCGAGATGAAGCTTAAAAAAAGTGGCAAACAAATGGCAGCAACGGAGGTCTGGGAGGTCCTGAGTATGGTCAAAACTTCGTCGCCGTAGCTTCTTGCACATGGCATAGGCATGCATAGGCCCACTTGGCTGTGGGTCAAAAGATGTGCCCAACATCGGAACCCTGGAAAATGGAACCAAGAAAAGCTGCTGGTCCCCAACACTGAGAGGCCTGAGTCTGATCTCTTCTTTCTGGCCAAAATGAGAAGTGACACAACTCTACTACCCTCCTGTCCACATTGCCATCAGGTCCTCCAGTAGAGAGGTTAGAATAAGGGCACCCTTTTTTCGGTAGTCTATTTTAGTAGGGAACCCTCCCCCAACAAAGGGTAAAAGGGCACTACTGGGGGACCTAGCCATGGAACCTCACTGTTCTGGTTTAGACGATTTTCTTCAAGGGACGGAGCCTCTGCTGGGTTTGACGTGGACAGCTGGGTAAAACCATTTGGGCCTCATAAAGACACCAACCAACAGCTTCAAGTTTGACTCGCGAGGCGAGAGAAAAAGCCAAATCGGGCCGACTTGCAAACAGTTCCCCTCTCACAGCCGACTTGCAAACAGTTCCCCTCTCACAGCCTCCAACCTCGGTTGCTTTCTGCTCCCCTGGTAAAAAGTTTAACTTTAGTGATTTAATGGAAAGCCCGTTAATTGGCAAAAAGTTAAAGTCCTAACCAAGCAACATGCACCAAAGCAATTAAGGCTGTGAGGGACTTGGGCCAATGCGTCTTTCGAACAAATGGACTCGGCCTTGAGCAGCTCAGAGACTTGAAGTCTGGAGTACAAAACTCAGTTGTTCAGTGACCCTGGAAAAAAGGGAACCCTTTTGGGGAAGACCATTCTTAGTGGGGCAGCGACAAAAAAAAAGGAAAAAGGCTGCCACTGAAACAACTGAGAAAAGGCTTTCAATCCAAATGCTTGCCTTTTCCCGTTGCTGAAGACTGGTTCATGGTCTTCTCGGACCTTTCGAAAGCCCTCATCTCAAGCACAACGTCCTGAGAGGTCCTCTTTCATTCAACGGATGTCAAACTGTGTATTACCGCTAAAACGGTTTGCCCAACAAGCTTAAAGTCCAGGAACTCAGGGAGTCAGGATTATCATCCCAAAAAGAGGACCACCTATCTTGAGAATTGGGTCACATAAGGACCCCTGACCACCCCATGGGACCTATTCGAGTCGATGAGCCAGGTCTTCCGGTAGATGCCGAAGCGAACAATTAGCTCGAAGGAGAAAAAGCCGCAGAAGAAGTTCTCCATGATGATGAAGATGGGCGCAGCTTGGAAGAGCATGTCCTGATACGATGGGCGAGTCCTTGTTTGAGTCTCGCTACCCCGTTTTCAGGCGGGTTTATAGGGAAACCACAAGGAAACACACACACACACACAAGTTTTGGGAGTCCCCTAAAAACGACATACCATGCCCCAACTATACGATGCATGAATGAAACGATCCGGGTGTGTCCTCGTTTCTAGGCGGCCAAAACGAGAGTTGTTAAATGTCAGATCTTGGTGTGTCCTTGTTTTTGAGAGTACCCTTGTTGGTGTTGTTTGACAGGAACACCAAGGGGTCCCCTAAACACAGGTGCAATCTGTTCTATGTTCAAAGCCCCCAATCAGCAAATCAACAAACCTTACACACCTAAGGAACCATGGAAACACTTCTTATACCCCGAATCGGTGATCTCATTCTAATTTGCCTCGTAGGATGGATGTATATGATATGAAGCCGTAGGTACGCCCCTGCAGATTGGCATGGAACGCCTAACCCATCATTTGTAGGGGAAGCCCCTTTCGGGACACCTTTCCCTTGGGCGTCGTAGATTCAGTTGCAGGAGCAAACCCGTCTGAGGCTCCTAGGCGTAAACAATGCATTGAAATGGCATCACGCTTGTGTTTCTTGAGTACCCAAGTTTGGATGGTGTTTAACTCAGTGGCTGAGTGGATGGCTAATAAAAGTCCAAACTTTATATTTACCACTATCATGGTCTTCCCAAAAAGTTTAAAGTTCATGAACCCAGGAAGTGAGTTAAGGATAAACCAGAAGAAACACCACCATCTTGGGTCCCGTAAAAGTCGCCCGTATGGGGCATAATGGATTTGGATCGGTTCCCATTTGCCCTCTGCAAGAACCAGGGGTTCAAATGCTCAAACCATCAATGAAGGGATGACGGAGACAGAAGTCTTTTCCAGTAGCCGTCGCCCGGGCGACGGGAAGGTGAAAGTTCACACTTTGCTGATCCTCTTGGCAGTGTCTTCTTTGCAGGGTGCCGCTTTGAACAAGAATACCGGGGATGCCCGCTTTCCTCTAAGCCAACTGGGTAAAACAAACTGTCCCCACATACCACATGGCTTCTGGCTTTTGTTGGGTTTCCCGCATGATCAACCGGGGCTGCCGCAAGACAATGAAATGAACTGCACCAATTTAAGATTGGGAAAGGGAGCCTTCATCCTACCACAAAGTGCCCATAAACACAAAATTCCTCTTTGCAGCTTTAGTGGAAAAGCCCGGACTTATAAAACTGGATTTATTAATAGCGGGTGCCCCCAAAAGTGCTCTGAATCTCCACTAAAAAGGGGTCATCCCCCAATCAAAATCAGCCAGGGATTGCATACTTAAATCCGGGGTTCCCAGTAGTGGAAAACCTGAATTTGTTTCCAAAGGTCACTTTTCACGAGCAAGTCGGCACCGAATCGCGACGTTGAAAGCAAAAATGACCCAAATCCAGGAAGTGCTCGCCATCTACGTGCGCATGTTTCAAAGCGCTTTTCCCCCTTTGGTGCCGGGAATAAAAGGTTGACCTTTGGAATCTTGACGAACAACTGATCAAAAGAGGGAGGGGAACAAAGGGAGATGGACAACTTCGGTCAATTCGCTCACTCAGGTGAGGTTTACCCTCCGCCTCCCACCCTTCTCACATGGAACCTGACAGGGAAAACTGTTCCTTTAAAGGGAACATGACCCAAAGCTGGAACCCCCAAACGTCGAACGCTTCCTAGGTCCTCCAGTGGGGAGGTGAGAATAAGGGTACCAACTTCTTTCTGTGGTCTATTTGAGTAGGGGAACCCTCCCAACCAAATAAGGAACGGTAAAAGTTGGCACCAATCGCTGGGGGACCTAGGTATGCGTCAAGTGGGAGGTCTGCTGGCACGGCACTGCATGGTTGAACTCAATGTCAACGCCGATCCACACGGCGTTCAGCAAGATCACCTCGGCTCGAGTGGCTCAGAGCGCTCGCAGGCGGCTGAAATCGGAGATCTTCGGGCGAAATGACCCAAGCGCTCAGTCAGGAGCTCCATTGAAAGGCTTAGGACCTCCATTGAAAGCTTGTGGACCTGCACAAACAAGAGCCTTTCTCAGGCCCTCAAATGCTTAGGGAGAAGCAACAGGACGTAAAGCCACCTGAAGTACTTGTCCGAGGTCAAGTTCAGATTTGTAAGGACCATACGAGATCATCCGATCCAGGGCGGCTCCCTGTTTCAGTGTTGGGAATTCAGTAAGTGAGGGATACTTTGGACTGGAATGGCCCGGAGTAATTTGATCCAAAGGTGACCTTCTGAAGGTCGTCAACTTGTGGCTTTCCACCCTCTTGCTTCCTTCCTGCATTGGCAAAGTCCAAATTAGTTGTTTACTCAACTCAGGGAGTTCCATTTATTCACTTCCTGAGTAGATTGGCCACAAAGTGCATTGTTTACTTACCCTTACCTTGGCCTTCCCACAAAAGTCTAAAGTCCATGATCTCGGGGAGTGAGCTTCATGGAACGCCCAAGAACCGCAGCACCGGTTCTGCCCCTCAACAGAAACACAACAAGCAGCTCATGGACCTCATGGGCAATGCGATGCTAAGAAGCCCTCAGGCGAAACTGAAGCCAAACAGCGACACCATCCAAGTTCCAATGGAAAAGATGACAACAAACCGAGCCTGTAGAACAAGTCCTTCTGGTGACAAGGTAAACAGGAGAAACCACAACAAGCTGTTTAAACCACCAGGTGAAACCACCACCGTGCCGAGTGCATGGGCAACAACCTGAACAAACGGTCAAGTTGACCTTTCAGTCTGGGAGTGAGTTCAACTGGTTTAAAGTCGACATGAAGTCCGTGATTTCCAGACCATGAAGTCCATGAAGTGCGTGAAGTTCGTGAAGTCCAAAAAGGTGAAACAACTCGGATGCCCAGTGAGCTTACATGGGGGAAGAAAAAAAACGAAGCGGTATCCGATTTGTTTTTTGGTTGGTGGCCTTTAAAGGACTCGGAACCCAAAACCCGTCCCCCCCAAAAAAAGGAGGAAACAAGGAAGCAACCAGGTTGCAACTGGGTGAAGAAGAAAAAAACGTCCGATAGGAAGCCTCGAAACATGAGAAAAAAAAGGAACAGAAAAAAGAAACAGAGAAAAAAGAAAAAACAAAAACGATCGATGGATCGATGGAAACCATGACGAGTCGCCGCCAGGGTGATGCGCTCGAAGCTGGGATGCGACGCCAGGCGCACCAGCCTCGGCTTCCGAAAAATTTCACGGTCGACCCAAATTTATCGAAAACCTCGGGGTTGACCTGAAGCCTCACTCAGTGGCCCCTTAGGGACCCAGAACTAAAAGGTGATCACCTTTTGGCACCAAACTACTAAAAATGGAGCCAGAATGGGAAAACCAAAAAGTCAAAAGGTCGATTCGCTTTGAACAACTGAGCTCAAGGAAATCGAACTCCGGGAGTCTCGAAACCACTTGGTTGACCTTGGGTTAAGGGAGCAAACATCGAAAACACATTTAGCAGTTAAGTGGATTTGGATTTCAATTGCGAAACCACAATAAGCAAAAACATGTAAAATGTTGCCCAACAACAACCATGACCATGGGACTGAAACCATAAGGTTTTGTTGGTAGTGAGGGGAATCGAATCATTGGAGGGTTTCTGAAGTGGTGCAAGATTTGGTCCACCCACAGTAGGGTTAATTCAACCCCCATTAGAAGAACGGCAATGATGAAATTTCCTGAGGTAAACAATGGAGGCTTCGTCAACGATTCGTTGTCTTAGTGGTGCTTTGAACCCCAGGGTGAATAGTTGTTGACTTGAAAGGTTTTTCACTCTAGGGGTACCTTCTTTCCATTGATCATTCTTTCTAGAACACCTCCGGAGACCTGATCGGGAAAACGGATCCGGTTTTTGGAAGGAACGATGGTTGAAAAGAATGGAAACGGAAGCCAACCCCTAGAATCTATGGTTCTCAGTTGCCCAAAGGACCCAGAACTAAAAGGTTAGCCTTTTGGCACCTCTACTAAAAATGGGAACCCGGAATGGGAAAACCAAAAGGTCAGATCCGGTCGATTCGCTTTGAACAACTGAGGGTTGGATTTGCCCCCTAGTTCCTTGACTCGCCCAATCCATGTTCTGCAACATGTCCCGGCTCCCGAAAACCAAGGCCGTCTGGGACAAGAGCCACTGGTGTCTCTGCTTCAGTGTTCCGTCGCCCTGTGGACGTGAACCCCAGTGGAAAAGGGGCTTACCAGTGGTAAGGTCAGGCCCAAAGACAACTGAGCCCCCTTCCGCCCCTTCCGCCCCTTAATGAAAAAAAAACACAGTTGCATTCAAGCCAACTTTCGTAAGCTAGGCTTCGGACGAACCCAACGAATGCCAAAAGAAGTCCGCCCTTTCCACTTCCGAAACTCAAGAAACCAACAACAGGTCTCCATAGGACCAATCCAAATGTCCACTGATAGGCTCCGTCAGCTTCCCCCGAATTGGTGGTTTGGATTGGTGGGAACTGGGGGTTTGAAGCCCTGGTTCTTGAGGGTAAATGGGAAGCCGGCCCTGAACCAATCCAATTAGGGGGAAGCTGAGTTTCCAGGGAGAAACGCAACTTCAGCAAACGGAAGGAAGCAAACTCGCCGAAAAGAAACCTGCTGGCTCGGCGAATTCCCGAGCTTCCTGTGGTTTGCTGCACAGTGGAATCCGTCCAGTTGGGCCATCCATTCTAGCGATAGGTTGTGGGAATGAACTGAAAGGGGGAGTCCCGAAGAAAACCACCAGGGACCAGGGATGTTTGAAGTTTAGGTCCTCCAGTGGAGAGGTTAGAATAAGGGTACCAACTTTTTCCTGTCGTCTATTCAGTAGGGGAACCCTGCCAACCGAAAACCAAAAACAAAAACAAGGTAAAAGGGCACCTAGGTGGGGGACCTAGCTAGCAACAAGCAAGTTTCTGGTCTGAATCGCCTTGACTCGAGATCAAAAGATCCAACCCGCAAGGAGGTGTTTTTTTTCAGGATTTGACGCGAGGTGCCAGCCCTCCGTCTTCAACACGCTCTCCTTCCCCATCTCCAACTCCTCCGCCGCTTTCGTAATGATGTTGTCCTGACCGCCGAGCTTTCAAAAAGAAACAGCCGAGCTCCGAAACGAGGGAAGGAGGGCTGCAGGCCTGGTAGACCACCCGACTCTGTGGTTTTTCAAGGGGATCTGTAGGTTGATTCCGAAACCCCCTCTCGATTCCGCACTCGATTCCTGGGCAACACGAGATGTTGGAAAGCTCTCCTTGGAGGACCTGGAAATATGGCTCGGGTGTTACACTGGCCCCATGGTTTGACCATCAAAGTCACCCCCTAACTAATTGGTTAAAAGGAAACACCCTCAATTTCTGACTTTGACAACCCCAGGAAACAGTCAAAGTAATGAGCCCAGCTAAGGGGTCCAGAACACATCCTTCCCCCATTGGGTTCTTTTGGTGTGTGTGTGTGTGTGTTTTTTGGGAACCCTTTGTTGGTGGGTTTTAAAGTGGCACCAAAAGGAAAGACAGCACCGGGGCCTGGGGGGGAGGGGAGGAGGAGGTAAGAGAGACGAACTGTTCTTGTCTCGAAAGGCATGCCATTCTATGTCCCAGTGCAGTAGGCAACCAAGTTGGTTGCCTACTATTGTAGTAACTGGCACCCTGCTTGATGTATACCATAGGGTTGGGGGGTAGGTCTGTACTTTATGTTGCGGCTGCTAGTCCATGTTAGCGCGGACTTTTGGGCGATCCCAGTAACCCAGAAAGAAAGAGCGCAAGTCAACTCAAGGTCAAGAACCCCAGCCATGGGGACCAGGTCGCTGCAGCTTTTGGTACGTTGATTTTACACGGCTGACACTCCTTGGCTGTTGACCCCTCTGCAGAAAGTTTAACTTTTGGTGGCTGTGGAGATCTCCTTGACTTCCCAGAAAGTTTTAGCAGCCAAGGACTCCAGAAGCCTTCCCAGGACAAACACCACCAGTATCGATCCACATGGCACGATCCATGGCAATGACACTGCTGGACGCTTCCATGCAAGTGACATTGACAAGATTTGCATTAAAGGAAACCAAAAAAGAACACCACCATTTGGGGGCGTCTCTGGTAGAAAGACACACCCACGTGGTTGTTTAAAGGGACCCCTCACTTTTGTTTGCTTCCAGCGGCCCAAGTTGAAAGGCTCGCATGCCGTCCCCCGATTTGGATTGGGTCCCTTGGTGCTTGGCACTTGGGGGAACTTACGCGACAAAAGAGTTGGGGCTGTTTCAACAAGGGGGGTGCAATCAAACTATACTTGCTTGTTCTCAGGGCATGACCTCGCAGGCGTTGGGAATGAACCGTTCGGGGATTCCCTTGAAGGAAACCATAGGGGATGGCTCATATATGGGGCCATTCCAACTCGTTCCCTGCCTATCGAACCAGCAAGACCAATTCACCCAAGCTTGTTATTTACCACATTTCAATGGCAACCCAATTCCCTTAAAAGTGACGATCGAGTCAACATGAACGCAGGGAGTTGATCTAACTAACCAAGGGGCGACCATTGCGACCATTATGGAGTCCCTAGGGGGGGGTGGTCCAACGATGTTCTTTTCTATGGCTCGCTCAAAAAACGCTAAGGAACCCGAAAGGGGCTCTAGCCACCCTTGTGATTACCCCCCTTACGGATATCAGCTTCCTCTTAGTTGGTGGTGTGGATGGTTCCGGAGGGGTTCCCCATCTACAAGGACCCGGGTTCAAATCCCCAGTTCCCAATCCAAACCTCCAATTGGGAAGCGGGAACCTATCACTGGACATATGGATTGGTCCATAGGACTGTTAGTTGAGTTTCGGAAGCCCCCTTTTGCCTTAGAGACCTTTTCTAGGTCCTCAAGTAGAGAGGTTAGAATAAGGGTACCAACTTTTTTCTGTAGTCTATTTGAATAGGGGAACCCTCCCTCCCAAGAAAGGAACGGTAAAAGGGCACCAATCGCTGGGGGACCTAGTTTTCCAAACCGCCAATTCGCTGGGCTCTGGAAAGACTCCGCAGCCTGGGATTTTTGGCTCTCGAACCCTCTCCTTGGCGAGCTCCGAGTTCAGTTGCGACAGCCTCTGACACTTGGATTGGAGGAAGGCGCGTTTCTCCCACTTCACTCAAATGCCCAGTAGAGTTCAGTGGCCTTCCTCACTTGCCCAAAAGACCAGGAAATAAAAGGTTAACCTTTTGGGACCTTTACTAAAACTGGACCAAATTGGAAAACCAAAAGGTCAAAAGGTCGGCTTTGGGCAAGTGAGCTTCTTGTTGGTTTTGTAAGGAATGGGAACCCTGCCCCAAACCAAGTTGAAAAAAGTCGGAATCCACTGACCAACAGAGCTGAGTGGATTGGCCAAGTCCAAACGATTTGTTTCCTCAACTCAGGGAGTTCCATTTAATCACTTCCTGGGCAAAATTGGCCAACAACAAGTCCTGGAACTGTTTATGTACCAACATGATCTTCCCAAAATGTGTCAAGTCCAGGAGATCAGGAAGTGAGCTATGGATGGAGATGGCTTTTGGGTCCAGGCTTGGTCCCTTGGGCCTGGAAATGCATGGGGACCTACCTTGTGGAACCCAGACGAAAAATAGACCCTACCATGTCCTTACCAACCTCCTGGTAACTCCTTCGCTCGTTGTATGAAGAAAATATCGATACCCCAAGCTGTATCATGGTTCCCTTCCAACCAACAACCAGGACCAAACGGGGACAAACAAAGGGGTCAATCCAACACCTGCCGGTTTACTCGGCAGCCCAGTTCGGACCCACACATACAACTAGGTCCTACAGTAGAGGTTAGAATAAGCGTGCCCTTTTATCTGTAGTCTATATTAGTAGGGGAACCCTCCGCCAAAAAAGGTAAAAGGGCACTACTGGGGAACCAGACAAGGTGACCACTCGAAACAGGCCAGGACTAAAATTGGATCAAAAAGGGGGAAACTAAAAGCTCAGATCCGGTCGATTCGCTTGGGACAAGTGAGTCAATAGTTCTTGATGGCTCCTCATCGCCATTCATTCATTACTAGGCTGCAATGACTCCATTGACTCCATCGCATTTTGAACATGACATTCCTCAGAAGATTTGCCAAACCCTAGCTGCCTAGGTCCAACACTGAATGGGAACGACTTGCTGAATCGGGCAACTCCTTCTTCTCGCTTCGTGGATTGGCCCAAACAAATACCCAAACATGTTTCTGGTGACCGCCCAAACTCGGTTGCTTTCTGCTCCCCTGGTAACAAAATAACTTTTAGGGGTTTATTGGAAAACCCATTAGTTGGCAAAAACATAAAGTCCTAACATCCCTTGGCAAAATGCACCAAAGAAAAGGGTCCAAACCATAAAGAAGTGAAAATCCCAGGAACTCAAAAAGCCGCTACAACGGTCCAAACCCCAAAAGTGAAAATCCCAGGCTCCGAGAATGAGCTTTGGAGCTATGGGGCAAATCAAATCCCATCGCTCCCAACGCTTCAGGTGCCGGGATTCCTGAAAAACGACCCGAGTTGATGGTCTCCTTTGTTGAAAAATCGATTGCCCTGGTAGATGATTGAACCACCAGGTAAGCCACGGCCCTCTATTCAACAACCAAAAGGGACACCTACAGACCCGAGTTGTTCTTTTGGTTTTCCTTTTTGTTTCTATTCCATCCCTCTCTCTCTCTCAAACAACCCCACAAAGGGTACCTACAAAAAGAAGTTGCCAAAGAAGTGACCTATAGCTAGCCAACTAAAGTTTAAACTGTTCGGGCCGTGGCTAAAATGATGAAATTTGCCCACTCAGCCACCCAGAGGTATGACCATGAAAACGAGACGCGTGTCTTTTTTGGGACTCGAAAAACCCGGCCCATCCCGTTTACCCCACCCATGGAACGCCGAAATTTAGTCCAGCTGAGTGGCATGCCAGACTGGTGAAACTCAGCTGCGTCCTGACGGCCAGCCAGCCGAACCCACTGGATACGATCCCCTGACAAGAGATCGGTTCGCCTGGCGCACTGCTGCCTATGCCTGGATGTTCTACCCGTTGTATATGATCATTCATTGGTGCAACACATATATATATATGTGCTATATATATATGTCTACATAAATACATGTGCGCATGCTCGAATGTATATAAATATAAGTATGCAGAGAGAGAGAGAGAGAGAGTGAGTGAGTGAGTGAGTGAGTGAGTGAGTGAGTGAGTGTGTGAGTGAGTGTGTGAGTGAGTGAGAGTTCTTTTGTATCCATGTTTGCTTTCAGGGAGTGTTTCAAATTCAGCTTTCGCGAAAGCAAGGTTTAGCTGCGCTTCCTGGTGAACATGACGTGCCGACAACTAGGTTCACAGCCTGACAGCCGCAAGTTGGACGCCGGGCAATCAGCGAGTCTCTGAGTCACCTGGCTTTTGCCCTTCTCTCCCAAATTGACCGTCGGCCGTAATTCTTTGAAGGGATCCATACCAAGAATCAGACACCCACCGAAACCAATACATTTCTACTCTTGGTATGGTAGCAGCAAACTGATTGTCTTTTGCAGACCCCCAGTAAAAAATGAACAGAAGCAAACAAAAAAAAAAAAACATGCCAAGAGCAGTGAAGAATAGCCAGGGCCCGGTTCAGCACGAACCCAGGCGAACCGCGGAGTTGTCAACTGCCCAACTCTTCTGGGCGAAAAAGCCCGCAACTCTCGGACCGAGAAGAAGAAATTCGCAGAAGTGGACCTTCATGCGAACCCAGCTTGTCTGACGCCCAAATTGGTGGGGAAGCGCATTTTTTTGCCCAACTGACTACTTGTCGTACACCCTCCTGTCAGCTTCCGTGATTGTTGGAGGGAGGGTATGAAACGGTTGGGCCACCCTGCTTAATATGCTTATATGAACCTCTTATTGCTGAAACAACCTCCTTTCGGCTTCCTTTGACAGGGACAAGGGTCTGATTCTTCAAGCCGACTTGCTCAGGCAGAACATCCAGCCATGGAAAGAGGAGCCTGATTTTAGTAGTTTGTGTTTAAAGGGATTCCACCTCCAAACACAAGGAAACAAAAGGGACTCCATGGAGGAGATCGGAACTCGGTGAGGATTTATGTCCACCAACCATTTGGGAGGGGTTCCTCATTGACTCAGTTGCCGCTTGAGGACTCGGAAATGAAAGGTGATCACCTTTGGGGAACAATGAACATGGGAACCCAAAAACTTGGTTGCTGCGAAACCCTCTGCAGAAAGTTTAACTTATTGTGGGTTTAGTGGAAAACCCCCTGACTTCCCAACAAGATAAAGTCTAAAGATCCAACCCAATAGCAGTCAACAAAAAGGGGAAAGCGTCAAAGGTCAGATCCGGTCGATTCGTTTTGGGCCGAGGTGAGCTCACCCCGACCCCTCATGAAATTCCAGCTATATGGTTTGGATTGGTGGTGAGGGATGGTGTCCCAGTTGCCCTCTACAAGAACCCAACCTTCAAATCCAACTCCAACTCCAAACCCCCAATCAAAACCACAACACGCAGGAAACCTGAAAAGGAACCGCCTCCCCAACCTCCAAGCCCCCAATCCAACAAAAGCGAATTAACTGCGCTGTCCAAACTGATCCCCTGTCAAAAATTAGCTTGTGGGGTAAAATTGGAATTCCAACCACCAAACCAACTAAAACAACGAACAAAGGCACAGGAGCCGGAGGATTCGCTGGCTCCGAACCGCCAAAAGCTATGGGAATTCCCCTCAGACCGGGGAGGGAAAAAACACAAACACCCCTTACTCTCCAAACCACAACTCCAGAGGTAACCTAGAAATGAGAAACCGCCCCTCCCCCCCTCCCCTAACCTCCAAACCAATCCAAACCACCAACCCAAACCACGATGTTTTAATGTTTGGGTTACCTACGACCTGGGTACAAAAAAGAAAAAGAAAAAAAAAGGAAAAAACAACGGGGCGGCTTGCTCCGTCTTTCTGGTCCTTCTTGGCCTTGTCCTTCTCATCCTTACTCATAATCTTCCGAACCCCACCCGGCTCCGGCTTCAAGGTATCCTCAGCTCAGCTTGCTCGCGGGGGTGGCTCGGGGGATTTTTGCACGGGCTCCTTCGACCATCGGGGCTCTGTGAGGGGCGGCTGGGTTGCTCGACTCAAGGGTGGCTTGCTTTTTGCATGCCCCCAGCAGCCTGAAACCAAAGAAAATTCGGGAAGCCGCCAAGAAGAAGAATCCTATGGCTAAGCTTCCTTCAGTTCGCTAGGAATGTTGGACTCATTTGTACTTGGCAAAGGAGACTCCTCATTTTTGTGGCAAACAAGAAAGGTTTCGGTCCTTTTGGCCAATCCGGCGAAAATAAGTTTCAGGGCCTGTTCCCCAGGTCCGGGTTACGCAAGCTCGCGCACGGATCTTGGTTTTGTCCATGGGCCCGGACTCAGACGCCCAGTCAGTGTCGACAGTCAGCCCACCGCCCGCGATAATGGCTACTGGAGCAACTGAAATTGGTTCCCTCAGAATCATCCTAGTACACTGACGAAGTAGGTTTTCCTTGCATGGCTGGAGCCCAGTTGCCCAGTGGTGTCCTTGTGTCCTTTTTTTTGCTGGTTTTGGGTTCCCAACCAAAAAAGGATACCGATTCATTTTTTACCCATGGCAAGTACCCCCAACCACAAAGCCTCAGCTTAGGCCAAAGGTACAGGACTGCATATGTAAACTCACCAAAAATCGATGGCTTTTCTTGGTGTAAGTCCGAGGGCATGCTCAAATATGGTTGTTGGAGGGATGGATGCTTGTATTCGATGTATACATGGCATATGGGTATATCGATATGTATTTATATACAAATTTATGTCACAAGGTCCAGACCTACTTATACACGACGCCCTCTTCTAACAAGTTTAGCCGGGGCAGTATAATATTATATCTACATATATTTATACATACATACATGCATGCATCCATACATGCATACATACATACATACATTACATTACATTACATTACATTACAGTACATTACATTACATTACATACATACATAACATTGCATACATTACATACATTACATACGTACATACATACATACATACATACATACATACATTACATTACATTACATTACATTACATTACATTACATTACATTACATTACATACATACATACATACATTACATACATACATACATACATACATACATTACATACATACATACATACATACATACATACATACATACATACATACATACATACATACATACATACATACATACATACACATACATACATACATACATACATACATACATACATACATACATACATACATACATACATACATACATACATACATACATACATACATACATACATACATACATACATACATACATACATACATACATACATACATACATACATACATACATACATACATACATACATACATACATACATACATACATACATACATACATACATACATACATACATACATACATACATACATACATACATACATACATACATACATACATACATACATACATACATACATACATTACATACATACATACATACATACATACATACATACATACATACATACATACATACATACATACATACATACACATACATACATACATACATACATACATACATACATACATACATACATACATACATACATACATACATACATACATACATACATACATACATACATACATACATACATATACATTACATACATACATACATACATACATACATACATACATACATACATACATACATACATACATATACATACATACACATACATACATACATACATACATACATACATACATACATACATACATACATACATACATACATACATACATACATACATACATACATATACATACATACATACATACATACATACATACATACATACATACATACATACATACATACATACATACATACATACATACATACATACATACATACATACATACATACATACATACATACATACATACATACATACATACATACATACATACATACATACATACATACATACATACATACATACATACATACATACATACATACATACATACATACATACATACATACATACATACATACATACATACATACATACATACATACATACATTACATACATACATACATACATACATACATACATACATACATACATACATACATACATACATACATACATACATACATACATACATACATACATACATACATACATACATACATACATACATACATACATACATACATACATACATACATACATACATACATACATACATACATACATACATACATACATACATACATACATACATACATACATACATACATACATACATACATACATACATACATACATACATACATACATACATACATACATACATACATACATACATACATACATACATACATACATACATACATACATACATACATACATACATACATACATACATACATACATACATACATACATACATACATACATACATACATACATACATACATACATACATACATACATACATACATACATACATACATACATACATACATACATACATACATACATACATACATACATACATACATACATACATACATACATACATACATACATACATACATACATACATACATACATACATACATACATACATACATACATACATACATACATACATACATACATACATACATACATACATACATACATACATACATACATACATACATACATACATACATACATACATACATACATACATACATACATACATACATACATACATACATACATACATACATACATACATACATACATACATACATACATACATACATACATACATACATACATACATACATACATACATACATACATACATACATACATACATACATACATTACATACATACATACATACATACATACATACATACATTACATTACATTACATTACATTACATTACATTACATTACATTACATTACATTACATTACATTACATTACATTACATTACATTACATTACATTACATTACATTACATTACATTACATACATACATTACATTACATACATTACATTACATACATTACATACATACATACATACATACATACATACATACATACATACATACATACATACATACATACATACATACATACATACATACATACATACATACATACATACATACATACATACATACATACATACATACATACATACATACATACATTACATACATACATACATACATACATACATACATACATACATACATACATACATACATACATACATACATACATACATACATACATACATACATACATACATACATACATACATACATACATACATACATACATACATACATACATACATTACATACATACATACATACATACATACATACATACATACATACATACATACATACATACATACATACATACATACATACATACATACATACATACATACATACATTACATACATACATACATACATACATACATACATACATACATACATACATACATACATACATACATACATACATACATACATATACACACATACATACATACATACATACATACATACATACATACATACATACATACATACATACATACATACATACATACATACATACATACATACATACATACATACATACATACATACATACATACATACATACATACATACATACATACATACATACATACATACATACATACATACATACATACATACATACATACATACATACATACATACATACATACATACATACATACATACATACATTACATACATACATACATACATACATACATACATACATACATACATACATACATACATACATACATACATACATACATACATACATACATACATACATACATACATACATACATACATACATACATACATACATACATACATACATACATACATACATACATACATACATACATACATACATATACATACATACATACATACATACATACATACATACATACATACATACATACATACATACATACATTACATACATACATACATACATACATACATACATACATACATTACATACATTACATACATACATACATACATACATACATACATACATACATACATACATACATACACATTACATTACATTACATTACATTACATTACATTACATTACATACATACATACATACATACATACATACATACATACATACATACATACATACATACATACATACATACATACATACATACATACATACATACATACATACATACATACATACATACATACATACATACATACATACATACATACATACATACATACATACATACATACATACATACATACATACATACATACATACATACATACATACATACATACATACATACATACATACATACATACATACATACATACATACATACATACATACATACATACATACATACATACATACATACATACATACATACATACATACATACATACATACATACATACATACATACATACATTACATTACATTACATTACATTACATTACATTACATTACATTACATTACATTACATTACATTACATTACATTACATTACATACATTACATACATACATACATACATACATACATTACATACATTACATTACATTACACTACACTACACTACATTACATACATACATACACACACACACATACATACATACATACATACATTACATACACACATACATACATACATACATTACATACACCACCCTTATAATATAAGCTTGGCAGGCAGTAAGGCTCCATAAAGGAAGCTAGAGTCAGACCATGGAAAGAGCTGGCCTTGAGCGTTTGGGTCTTGAGGACCAGGCTTTAGGTTCAGGAACTCGAGTGAGAACCATTGAAAGGGATATACACCCTGGAATTCACACTAATTACCATTAAAACAGCGGAGGTTCATATAACCACCATTGTTTACCTAAGGTTTGTCATCATCCAAGTAGGGTCAACCTTTCTTTTAATGAGGGTTGAATCCTAGGGTTTCGGTATGACAATTTCACCTGAGACCCTACCTTCCGAGCTTCTGGAAGCCTGGCTGAGCCAGGGCTACGAGTTTGGCGAACCATGTAGCACAAGCCCCGGAAGACCATACACACAACCCCTGTAGACTCGAATGCCAGCCCTAGTTCGCAAATCCACGGGTTCACCCATTTAAAGCCACGGGTCAAAGATACAGTTGGCGCAACTCAGTACCAAACAAAAGATGTCCCAAATCGATTGTTAGAGAAGTCATTGAGGAAAGCAGAATAAACCACCCTGCCCCTTCTCCTTGAACCCCTCCCCCTCCCTCCCCCTCCCCCCCTGCCTCCCCCTCCCCCCCACCCTTCCCCACGCACCCCTTGAGTTGGACACCAAAGCGCCACTTTGTCCATGTACGTGGTGGACTGCTTGTGGATCCAACTCATCCGCCGCTTCCGCTGCACCGGCGGGGGGGCCACGGAGGCGTGCAGAACCCGGCCCCCCGCTCCTTTCGGAAGGGATACGGAACCACCCCTACACAAATTGTGATCTAGGTCCTCCAGTTTTCTAAAAAGAAGGATAAAGGGACAGGTGCCCCTAGAATTTTGGGGCCGCCACAACTAGGTCCTCCAGTAGTTTGCGGTTTTAGAATAAGTCTTGTACCAACTTGTTTTTCAGTTTTGTCTATTTTAGTAGGGGAACCCTCCCCCAAAAAATCGGGAAAGGGCACCTAGCTGGGGGATCTAGTTATCTTCTTGGGCGCGCTGGGCGCTCCTGCGCATGCCAGCTAGGTTCGGTTGGGGTTGTACATAGGGACTTACGTCCCAAAATGGGAGAATCGACGGGATGCGGATTTTCAGAAGAGTAAGAGAACCGCGGAACGAGCGGCCCCTTCTTCAGCAGGGTCGTGGGCAACCGACTCTTCACTAGCGGGGGTGCCACAACCCCTTATTGCCACGACCCCCCACACAAAACCTGGAGAACTAAACTAGGCCAAGCTGCAGTTGTTTCTCTTTCTTTTTTCTTGGGGGGGGGGGGGGGGGTGATAGAAGAATCTTTCTGACCTCAGGAGTGACTTGGGTCCAATACGAATACAGAGCCGTAGCAAGGGGAGCCGTCTCGAATGCCCCGAGAAAAAAAAAACGTCACTAACAATCGCCATCGTGTTGCTACTGTGGATGGACAGAAACGGACAGAAACCTGCACCACCTAAGAAACCATGGAAAACATTCTTTGTTGGTATTTGCAGGGAATCATCAAAGCCAGGGTTTCTTAGGTATAGTGCAGGATTTCGTCCATCCACAGTATGGCTCCCCCTCTTATGGCTCTGAAATCGCATTCGACACAACAGGTCTGTGGCTCAACCCACTGCAGTCCTGGAATGTTGCCCTGGATTACCGCGAGGGCTGCGCCTTCCACCGCTGACCAGTCCTCCTTGCAGAGGCGGGAAAGCGATGTAGCGCGGCATGGGTTGCCAAGAAAACGGAACTTTTTAGGTGCGCAAAATGTGCGCGCGTTTGTCCGTACGTGCAAGCGTGTGTGCGCGCATCGGTGAGTGTTGCGCAATGTCGTGCGTGTCGTTCGCGCGTACCGGGCGTGCGCGTGTTCTTGCGTGCGCGTACGTGCGTGAGGTGTGTGGGTGGGTGTGGATGTGGGTAAAGGTGGGTCTGGATGTGGGTGTGTGTGTGTGCGGAGTGGCAGAATACCCTGTCACCACAATTACTTACGCAGGGGGGCAATCCCGTGAGCATAGCTGGTTGCCCAACGAAGAGGGCTATGCCACGGCTGATACGGAGTCTGATCAACTCCGCGTACCTGCAACATTTCAGTGATTCTGAAAGTCTATTTGGCCCTCTTCTTTTTGCCGCTGTGGGTGCTTCATGTTGAATTTGTAACGTGTTCGCTGCTAGACGGAAGCCAAGTGACTGTGAGCCGAAACTTATCCCACTCGAGACTTATCAGTTGTACTCGAGACTCATCAGTTGTACTCGAGACTCATCAGTTGTACTCGAATGATTAGCATCCTCCCTTGGGAGTCGAAGTGTGTGTGTGTGTGTGTGTCTGTGGGTGTGGGTGTGGGTGTGGGTGTGTGTGTGTGTGTGTGGGGTGTGTGTCTGCCTGTGTACGTGTCTGTCTGTCTGTGATTGTGTGTGTGCGTGCGTGGGTGTATCGTGTGTGTGTGTGTGTGTCTTCGTTGCACCTGACATATGATAACAATACCTATGTATAAATAACATATATATATATATATATTCATAATATGTAAACTTATACTGAAAGTCCTTTTCGAGGATACCCTTTTCTTGGTAAGGCACTCCCAGAGGAACCCAACCATTTTGGCAGTTCCCGAAAAACACCCTAGTATACAATGCATGTGCAAACAAACACACACACACACATGCTTTTTTCGGCTAGGATTGGGGTACCCGGACAAGTTTGACCATGGTTGGCAAATAATCCTTCCCTTTGCCTTTGCATACATGTTGCTTTTCCAGACCGCCGGGTACCCAATACTACTTTTAGAATGGGCCAACTCCAAACCAATACTAGGCTGGCTGATTGCTTGCCATTCCTTCAGTCCTACTCCAGAACTCTCTGTACCAACCCCAAACTAATCAGAAATGAAAAACCCAAGGCCCCTGATTGCCCAACTTGTACTGTAACCAAATGACAAAGTAACAAGTTTGAAACTTTCCAAGGGGGATTCTCATTTGCTAGCCAGAACTGGAAAATCAAGGTTCTGTTTTCCTTTACAGTTTGCACTACAACCGGTTGAAAAAGCAACAATTAGGGTTCCCTGCTTGGTACCGCCTAGATGTTTCCCTGCGTAGCCTTCCTCCCTCAAAGTCTCTTCAGTAGTTTCTGTTGTTCCTACAAGGGGTACGTTTTCTTTTTCCCCACATCAATATAAGGGTTTTTACTTTCACGTTCTTCGTCCGTCGACATTGCCTCCTGCTTTCTCCTCCTCGCCTCCTGCCTCCTTGCGCCCTCACTCACTCACTATCACTTTAACACAATCACTTACCACCTAGAACTGCCAGCTTAAGGTTGGCGAGGGACACACCTCGCTGTCTGTCATTCTTGTCCTGTGCTAATCTGCGCTGACCCAGGCCCGATTCAGGATGAGTACATTTGTTCTGGGGGATCTGACCCCTAATGGCACTCTTAATGAATATCCTTTGGCCCTTAGCGGAGGGTCCATTTTTAGTAGAGGTGCCAAAAATTTAACCTTTTAGTTCTGGGTCCTTTGGGCAACTGAGTTTAGGGTTCCATTTTCCCTGACTAGATAAATGGAATTGGGGGCCCCCCCACCCCCCTTTAAGGTAGGGGTGATCCCGGCAGAAACTTCGTGGCCGCAACGTGAAGAACTTCGAATCGGTCCCGTCTGTGTTCCGTGGCATGTTTCCCTCCCCACAATTTCCATAGTAGAAATATGTGTTCCTGTTCCCTTGTTGGTTTTGAAGGGAATCGATTCCTACTGGAAATATGCTTAGTTTTTGTCCAGGGGACTTAAGCAAATGGAGGATCATGAGCGCGCTTCCTCTTGTTTTTTCTTTGATCTCCAAAGGGTTGCTCCCATATCAACCCGTGCTTGCCCAAGGAAAGATACTTTTTGCCCATTTGAAACATGGCTTTTTCCACCAAAACAAAGGAAAACCGCCATTTACAAGGCAATGTTCAGGTGTATAATGTAAGGATCCCTGCCAAAGGGATTCCCTGAAGATTCGCCGAAGGTTGCAACTTTCGGTCATAGCGCCCTTTGCAGCGATGATATCGTAGTGGTTCTCGGTGGCCCGCTTTGGGCTTTGGCATCACAGAAAGGGTTAATCCCTCCACCTACTCATAAATACCCCCCCCCCCCAGACACCAAAAAAGGTCAAAAGGTCGGCTTTGAAAAACTGAGAAAATGGAAAATGGCTCACCCTAAATGGAGATCTCCAGGGATCACCCCCCTCCCCCAATTTCATTTTGCAGAAAATGGGGATCTGCCGGGCCTTCTCGCTGGGGTTCCTTCCCAGCGCGCCCGGAAGCATGAGTTTCTCCCGAAAGGTCATGCTCGGGCGCTCCTCGGACTACCAACGACCCAGGAATCTTGGCTGAAATTCGGACCCCAGCAAACAAACAAGTCTTTGCCTGGTTAGTGAAAAACAAAGGGGACCCCAAAAAAGCAAAAAAAAACAAAAACAATGACTAATTCTAGGGAAGGACAGTCTACACCCAACCCCCCTGTCATGGGGAAAACATGCGCTTGCTTTTGGGCAATTGATTTTAAAGGGCCAAAAGGGAAACAAAAAGAGCACAAGTGGAGGTCTAGCTGTGTTTCCGTTTCTCAGATGTCCTTTGATGCTTGGAGGACTAGAAGGCCCCGGGAACAAATAAACATATGTCCAGTAGTGAAATCGATTCCCTTTAAAACCCACCGGGGAACATAGGTCCATTGAGCAAAGTGGGAAGAATGCTCGCCCGGAAGGAGATCCAAAGCCCTCATTCGAGGCCCAGGCTGGATCTGAAAGGATTGGGCTTTGTCACATCTCTACTCTTGGTATGGGCTTGCAAAAAACTGACTGTTTTTTGCAGACCCCCAGCAAAAATGAACAGAACCAAAAAACTACAAAGAAACACAAAATATGCCAAGAACAGTGAAGCAAAGTGCAGCTCGAGTTGGGGTAATTTTCAGAAAATGAGTGGCTTGCCTTTATTTCCCCGGACCACTTAGCAAGGACCCCAAAGCTTTCAGCTGTTGTGAAAAACCAAATGGTGATGATGATGATGATGATGATGATGGTTATGATGGTTATGATGATGATGGTTATGATGATGATGATGATGATGATGATGATGATGATGATGATGATGATGATGATGATGATGATGATGATGATGATCCTGGCAGCCCTGAGAAGACCCTGACCTTCCTGAGAAGACCCTGATCCTTTCCTGAGAAGACCCTGACCTTGGCAGCCTACCCACGTCAGGTAGGTGCAAGAAAAGAATAGTTCAAGGGAACCAACCAACCAACTTCAGATCGAGTGGATGGGCAAAAAAAAGGCACCCACACTTGTTTTTTTAATGTACTACTAAAATTGACCAACCCCCCAAAAGTGGCTAAAGTCCGAAACGGAACTCAGGGAGTGTGCCCTTTCAGGGGATGGTTGAAGGGAAGCCAAAAGCAGACCACAATTTTGCAGGTTTCCCCCGTGCCGAGTGTGAGTGTGTGTGTTTCTCCAATAGGACAACCACTTTTTTGGGGGTGCCCCGGTTCCCCCAATGGGTACAGGTTTCTTTGGCACTGCCTCATTTCCGGAGATCCTGGACTTAAACCCCTTTTGGGCAAGACCATTTGAGTGGTAAACAAAAGGTTTGGACATTTTTGGCCCTTCACTCAGGAAGTGAGACGAGGAAGCCAAAGGTTCCCCCGGTTTAGCACATACTGCGGTGGTTTTGAGCATCATTTGAGAAGGTGCAAGGATCAAGAGATTCTTCTTGGCTGATTCAGTTTTTTAAAGTGTTTGTCCAGCATTGGGAATCTGGCTAACCGACTAAACTTGCAGATAAGACGAAACTTCTAATTCCCTCAGACTTTTGAGGAGTGGGACCCAACAGATGCAGCTGCAGAATTTGCTAATGAGCTACGTTAATTTCTACATTTGCCAAAGACGCACCATGTCCTGTAGCTTGTTTCTTGGACATAACTCTTGGATGCCCCAGCCCAGTGGATACTGGCGACGTGTTTGGGGGGCGAAACGGGCCAACATACCTCACTCAGAATGATTTCAAGCAGGTCCCCCAACCCACTTAAATCAGCTACAGCAATCTCTCTTGACATTTGCCCCACCCCCACCCCCTACCCCCCCACCCAAAAAAAATATGATTTTCCTGTAGCTGGAAACACAGACCCACATGGTCAACGTTCAGCCCAAACACAATTGTTGCTTCTGCATGGGACAGGACAAGGATGTAAAACGGTCCCCAAACTTTGAACCTAATGTTGACCCCGGATTAAACTTGTCACTTGTCCTGTGAATAGGAGGTTTCCCTCCAAATGTAGCAAATCCCCACCGACAAAAGGACACCTCCCTATAAGGGTACCTTTTTGTTCCTTCTTTTATTCTTAAAAAAAAAGGAGAATCCTCCCCCCAAAAAGGGTAAAAGGGCACCTAGCTGGGGGACCTAGTACTGAACCGCAAATCTCCATGCCCGCCATCCAACCAATACGTCAAGCGGCAGGGGCGGTGTAGCTCGTTTGGCTTGCAAAGGCGAGGTTGGTGCGGCGCCTGCAGAATCCGCCGAAGGCTCGACTCGTAAAAACCTGGTATGGCTCCGCCTGGATGTCCGTGACCCTTACAAAATGGGGTCATTACCTAAAATTAAGGGTCATGGACCCATGTTTTAAGGGTCATGGAGACTCTAGGCAGATTTTCCTGTTTTGAGTCTTTTGCCCTAAGGGTCATGCCCCCTCCAATGCAAACCCCCAAACCCTCCAATGGAGAACCCTGGCCCCTCATAAGCCCTCAAAAACAACCCATTTTGAGGCCCCAAAATCAATCACCCTTAGGGTGAGTAGCCAAGCTACCAGAACTTCATGTTCTGTTTCGAAGTGCCGAATCCCCAGGCAGAATCCCTGAAGCCTACCTTGGGCCAAGCGAACCCTTAGCTCAAGGTCCGGACGCTCCGGAAAGTGAGCTCTTGGCGGCTAACGCCCTCAGATGCCCAGTGGCCCTGGGAAAAATAGGGCATCCTTTTTTCGGTATCCTTTTTTCGGTTGGTTGATGTTAAAGGGGAACCCAAACCTCCAAAACGAAGGAAAAAGGGCACCACTGGGCAACTGGGCAACTGGGCTTCTCGTGATATCGGTTATAACCGACAGACCTAGTAGGTTGACCATCCAAGCGCATATAGACATGCAAATATGGAATCTAAATGCAGCGTTTCCAGTCACCAAAAGGTAACCCCAGATTTCTCACGGATCTCTGACCCCGGGTTGGATGGCATTTGGCGACCAAAATGACTCCCAATGCTTTTGGGCCACGTTTTTGGAAGCACGTGCGGTTGCTCCTGCAATTAACGCATGTTTAGGGTGAGGCTCCACTTTCCACTTGTAATGTCAACGTCGCATTTTGTCCGAATCAAGGGCGGTTCTTTTTTTGGTGGGGGATTGATTCATTCCAAGAGGATGCTTCGAATTTAGCCTGGAACTCCACCGCATGTAACTTTTAGTCAACAATGGGTGCTATGATAGACGCCCTGGGCCTCCCACCCCTTTCAACTTCCTCCTATCACAGGATTCCGGTTCAGCGCCCTATCCGAAGTCGAGCTCGCCTGCTCCCTTTGGGCGTTTTTCACAAGGTGATCATCTTTTGGGACCACAAGCTTGCGACCAAAGAGTCCCTTGGCACCTCCTAAGCAAGAGTTGACCTCCTTCCCCCCAAAAGCCAGGTACCGCAAAAGACCCTTCTGGGGAACATGTTCTAGGTCTTCCAGTAGCGAGGACCTGGAACAAGGGTACCATTTCCTTTTTTTCTGTAGTCTATTTTAGTAGCGTAGCCCGCCCCAAACCTAGCTGGGGGACCTAGTTTTGGAACCGCCAAAGCCACAGGATGCCGAGCCAAAATGCCTTGGCTTCCCTTCGGTTTCCACTGGCACAACCCAACCAAAGGGCCAGACCCTCAACTCAGATGCCCACTGGATTTCCTTAATTCGGAAATATTTGAGCTCCCTCCCCCTCCCCTCCCTCCCCCCCGAGCCCCCATGAAAAAAACCAGGTGGAAACCAGGATTGGAAAAAAAGGGGGGGCCACGAATCCACCAAGCGCAAATGACCAACTTGCCTCAGCTTGTCGAGCTCGGCGTCCAGCAAACGCAGCGAGTGCTTTTGGTTGGCTTCCAGCGCCGTCCTCCGAGCCCGGACTTGGCTCCGCTTGGAGGAACCCCACTCGGGGGAGGGGGGTGGGGGGTCCCGAGAATTCTCCATCTGCCCAGGCTTCCATGTCTTCCAACAACAAAAAGGGGTTGATGAAAACAGAGATCTGCAGGGGTCGAAATCCCCCTCCCCCAATTCTATTTTTTAAGGGGCTGGGGTTCAAAGAGGAAGTGGAGAAAACACAGGGGAAGGACAAAAGGAGGAGCTGAATCTGGAAATGCGTCGATAGAGTGGTAGCTTCAGCCAATCTTAATTGGTGGAACCTGTTGGGGCTGCAGCTGGTCGAGCATGTAGATGTGTGCTCCATAAATTCGCTTCAAACTGGTACTGTCTTGCGTCATACACCTTCCCAACAACTCACATTGGGTTCTAGAAGTTGTAGACAGAAGCATGGCCAACTGTCGTGCAGCGTGTTTGCCTGATGCTAGGCAAGTGTGAGTCTCAATGCACGGAGGTGAAGCACAAAAAGACTGCATGAAGCGCCACTCACATCAAACGATTGGTTTATTAAATCTTGTGAATTTCTTTGTTTTTGACTTTGATGTATTTTATAATAATCTCGTCTAACTCGTTTGCGTGTCAATTCGAGCGGCCCATCATCAACTGAGCCCAGTTTGCCTGAATGGGGCTCGACTCTACTTTCTTCAAGGTAGCCACGAGGCACTTGTTTCCAAGCGGCGCCTCTGTAGCCCGAGTGGCCTTCCTCGCTGAAGTGTTTCCAACAAGTACATCAAAGCCATAAAACAATGAGGTTACTCAAATATGAAAAAAAATCCCAAGGCGCCCGAAATGGAGGTTGACCTTTTAACAGTTGGTCTTCCATTTGCGTTTTCGCCCAGGTGAAAACCACAAATCTTCTGATGGAAGAGTTTCATACTTCGCCAAGCCTATAGAAAATCATGTTGAAAACAACAAAAAAGTTATGTTGTTTTCGGCAAGTGGAAGTGGTTTACACCCCTCCGACCTTTTTTGCGAGGGATGGATTCCCAGTGCCCGGCGTTTCCCGTGGCGTCCTGTTGTGGAATCCCATGCGGCGCGACAGGGGGGGCGGGGGTAGGGTTCCTCAGGGCGCCTTAGGGAATTCCCCCCCCCCCCGGACCACCCCCTCGCAGGGGAACTCCAGAGTTTGCGCCTGAATGCGGACAGGCCATCCACAGTCTTCTGCAACTCCACCGAGTTCTTCGAGGAGTTCCGTGTCGCCTCGAGAGAGCAAAGCTGGAACCCCCCCAAGTCGAATCAACCCTCAGGCAAGTCACGTGGCTATTGGCCACGGGTCCTATCATTTTGCAAGGGCGCAATTCTTGCAGTTGGGCAGAGGATTAAGAATTTCCGGGTGGATGTTGATTGGGCGTCGCCTGAAAAGCTCGATCGCTTCTCCGGTTGAACCATGCGAAAATCACCCTCGCAAACCCCCAAACCCGCATGGTTGAAACCCATGCGAAACCATGGGAATCCCATGCGAAACCATGGGAATCCCATGCGAAACCATCGGAAACCCATGCAAAACCCGTGGGGAAACCCGTGGGGAAACCCATGGGTTTAACGCATGCGAAACCCGTGGGGAAACCCGCATGGAAAACTCATGGGACCCATGGGAAGCCTCTGGGCAAGGAAATTCACCTCCAAGCGCCTGTGGCTTTCGCCCCCCCGTCGTCTTGGCAGCTATGACTGTTTAGAGACCACGACCGGACAGGATGCCAGATAAAAAAAAGCGGCCAGAAAAAGCAAAGCAGGAAAAAGCAACAAGAAAGCAAGCAACAAAGGATCAAAAAGCACACCTGCAGCTGCGATTTCCTTGATTTGAACCACAACATCGGCCCACATGCATGTGTCAAGGGACCACCATGGGTTATGCCACGGATGGGACCATGTTCTGGTTGGGTGCCGAAGCCCGGAGCGCGGCCTGACAAGAAACAGCCGACTTGAGGGCTCAACGTTCAAAGGCGCTGGACGAAATCCTCTTAGGCACCACCGTTCAGAAGCCCTGGAATGCTTCGATTCCCCTGTAAATACCAAAGAACCATGGTTTCTTATGGAAACAAAGTGGTGCGAAATGGATTTCGTCCATCCACAGTATGGGTGTGGCTCAAAGTCAAAACTCATCTTGCTTCTCTCTGCCCCGGTCATATTGGTGTCGACAAGCGGGGGCATTATATCTTGGTTGCTGCAACGACCCCCCAGCAAAAAGTGAATCACTTTTTGGGGGTTTAGTGGAAAACCCAACTTGATTTCAACCAAGAAGTTAAAGTCTAAAGATCCGTTGCCCAATAGCAGTCCAGATACGACAACTCAAGTACACCCAGGTCAAAGCCCCTTTGTCGGCCTCGCGGCCTGGTTCCTATGTCAATCATTGAGCTCAGATCCCCTGCCGAAAGGCTAGCTTGTATTGGTTGCGGAAAGTACCACTAAACCCAAGTGAGCTAAACTAAACCCTAAACCCTAACCCTAAGTTCCACTAAAAATGCTGAAACCTAAGTGGTTTCAGTACTCCCTGAAATGGGAAAGCAAACCTAAGGAACCGGACGGCTGGGAACCTTCAGGACGCTTTCTAGCAAATGGCCATCCCTGTTGAACCGCAAGGGGCTTATGAATGGCGATATGTCCAAGAGAGGCCCCATGGCTTTCAATTCCCAGGACCTCCTTTGAAAAGGGAAAATCGAGCCTCGAAATTGGGCAGACCCAACAGAATGGCGGGTTGTCCTGACGGTTTGGCTTTGAAACCAACCAACAAAGGCTTCCCCCAAACAAAACAAAACCCATGTGCGAACACATATAGTTCGAGAAGCAAAAACCCGCGGATCTGCCTGTCGGGAATTCTTGGAGGAATCCCGGCTCAGCGTGTCGGGCCCATTGCTCAGCGGCAGGTTGGGCTTCAGAATCAGCGGCACCTGCCCATTGAACACAGTGTTCCTTTCTAGGTCCTCCAGTAGAGAGGTTAGAATAAGGGTCCCAACTTTTTCTGTAGTCTATGTTAGCCGGGGAACCCTCACCCAAACAAGGGTAAAAGGGCACTACTGGGGGACCTAGTTTTTGTTGTTCTTTCTTGGGGGGCAGTTTAAGACACTGATGTGCCTGTATGGCGCTATGGAATCTGCAACTTGCACAACTCGCTTCCTGAGTGGATTGGCCGCAAAACCTCGAACTAAAACGGTCTTCCCAAAATGTTTACAGTTCATGAACTTGAAAATGTAAAACAAAGAGCCAAGGTTTCAAACCCAACTCCAAGCCATGAATTAGGCTGCCATTTGCTTAGACCCCCTGGGAAAATAAAAATCATATTTCCATTAATTAGTGAAATCAAATCCCTTTAAAACCAACAGGGGGAATACTATTAAAACCAACAGGGGACAATAAAATTAATATGAGTTTCAGCAAATGGAGGTAGGGCTTCCCTGAACTGAACTCCCCGCCTTCGGCACAGACCAGTGCTCCGACTCCGACTCGCTATCCGTGTCCTCCGTCTCTTGGACGCCCTGCCGCAAAGGTGGGGGGGAAGGAAACAACAAACATCCCCTAACTTGGTTGCTGTTGACCTGCAAAAGGTGAATCAGTTTTGGTGGGTTGAGTACGGAAAACCAACTTGACTCCCAAAAAGCTAAAGTCTACAGATCTAAGCGAATAGCAGTCAAGCTAAAGGTTGAAAAAGAAACATATCTATTTGGGCCTCTTATTGAAAAAGAAGCATATCTATTTCCCTGCTGAGCCAACCTATGGAAAGCTTTAAGTCAGGGGTAAAGGTCTGGCAACATGAAAAGGGCCAAATGGCCCTCCCTCACTTCGAGCGGACTTCTGCTTTTCTCACTTCCTGAGTTGGACCTTGTTTTTGTTTGGGTTTGGACCAACTTTGAGTGGAAAATCAAAAAAAGCTTGGCCCATCCGCCCATCCACTCCGGAAAGGGAAGGCGCCGCGAGGCGATGGAGTCAGGCCATGGCCTTCGGGACCGGGGAAGGTGTCGAGCCATAAATCATTGAATGTGGCTCAACTTGGATACCATACGTTGCTTCACGGTTCGGAAGCGGGGCCATTGATGAACAAAAAAATCTCATCCACAAACCTCGATCTGTCTGCATTTGTTACCTATGATTCCAAAAGCTGAATTAGGATTTGGATTCAAGTAAAGGACCTGTACCATGGCTCGCTCGTTATACTATTATACCCCCCCCCGAATCGGTGAGCTCGCTATCAAATAGGCCATGAGAAGGCTAAGACGCCGACGCCGACCTGCCATTTGCTTGATCTTCCTGGCAAAAATGAGAACATATATTTCCAGTAGTGAAATCTATTCCCTTCAAAACCAACAGGTGAAAACAACAAATCTTCCGATGGAAGAGCTTCATCTTTCGCCTACAAATAGATGCCGCCAAAAATCGCACGCCCTTAAAGACCAAAAACCAACACAGGAACTTAACTAGGTCCTCCAGTAGAGAGGTTAGAATAAGGGAGCCAACTTTTTTCTGTAGTCTATTTTACTAGGAGAACCCTCCCCCCCGAAAAAAAAACGGGTAAAAAGGCACTACTGGAAGACCTAACGATATTTTTGTCTAACAGTATATGCCCCTAAAAATTACATGCCCTTAAAGAAAAAAACACACGGAAACTAAAAAAAACAGTTCAGCAAACGGAAGCCCACGTGTTGATTGCAAGCCCTTGCCAGCCTCAGTCACCTGGGCCGGGAGGTTCGCGCCTGCGACGCAAACAAAAAACGATCCTCCCGATGCGATTGTTCCTGCGCCAGCTGCACAAAATCAAGTCGGTAGTAAAATGGTAATTGAAATGGTAATTAAAATGGTTTTACTTGTTTTCAATGCTTTACATGGTAGTAAAATGGTCTACCCAAGACCATATACAGCATCGAAAAGGCGGCTCTCCGCACCCATTTGTGGCCCATTTGATTCCTTACTACCCTCCAAGTACCCGGGTTGTGAGCACGTGACTCACCTTGCCATTGGATGCCAAAGGGTTTGTTCCCAAAACCCTTGACGAAGCAGCACGCAGTGACAAAGCAAAGATCGATGGAGCTACTGTGGATGGACGAAATCAATTTCGCCCTTCCTAAGAAGCCCTGGAATGATGATTCCCTTGTAAATACCAAGGAACCATGGTTTCCCATGGTTCAAAGTGGTGCGAAATGGATTTCGTCCATCCACAGTATCAATGGGATGTACTGTGGAGGCCACTCCAAAACCATCTGTTTAAGGGACTCAAGACTTGCAGGGGGGGTGTTGGGGCAAACAAAAACGGACCAAGCAATCCCTCACTTGCCCCTTCGGGACCCAGACATTGAAGGTTCACCTTGGGCCATGACTAAAAACGGACCAAAGATGGGAAACCAAAAGGTCAAAAGGTCGGCTTTGGACAAGTGAGTCTTGATCCCCCCCCCCGGAAAAAAAAAAAAACAACAACAACAAAAAACAACAACAGATTCCTTCAGTGCGGCGCTTTGAACAACTGAACTCCCATCTCCCTTCGCCGCGTTCCTTTCCCAAATGAAGAAACGGGCTATTTGGCACCTGACCCCACACCCCTTCACCCCGGTGTTCTTCCGAGGCTTGCCATAGGCAACCCTCGCAATATGTGAGTATCTTGTCGTGAGACCCATTTCTGGTGGTTTCAAAGGGAAACCAAAATGAACACACACACACACACCCAATATAAGCTTAGTATTTCCTGTGATTACATAACCTCCTACGCCTTTACATTTCCCTGGTTGTCGTGTCTACTCCTACTTTTTGGGAGGGTGCCCTATATTGATGAAGAGAGACCCAAGTCTTCCACGACTCCCTGCTCTTACCAGCTGCCAACCTTTGGAGCCGTCCGTTATTCACTTTGAGCAATCTCGCTGGTTCTCAGTGGGGAATGAGGAACTGACCTCGAACTGAACCCTCCATTGGCTTAAGTCCCCTGGAACAAAAAAGTAGTGATGCGTTCCCTTTAAACCAACAAGGGAAAATAAAACATATTCTTAACCAAATGGAAGGAACCATCCCTTCTGGTTTCAGGAGATCTGGGTGACTTTTCACGAGAGTGAAGCCAAGGAAAGCGCCCACTTCCCGCTCGCGAGTCCCGACGTCCGACTCGCATCAGGTTTTGTCGGGTGGAATCCCAGCACCCCAAACACTTCCCGACCCGTACGCCGCCGAACTCTGGAGCCAGCCAGCTCCCTGAGAAAGTGCTTGGGTTTGGAGTATGTCGAGGAATTTGGGCTCAGTACCTTCCAGGAAACAACCATGTTTGACTCGCTTCGTGGGCCAAAACAGTCCAATCTTCCTTTGCCACCAACATGGCTGTGGCTCAAAAACCGGAATTCCAAAATAGGTTGCCCTGGCAAGTGGAAACATGGACCAACAGCTGCAGTTTGCCCCTCCTGCTTAATTTTAGAGCCACGCCCACATGGTCTTCCCAACAAGTACAAACCCTGGAATTCAAAGCACCATTAAACCAACGGTTGGGTTCCTATAACCACCATGGTTTACCTAAGGATTCTCATTCAAATTGGGTCAACTTTTTTTTTTTTTTTTTTTTTTTTTTTACGGGGGTTGAACACCTTTCTCTCAGTTGCCCAAAGGACCCAGAACTAAAAGGTTAACCTTTTGGAGCCGTGACTAAACATGGACCAAAATGCGAAAACCAAAAGGTCAGATCCGGTCGATTCGCTTTGGACAACTGAGTTCTGGTAAAGCCCAGAGACTCGTTTGAGGCGAGTCCACGGCCGCTTCCCGTTTCTCGAGCCCATCGAGCATCTTCGGTTGCGTTTTCGGCGGTGAAGCCGGTGACAGCAAACCGACTTAGCGAACCGATGTCACAACAAATCCCAGGAACCTCATGGTGTTCATTCATTTCCCTTTAAATCATTCATTCATGGTGGTTCAGACCCTCATTCATTTCATTCATTCATAGACCCTCATTCATTGTTTTCATGGCGGTTCACTAGGGGGTGATTCCAGCAAACCAATTTCACAATACATGCCAGGAAGTATTTCTCCTAAACCAGTCATGTATCCCTTAGGTAGGTAAGGATGTCCCCCACCTGCACAGATTCCTTCTGGAAAGACATTCCTTTTTCTAGGGGTTGATTCCGATTCCATCCTTTTCAACCATCATTCTTTTCAAGAACCGAACGCTGTTTCCCCTGGAAGGTTCCGATGGTTTTCTGAAAAGAAGGATCCCTGGAATTTCATTGGGAAGTGCCCCCTAGAATTTTGTCAATCTTAACCTTCAAAAGCAAACCAACTTCACAAAAGGGGTTTGTCTCAAAATCGGGGGACCTCCAAAATGGCCGGTATCTCACTTCCCAAGTTGACCAGCCAAAACAAGTTTGAACTCTTTTACCACTAAAATGGTCGGTACCGTCAACAAAAGACCGCGCCCCTTGTCCGGCTGAGCGAAGATGTCGTTTGGATGTCCGGCCTGAGGCCCCGTCCAGGGAGTGCAAGCCTTAGCCAGCGGAAAACCGGCGGCTTGGTGATCGAAAAAACACGAATGGATATGGGTCAAAATCTCAGATGCCCAGTGGCCATGGGAAAAAGGGAACCCTTGCTTTGTTTACAGGTTCCCAAAAAGAGGAAAGAAGGGCACCACTGGGCAACAAACAAATGAAAAGCCAACAGGATATGGACCGCAGGAAATTTAGTCTTTGGTAACCCATTTGCCAGGGTAGCCATTTCTGTCCGCTTTTTTTTTGACCCACAGCCACCTCGAAACACCAACAAAGGTTCATGTTCCTAGTGAGCAAGCCTAATCCTGGCTATTCCCGAGGTTAAAGCTCCAAAGATTAAGGATCCAACCGAATAGCTGGAAGCAAGTTCAGCAGTCGCTGCACGGCCAAACCAGCAAACAGTTCAAGCCGCTACCCTCCACGCTGCGCTTCAGCTCCCACCCCCTCCGAACAACAAGCCCTCCCCACTTGTTGCTCGAACCCCCCCCCTCTCTGAACAACAAGTCCCCCCGCCCACTTGATGTTCGACCCCCCGCCAACAACAAGTCCCCCCCCCCACTTGTTGTTCGAACCCCCCACCCCTTCAGACTTATAGTTGCAGCCATCTGAGAGCTTCCATTTCTTGGTGGTGCTCAGCAGGGAATGAGAAATGGAGGCTGAGTTGGGTCATCAACCCCAGACTATTTGAGCGCCCTGTTGCAGCATGAAGTCGAGCGCACCTTCCTGGAAGCTAAGTCTGGAGCTTTCGCTCTGCGCAAAGAGCTCGCCCTCCGCCATCCGCGAGTTGCGCGGCCGCTGGCGCGCGCCGCTGGGTGCAGCTGCGCGCGCGGAAGGCGTTCGGGAACGAGGCTCGCGGCTGCGGGAGTGAACTGGGCGCTTCACGGAAGAACGCCGTAGGACGCCCTTAGGACACCTCGAAAGGACGCGGGCACCAATTCAAAAACTTGATTGGTTCGTCAAGTTGGCCCTGTTTAGGTGGGTCTTTCAACTTTAAACCAAACCGGGCCGAAGCTCGATCTATACATCACTGAGCAAGTAGGCTATAACCAACCAGTCCAATAGAGTTCATCACCGACATCCAAGAACCACCGGCTTGACAAGGATTCCGCTGGTAAACGTTATAACCATGGTCATAACCTTCGAGTAGTAGCTCGGGGCAGCCTTCTTGCGACCGTGCTTGCGACCGTGCTGATCAGCTACTCACCTGGGGAGAGGTCTGCTGCCATTGCCTCTAGGCACGATGTATGTATGTATGATGTATGCATGCATGGCATGGCATGGCATGGCATGGCATGGCATGGCATGGCATGGCATGGCATGGCATGGCATGGCATGGCATGGCATGGCATGGCATGGCATGGCATGGCATGGCATGGCATGGCATGGCATGGCATGGCATGGCATGGATGCATGCATGCATGCATGCCTGCCTGCCTGCCTGTCTGTATGTATGTATGTATGTATGTATGTATGTATGTATGTATGTATGTATGTATGTATGTATGTATGTATGTATGCAGCTAGTTCTTAGTGTGAACGACCTGTGTTTATCGTCGTCATTTACTTTCAAGCATCCTTTTTTTTCTCTGACCGCCGTTTCCGCTGGGTCTTTTTCGCGGAACGCCCGGGCCAATCGCCGCGATTGAAACTCCGCCAGTTCAAATCGGGCTGGGATGCGTGTCGCAGGGTGTCATACTGTGGATGGACGAAATCCTGCACCAGCTAAGAAACCCTGGCATGATGATTCTCCTGTAAATACCAACAACTTATGGTTTCCCATGGTTTCCAGGGGTGGTGCAGGATTTCGTCCATCCACAGTGGGTCCTGGCAAAATCAGAAACTCGCCACTGACAATAACACACATGGCTGTGGTTGTCAAAACCAATGGGGTCCCATTTTGGGGTAGGTGAATTCACCACCCATTTTAGAACCTATTTTAGCGGGGATTAGGATGTTCGCTGGGGGTACGGGCTTTTGACCCATGGCCACATGAAGTCCTCATGAAAGAAACGCTCATGGGACTTTGCTCATGACGTCCTTACCTAGGCCTAGGTCCTCCAGTGGAGAGGTTAGAATAAGGGTATCATTTTTTCTGTGGTCTATTTTAGTAGGGGAACCCTCCCAGCCAAAAAAGGGGAGAGAAACGGGCACTTAGCTGGGGGACTTCGTAACAATTTGCCATCTGGCGATGCCAGGCCTCGCCGTTCATTGATGGGGCGAGGCATTGGTGGGGCCAGCCAGATGTGACTCACGCGACTCACATGGTGTGGCTCATTTTTTCCAGGAGGGGTTACGCAGGTGTTGGTCCATGTTTTAACTGGGTTCCATTTTGGTAACGGAGTTTTGAGCCACAGCCACATCTAACTTCTTTAAACTTCCATTTGCGTAAGCGCCCGGGAACAAAAACAAATTTCCAGTAGGGACAGATTCCCTTTAAAACCAACACGGGAAAATAAGTAAAACATATGAAGCAAATGGAAGTTAATCGCTACGTACTCTACATTCTAAGTTCTCGAACCTCTAACTCCAAATAATATCAATAATCTACCTCAAACTTCCCATCGCTCGGAGACTTGGGAAACTCATTCCCGCTCGTCGGGCCCTGGTCAAACAAACCCACATGCCCCCATGAAAGAAGGGGCGACCCTATCAAGCACACCACCTGCCAACACACCCCTCTGAATACACGTCAAAACAAATGTGCTTTTGGGGTGGGAGAAGTGTTTTCTCAAGTTGCAACCTAGGATTCCGGTTGAGTAGCGTAAAGCAGACTTCAGCCCAGTAGTGTCAAAAACTAGCTCCTCCAGTAGAGAGGTTAGAATAAGGGTACCCTTTTCTCTGTAGTCTATTTTAGTGGGGAACCCTCCCCCAAAAAAGGGTAAAAGGGCACTACTGGAAGACCTAGAAAATGCAGATTCGGTTGCAACCTGCCACGGTTCTTTTTTCCATCGCGCGAGTGTTCATGCTCTTGACGCCGTAGGCCGATGGCACCTAGCCAGGTCTCCTGAAAACCTGCAGGGAGAGAGGGCGGAGATCACTGGTCTTGGTCTACATAAAGCTTAGCAGCATTGCGGTTACTGCAACTTCTGTGACAACTACTGCCGCTACTACTGCTACAGCTACTGCTACTACTACTGCTACTGCTACTGCTGCTGCTACAGCTACTGCTACTGCTACTGCTGCTACCACTACTGCTGCTGCTGCTGCTGCTGCTACCTCTATATACTGCTGCTCCTCCTACTCCTACTGCTACTCCCACCGCTACTGCTACCTCTCTGCTGCCGCAACTTTTTCCTACCTCTATTACCACCGCTGGCATTGTTATTGCCCCCTGGCCCCTGTGCTGTCGCCAGGTGCAAAAGGCCCCCGGAAAAGAGGTCGAGCTTCGCCGTGAATTTGCCGCCGGGTTCCCTTGGGGCTGGCGGCTCCCAAATGCCTATCGTGCGGCCGAGAGTCACTTCCTGAGTGGATTGGCCAAAAAAAGTTATAAACTTTTCATTTAGCATTCAAATGGACTTCCTCAAACGGTTGAAAGTCCGAAAAGGAACTCGGAGAGTGAGCAGAGGGCCCTAAAAAATACGAGATGTTCTCTTTCACCATCACCGTAAAGATCTCACAGCTTAGAGTCGCCACCCAAAAGTTGTATTTCAGCCGCCGGAGTACGGGTAAACTTTTTCCCCAACGGCTCGCTCATTCCCAAAAGAGAAACCCGTGCGCTTAAGTCTATCTTGAAGTCCACAAGTCCAACAGCCATGGGATTGTCATGGTCTGACAATTGCCCCTAGTCACCGTCAGTCGTTCATGGTGGCAAAAAGGTGCAATGGCTCTCCTTGCTGCTCTGAAATGGGGAAATGGGAAGTGGCAGGTGTTGAAACTGAACCCAAGATCGACTTGCTGACTTGTCTCCGAAAGCCGTTTTTACGCAGCACGGCAAATTCATGGGAGGACACCTTCGAATTTTCCCCTTGTCTCTCTTGGCGTTCCAAACCCTTCCCTGAAGTGATCGGAGAATCTATCTCAGCAACTTTCCCCCCAATCATTTTTGTCTGGGCTGTCCGTTGCCTGATCCCCTGCTAAAACTCCAACTTGGGTGAAATGGAAATCCCTACAAAGCTCACAAAAGCCAAGTACCGCGCCACCTAAAAACCGCCAAGTTCTACGGTCCGGCCGTGCCTCGGTGAAGCGAATGTTTCAATGTCAAAAGGGGTCGGCATTTTCTCCAGGCCGCACGCCTTTTGGCTTGACGGAACTCGTGCAAACCGTTATTCTCATAAAGCCGATGCCAAGGGGGCCGCTGTGGTGGCAATTCGCTCCTTACACCCATTGAACAAAGCATATTTCCGCTATCCACCATGGAGAATTTGCCAAATAGCATTGCCATTAAATAAATTATTCCAATGGAAGTGGATGTTTGGCTGGGTCCTCCAGCAGAGAGGATAGAATAAGGGTGCCCTTTTTTCTGTAGTCTATATTAGTAGGGTCCCGAACCCTCCCCCCAAAAAGAAACGTTCAAAGGGCACCAATCGCTGGGGGACCTTGGGGACTTGCCGTTCACAAACCGAAAACGAGGGATCCAAACTTGCGCTTCTGGATCGCGAAGGTCTGCGGGTCCCAGAGTCCTTTGTGAGCTCGTTGGAACGACATCAGCTTATTTGATTCCGCACACTGGGCCTTTCTGAATGGTGCGCTTGAGAAACATCTACCAGAAAAAAAGAAGAAGACAAAACGGAGAAAAATAAAGAAAAACAACGAGAAACAGCTCAGAGCTTTCAAAGAACAGCGATGCTTTCGCAATGGTCAAGCCCCGATATATGGCCGCGGTTCGCTGAAAGTCTTAGGGCCAGGATAGCTTGGCAGTCCAAACTCCCGAGTCCCTCCTAAGTGCTTTGACCACATCAAGTGGTTCAGGAGCTTGGGGGCCTTGAGAACGAAGTGTCAGCCCGACACTCCGTGGATGTCCAGCTATGCTCCACATCTCTACTCTTGGTATGGGCTTGCAAAAAACTGACTGTTTTTTGCAGACCCCCAGCAAAAATTGAACAGAACCAAAAAACTAAAAAACTAAAAGACATGCCAAGAACAGTGAAGTCAAGAGCCAGCGAAAATGCACACTGGGAACACGTGAGACGTATGCATCCGGACTGAGACATCATGGAAATGACACCGCAGGCCACCGAACAGCGCCATCGGACGAAAAGAGGCCAACTCGACCCACTCTGGTCGAAGTAAGCTATTGATGCCGGCTCTCAACCAGCTGCAGTCTTTCCTTCTTGCACCCTCAAATCTGGTCTGCGCAGAAGCTGCAGGGCGACGAATGTCATGTTGTACTTCCAGTCTTTGGAAGCAAATAATTACGTTGCAACCGCTTGCTTCACAACAGGAGCAAGCCATCTTAATACTGTGGATGGACGAAGTCCTGCACCACTTAAGAAACTCTGGATTGATGATTCCCCTGTAAATGCCAATAAACCGTGGTTTCAAGCATGGCTTGAAATCGGTGCGAGATGGATTTCGTCGATCCACAGTAGCATCTATGCTGAACCGAAGCATCGACGTGCACCTAGGATTGGCCTACAGGACATCCCAACGACGTGGTTTCGGATCGTCCGCAGGCCTTGCTGGAAATGGGACAGCGAAGGGCAGAATCTTCATGATTGCCGAATGGAGGTCCAACAAATCAGACCGGAATATGACAAAAAAAAACACGGTATAGGTTGAGGAAACAGCAACGTAATGAATCATGTTCCCCCGTTTTCCTGGTCAAATTGATACTTGCGGGCTAGACAAAAGCAGAACTCATCTCAAAATAGTGGTCCCCTGCTGTGGGTGGTCCTCTTTTGGTTTCATTTTTACCTGCCAAGAAAAACAAGGGGTCCACCATTTCGAGAAACGCCCAAAATAACTTAGTTTGTTGATCCCTTGCTCAAAAAAAGTAAATGCAGTTGGTGTATATGTCCTAAATGTTCTTGCAATCAACTCCTAAAATCCTAATGGCCATTGCAAAAACAGCTTGAACCGCCGCCTAGTCCCATCCACATTTCGCAAGACATAGCCTGGCCATGCCGAATTCGTGGCGATGCCAAAGCCTCAGGCCCTTCGGTGGGTCTGAAAGGGAATGCGCGTCAGTTCCCACCGGAAGTCCCTCGAATTAAGCCGGCATCCATCGTGTTTTAATGCTCGCAGCCTTTTTCGAGCGATGCCTTTGTGACATTGTCTCACTTCCTGATTGGCAAGAACAAGTACCCAAACTTTATGTTTACGGCATTTCGTGGCAACTAATCCAAAGTGACGATCAAGTCAACACGAACTCAGGGAGTGAGTATACGGGGGCAAAGCAAATGGAAGATAATGCCAAAGAAGTAAAAGCGATGTCTGTTGCACTTGCACCCAAGAACACTCAAGCGAATGCTTTTTATCAAACACAGCAAACTCAAGAAGCACCGAAAGCTTTTGGCAACTCGAACACCCTCTGGATCCCTCAAGAAGAACACTTCTTTGACAAGGCCAAAGGTGACACGTCCAAGGGGTCGATCAAACGGATCCGTGACCGGCCTGGTGTTTACTTGGCCATCCAAATCCCGGTTAGCCCCCGGTGAACATCCCAATCCAACCACTATAGGTCTTACATTGGGTGGTGAATTCACCTACCCCAAAATGGGATCCAAAACGGTTTTGACAACCACTGCCACTTTAAAACCAAAGGGGCTCTCACAGGAAGCAGCGACATGGCTGGGTTTTAACCGGGAAGGGGTCTGCATGGCTCCCTAATCTTCCCTTCCACTTGCTTAAGCCTCCAGGAAGAACAACATATTTGCAGTGATAGGTTCCCTGTAAAACCAATAGGGAAAATAATGGCTATTCATTTCAGCAAATGGAGGTTCCCTATTTCGACCCAGTCGTCCAGTGGCCCCACGGAAGAAGGGGCCCGTTTTGGTTGGCCGAGTTGATTTCCAGTGGGTCCCGAATTGTCCCAAGAAAAAGCAGTGGAATCCCTTGAGCTGGGTAGCTGCACATGCC